AGCAAATTTTATACGCGGTATATCTAAGTGTCGTCAACAACTATAAAACTGATATTGATGAAGCTCTTTTCAAGAGAAGGATCCCGGATAACGAAGTTGCCGAGTGGTGACTAATTATGAACTTTTCGGTCAAGTTTCTGACAGACATTTGTAGGCTGAAGAGCACACCTTTTTTGGAGGTGTGCAAGGACCAGGATTTGCTTCCTCTTATTTGATTATTTAATCAAAACTAAGATTTATTTATTCTATTTTTAAGCCATGACCGCTTCTTACGTAGGATTACAGTATTATTTATATTCAATTGAAGATAAAAAAACCCTTACTCCTTAACAGGTCTACAATGGCAAAACGTATCACGACACTAGAGGACATTAACAAAGAGGTGGCTATTGCTCAGGAGTTAGGTGACAAAGCCCGAGAAGGAAGGGCCTATAATATTTTCGGGTCCATTTATCTAAAGCTGGGGGACTATCAGAAAGCCATTCAGTATCACAGCAAAGATTTGTCTATTGCCAAAGAAACGGGAAGTCGTGCCGGTGAAGGACGGGCCTATTGTAACTTGGGCAACGTGTATTTTTTCCTGGCTAAGTACCAGGAAGCCATTGATTGCCACAACAAACATCTCGCGATTGCTAACGAAATTGGAGACAGGGTTGGGGAGGCAAAGGCGTATGCCGGTTTAGGCAACGCTTATATCAGTCACGGCAAGATACAAGAGGCCATAGAGTGCTACAAAAACGTTCTGTCCGTTGCAGTCGATGTGGGCGACAGGAATCTAGAAGGGCGAGCGTATAATAATCTCGGTGCTGCTTATCATAAGCAAGGAAAATTCTGGGAAGCCATAGAGTACCACCAGAAAAGTCTAACCTTTGCCACTGAGGAAGGCAACCAAGCTGGACAGGGCAGAGCCTATTGTAATCTCGGAGGTGCTTATCAAAGCCTCGGAAATTACAAGAGAGCAGTGGAGTATCATGAGAAATACCTTTCTATTAGTAAAGAAACTGGAGATCGTGCCGCAGAGGGACGGGCTTTTGGCAACCTCGGCACTGATTGTCATTGTCTCGGAAAAGTCGAAGAGGCCTTGGACTATTACATGCAACGACTCTCTATTGCCAGAGAGCTGAAGGACAAGGTTGGGGAAGGAAGCGCCTATTGCAATATTGGCAACGCGTATCAAGATTTCGGAAAATTTGAGGAAGCCGTCAATAACCACCGAAAACACCAGTCAATTGCAAAAGAAGTCGGCGACAAGATTGAGGAAGGAATGTCCTATTGTAATCTAGGCGTCGCTTACAAAAGCCTCGGTGATTTTCAAAAGGCCAAGGAGTGCCACGAACAGGATCTTCAGATTGCCAAAGAAGTGGGAAATACGGCCAGTGAAGGAAGGGCGTATTGCAACCTTGGGTGCGTTTCTAGGATCCTCGGAAACTTCCAAGAAGCCATACAGTACCATAGAAAACATCTTTTTATTGCCAAAGAAATGGGAAATGAAGCTGGAGAAAAAGAGGCTTATGGTAATCTCGGCAATACATTTCAAAGTCTCGGAAACTTCCAAGAAGCGATCAAGTACCACAAGAAACGTTTGTCCATAGCCAAAAAATTAGGCGATAAGCTCGGAGAAGGACGAGGCTATATGAACCTCGGTAATACCTACATTAGCCTCGGAAAGCTTGAAAAGGCGAAAGAGAACTATGAAAAGCGTCAGACAATTGCCATCGAAGTAAGTGACAAGGCCGGAGAAGGGCGAGCCCTGGGTTCCCTAGGTAACGTAGAACAAGAGCTCGGAGACTTTAACAAAGCCCTCAATTACCACAACCAGCACTTGGCAATTGCGAAAGCCACCTGCGACAAATACAGTGAAGGGCGGAGCTACTGCAATCTCGGCGAAACTTACAAAGGCCTTCAAAATTTTGAAGAAGCCTTCAGCTGTCACAAGAAAGCATTATCTATCGCCAGAGAGACTGGTGACAGGGAGCTAGAAGGAATGACATATGCTAACATTGGCGAAATACATCAATCGCTTAGAGAATTTAAAGAAGCTTCGGAAAGTTATCAGTCGAGTGTAAACCTTTTGAACATCCTTAGGACTAATGTTCAGGCTGAAGACGTGTGGAAAATAACTTTCCGCGAGCTCTACCGTAAATGTTACCAAAGCTTATGGAGAATGCTTTTAAAACTCGAGAAGATCGAGGAGGCTTTGTATGCTGCTGAGGAAGGTCGTGCTCAGGCTTTGGTCGATGACTTGAAAATACACTATGGCTTAACAGGACCACCTGTAGAAGAATCAAAGGAAACAATTTCTGACCTGTTAAAAGAGTGTGCTACACAAATGGTGTTTATAGGACTCGAACGCAACAAGATCAACTTTTGGGTCCTCGGCAAGGGAGGTTCAGTAGAGCTCAGAACAAAAGAAATAGAGGGTGGACGTGAGGGCACAGACTTTGTAACCGAGTTGGTGGAAACTACTTTGAATAACATCGGAGCTGGCGTTGGTGTGAGATGCGAAAATCGCTCACTAGATGCGCTAGATGATGATTCCTCCCCTTATAGAAACGGCGATAAACCGCAAGCGGAGTCGTTAGACTGTACTGAAGGATCTCTACAGCCGTTATATGACGCTATCATAGATCCCATTGCAGATTTGTGTCACGGTAACGAATTGATCATTGTCCCAGAAGGTCCGCTGGGCCTTGCTCCATTGCCTGCACTTAGTGAGTCTATAAGAATTCGCACCATTCCCTCGCTGACAAGTTTAAAACTGATAATAACATCCCCCGATGACTTCCATAGTAAATCTGGGGCGTTGCTGGTTGGAAATCCCTGTTTGGAGATGGTTACTAAATGTGGTAAACCCGTGTTTAAAAATCTCGAGAACGCTGAAAAGGAAGTAAAGAAGATTGGAGGGATATTAAAAGTACAGCCTCTAACAGGAAAAGAAGCAACCAAACAGGCGGTGCTGGATCGAATCACTTCTGTTGCACTGGTGCACATAGCTGCTCACGGAAAAAAAGAAACAGGCGAAATTGCTCTGGCTCCGAATGCGGGATGGGAAGAAGGTCAAGAACCAAGATCAAAGAAAAAGGCTCCCAAAGAAGAAGATTATATTTTGAAAGTCTCAGATGTCCAAGCAGTGCGTCTACATGCAAGGCTTGTTGTGCTTAGTTGCTGCCATAGCGGTCGAGGAGAGGTAATGTCTGAAGGGGTGGTTGGTATTGCTAGGGCTTTCTTGGCGGCTGGTGCTCGTTCCGTTCTGGTTTCGCTCTGGGCGATTAATGACGAAGCTACCACGGAGTTTATGACAAGTTTCTATCAATACTTAGCAAATGGAAAAAGCGCTAGTGTTGCTCTACACCAGGCTATGAAGTCACTTCGGGATTCAGAAAAGTTCTCTGCCATCAAGTTCTGGGCTCCATTTATGCTTATTGGTGACGACGTCACTCTTGATATTGGAAAAGAATGACAACAGAATTGTAAGTATAACTTTATTTTGACATTTTTTTAGATACACACTATGTCTTAAGCCTGGATCTCATACGCCCCCGAAGTACTTGCAAGGTAGCTTCCGGTACTGCTTGCGATACTACCCCGACACATGAGGTCATAGTGCCACCGGCAACGAGAAACATCGCAGGTCCGAGTTCCCCGCCGGCATGCCTGAGAAGTTAATCTCGAGTTTACTAGCAGGCATGCGGGCGAAAAAGACTTTTAACTATAAACTGAGAAGACTTGGAAATCTTTGCTCGTAAAAGATGGCACTAATGAATTTTCCGTAAGACCTTGGGCGATTTAAATCGAAAAGACTTGGTAATCTCTTGAAAATAGGAAGTTAGGACAGAGAACTGGTGGAAGACAAGACTATCTTCAGGTGTAGATGTATTATAATTCCAGAACAGTGTATAAGTTTGCCCTGGAAGAACTATATGTCTTTGCTGGAGGAACACGACACATTTGTCTCTTTGAATTGAATTGGCTTTTTGGGTGTACTTAATTTTCTCAAACGTTTTCCTCAAAATATCATGTTGAAATACACCAAAGACACCCTGAATTTATTTACCATGCCAGCGTAAAAATAGACAACCAATCACACGGTAAAGCTTTGATTTGACTTTCTTTTCAGAGGATGGATGATCAGGAGGAGACTCGAGACGTGCCAAAGGGGAGAACTTAAAGAAGCAATCCAGATAGACATTCAGTTACAGGCACTGATAATTACTGGAGAATTGGCTTGATATGTGCTTGAATGGTTTTATTTAAAATGACTGTGCTTTGACTGGAAGTATTCTTATTTGATTTTAAAAAAACATCTCTTCGAATGTTTATTGCATTTAAAACAATCGTAACAATTATTTTTTTCTGCTGCAGCTAGTTTTTATGCCGATCCAGAATTTCTTGATTGACACTTTTGCTGGTGGTCTATAGGGATAATGGAGAATAATACAGCATAAACAAGTATTTTGAACAAGACTGCTATCATTTCGTAGTTTTAATGAACTTTTTTGGTAGATCATTACTATAAATGATGAGTACAATGTTAAAGTACTAGGTAGGTAAGACGACGCCATCGAGAAAACTTTTTTAGCATTTACCATAGGATCGGTTGATTATTAGACTGCGTTTGCTAAAACGTTGAAGAAGAGAATGTGCTGGTGCTGTTATATATTAATGCATAAAAGCTGCGGATTAACAGGAACTCCAGGCTGAAATAACTACACATAAGCACCATATAAAGAGAGGAACAATGGAACAATTACTCGGGTGTATATGCACGTTCCTTTATAATTTGTTAACCCAATTATAACACCCTTTTCAAAAAAGCCTTATTTCAGTCTGTGCAATCTTAATATTTGTCTCTGTAAATCTGTAACACTTGACTTAATTAATTTAGCAAAAACTGCGATTTCTCAAATTTTTTGCAATTTTTGGAGAAATTGCAGTTTTTGCTGGGCGCCCTCCTACCTCCTTTACCACTTGAATTTAGTAATTTTTGGAAAGACTGCAGTTTCTCCAATTTTTCGCTACTGCGTGCAAACTTGGACATTTCTTGCGTCAAAGCAGGTGATGTTCCCGACCAATAACTTGTACATTGGTCATGGCATCTGTACAGTAGACTTGAGATTGTAGGATTACAGGCTCTCACTGATTTCCGGTGTTCGTTTAGCCTAGTGCCCAGTTTCTTTGCCGTTTCACCGATGTATGTACTCCCAGGCTGCATGAGATTGGTATCTACTCTGCATCACTATCCTTACATTTGATTTTGTAATTAACCACTCATTTCTCCTCAAACGCGATCACATCTTTTGTCTCGATTCGCGAGGCCATAAACATTCATGCCTTGCGACCGGCAATGAACCGTGATCAGGGCTACCACCTTCCCTCAATTTATGGAAAAATTTTGCAGCCTCATCAAAGCAAGGCTGGGAATAACAGCAAACGTCACTGATGATGGGATCCGGATGCTGCCCAATTTTCAAAACATTGTTCATGAGGGGGATTATTTCTTTGGAACAAAAAGTTTACTTTGTTCTTTTTTAAAGTCTTGTGTTTAAACATTCTGCATCATGACGGTAGATACCAATCTCCTCTTGGCCGTCTTCGAAAGCAAGGTTACACAGCTCCACTGGGCAAGTGGAAAAATCATTTCCGGGGGAAACACCATGCGGTGCATCTACGAATTGCAAACTACCTGGCTGTATACATCTGCTTTGGATCCCGAACTCTCTCCGGTTGCTTTCTCGCCTGTTAATCAAAGCAGGCATTACAAGCCGGTTGGGTGTCTGTTGCTGTAAATGAGGATTTCCATTTGCGTTATTCCTGTTGTCATACAATGGCGACTTTTTATCGCACCATCCCAGTAAAATCTTGTGGAACGTTTGCCGAAATTCGCGGTTGCGGAGGCCATAAACGATGGGATTACACACCGAGTTCCCGTACTGAAGCTATTTAATTATCCGTGCTATGAAAGTTGGTGGTATTTTGTTTAGCACTTCACACCCGATGCTTGAGGACGAACAAAGTCCGAACGCAAAGTTGATGCCAAAAAACGGCGTCCAACAAATGATAAAAAGACCTGTCACTACTGCCACAGTTATAGAAATACGCAAATCCTGAAACCAAAACACAGCCAGCCATTAAACTTAGGCGTAGAAAGATCTTTATAGTTCTAATAGTACCTTTTAAAATGTAAATGGGGTGGGGGGAGGGGGAGGGAAGAAAATGTGCAGCAAAGTTACAAGAGACTAGGATATTTTAAAGGGGAGGTGCCGTCTTGAACCCTAGAGATGTGGCTTAACTTTCCTGAGGGGAGGGGGAGGGGTTAGTAGAGTATTCGGGGCCCCCAGTAGCTGGCTAAACGCTATTGCGGTTACTCTTGCCTTCCGACAATCAAAAAGCTAATAAAGTAATATACAAAAGTTTTTAGTCCAACAGTCCTATACTCCAGTCGACAGTGGTGTCGGGTTTTTTTTTACGTCCTCTTACTTTGCAGTACTGCACTACATTTTGTTTTGAAAACCTGACGTCATTTCTTTGGTTTGTACATGTAAGACGATGGAAACGATGGGAAGTTGTTGTCGTTTTATTAAACGTAATCTTTTTAAATTTTGTAATTTAAATGAATTTGAGTTAATATCTTGTACATTTAAACAGTTTTTACAATTGTGTGTATTTTGCATTTTTTATTTTTAAGTCTATGAGATCCTTTTTGAAAACCATATTTTATATGAAAAAGTTATCTCAATTAACAATTATTCCACGAGGGCGCGTTCAGTGGCGGATCCAAACCTTCAAATAAGGGGAGGGGCGGGGGTCATCCAGACCCTGAGAAAAGGGGTGGGGCCGGTCTCAAAAAAAAATTTTTCGAGCCCGTTCGGGCCCCGAGTTTGGTCTACAAATAAGAGAGGCCCCTCCCCTGGATCCGCCTCTGGCGCTGGATATCAGATGGTAGATAGCCAACGATGGCTATAATCATCTCATATATAATCATCTCATATCCAACAAGCGCGAGTGGAATAATTGTTTTATTAAAAACGCCCACAAAATCTCGATGAATCTCTCCGACTTTATTTTGTTAGAACAAGCCGGAAAAGACAAGGGACTTCCGCTTTTCACGTGTCACACGTCTATCAAAACTCTCAACGCGCGAACGAACTGGGTGAATTATCATGAATGAAAAATCATGATCAATACGTCATTAGCTTGAACAATTTTAAAAATTCATCGGGATTCTAGGATTTTACACAGCATAGCAGCTAAAAAATCTCCCAGGTAATGAGAACTCAGGTAAATTAAGGCATGGGCCTCAATTTGCCTCAATTTGCTCACTTCAAAAGTGAGGGGGTGATCTATATCTAAGAGCTTTAGATGTAGACACATAAAACTTTGCCAGCTGCTCTCATTTTTAGTTTGTGCCGATTTCACTTTTTCGTGTGTCCTCAACTTTTTTACCGGTTGCATAATGTTAAGGCCGTTTAATATATCACTTCTGTCCTTCGCCTTTTTTAGATATTTGAAAGCGAAGGCGTTAAGATCTGATAAAAATGCCTTGGGGGACTGGGTCTAGTTGAAAAAACCGTTTATTTTCTAAAACAGTAAAAAATTCAAAAAAGGCCAAGCACAGTTTTGTACATGCTTGCATTACACATGGTCCTAAACCAGTCCGGTTTAATAACTCACAACAAAAAGTGTTGCCATTGTTTTCTGACCGTGTGGAGTCACGTGACAACATTTGCATAATTGAAAAACACCAGAACAGAAAACACACATGTATGTATCTGGCAAATTCTCATCTTTCTCGTGCTTACGTGCTCAGAGATAGAGCACCCCCCATCACTTTTTCACTGAATCATTTGGGGCCAATGCCTTCATTTACCTGCGAACAAAAAGAATTTTTAAGTGCAGCCGTCGAAATTACTGTGAATTTGGATTTTTGGCGCAGTTACAAAAGTAAGAACGATGGAGGAAAACTATTCCCTCGGTTGCCATTCAGAAACTCATGCAAAGCTTGTTATGAAGTTGTTTGAAGCCGCCAGCTGGTTTTGCTTAACGAGAGAAGAAGCTATACTGACGCCTGATTGCTGTAGTGAATGGCTGCATAGCCTGTTAGTTTCTTGTGATTTATATTCTTTATGTCGGATGATCAGGCTGCAGTTATGTATCGGTGAGTGGCTTCGCGGTCATGGAGAAACAATACTTGTCTTCTTTCGTAGCTGCTCGAGGTATTTTAGTTTCTTGTCTTTTCATGTGTTTTTCGATAAACTTTCAAACAAACTCTTGTGGCTTTTTTATTTGTTTGTTTTTTTTCCTATAAAATTGCATTTCGAGTATTTCTAAGAATTAAAACGATTCAAGTTTCTTCAGGCGCCATTCTATCCTTCGGAAAAAAAGTCTCAGGTTTGAACTGACGCGTACACTGACCATATATGGAGATCATGGTATAATGGCTCATGTACCATGATGGCTAAGCCAATCAAAATGCTCGAATTGCATTAGCATTAAATGATTCAGTTTTTAATAATAAAGATTATTATTATTCTTTTGAAATATAAGATGAAAAATATTGTGTATTTGGTAACGAAAATAAACTAAGTGTTAGGTAATGTTCGATGGAACGTTTGAACTCGTTTAAGCACGGTCTAGCATCATCTAGCTCCCAACACCGCTCAACAAGGTTTTCAAAAGGATCTCAAACGTTAGATCCAGCAATGCTGGACATTGAACCAACATTGACAATCCGTTTTAACCGGCTTGAAGATTGGTACCTTTTTGAAGGAACTCACGCCTCTGCCATGAGCATGCGCTCTAGCTATGCGAAAAATCTTGCCATAAGCTGCCAAAATAACGATAAGTGGAACGAAGAGGAATGTCACGGTTATTATCAAACCTGTCACACCAGTCTGTACAGGAATCGCTACCATCGATCCAGCGAATGAGGCTAGAACCCACACACCAAAGATTACGGCTAACAACGACCCTGTAAGCGACAAAAAGAAATGCAGCATAATTTGATTCAGTTCAAAACGCACGTTTTCATGTTTTAATAAGTATCAACTGTTAATGACGGTGGGCTAAGGCGAGCATGTGGGCCCTTTTATTTTTCTTTCTGGAAATTGCTAACGATCTCATGTTTCAAGTCTTTTGCATGACCGATTCCGATTGCAATACGAGCTTAAAGGCTTTCGCCTACGACTTTTAAACACTCGTAACCGCCTTACTAATATACTGTCTGGGTTTTGGCCCCGTAGACACACAAATGCGTTTTCAAAAGTATGCATTTTCGTTGTCATCGAAAACGAATCGATCGAGTCGCGTCCACACTACGGTTCTGATGTTTTTTCATCTGTCCACAATAAAACTTTCGAAAACGATACAATTGCACGTTGTCACGTAAGTTGAACTCTGTGTGCATGCTACAAACACACGCGCCTGCGATATTTTCGGACATTGTTTTAACCTTAATGCGTTTTCAGTCCGGCGGCTTAGCTCCAAAGTTCAGGTGAATTGTGCCCTTTTTGATACAAGCATGAAATTTGGCACACTCATAGAAGTCCTGCAATACAATCATTTTCAGATATAGTGCCAAGCCCAAAATACGTCGTTTTCCATAGAAACCACAATTAATTAAAATTAATGAAAATTTTTGCTTGTCCTAGTTTATCCTGAAATGCTATCATTTTAGTCATTGGTATTAATCTGTTTTGCACGTACGTCTTCTTTATCACATGCCACTTAACAATATGTTTTCATGGCAACAGGAAAATAAAAATTAAAGAGGCTATATCACACCATTTACTTTCTTTTTGAAAAACCTAAAATGTGTCTTCGTTGCAATTGAATTCTAACAATAATGGCCTAGTTTCGTCGGTTGCTAGGATCTGAAGCAAAACATGGAAACGTTGGGCCAACATTTTCAAGTTTTAATGCCGTGCCTGCTAAAATCACCAAAAATATACAATGGTTTGTGCTCCTTGATGCTTTCTTTTCCCTAACTCTACTGGAGCATTGTTTTGTATGGGTAAAGGCACTAAGTTTAAGCAAAGAATTGGCACAAAACAACAATCTCCTCATGACAATAGCCCTTTTAGTTGCTTTGAATATTTAATATTATACAAGTTAGTCACGAATGCATTGTCCATCACATATACAAAGCGGGGTATGTGGAAGGTCTGCCTTTACACAATCATTTGCATATTCTGCTGCAACTCTTTTTACAACCACAATGGACCAGTTCTTTGCAGATGACAGCCGCTGCTAGTTAAGCGTAACCCATTGTGGTTCCAGCTGCTCTTTTCTTCCAAGGATCCAGCCCTAATTTGGTGGTTCAGGAAGAACAGGATTGCTGGCGGTTGCCTGTCCCCACATGTATCCTCCTCCTTGATATGCGGTGCGCTTCGCGTGTTGTTCCAGAGCGTCACGAGTGGGTGGAAGGCCTTCCAACCCTCTCCCTTTTTCTTGGCGAACAAGTACTTTCGGGCATCATTGACCTGGAACAAATACCAAATAGTAACTATAAATAAATGCAAACATTACACCATCACAATTTCTCAAGAAGAAACCGATTGTTTTCTAAATTAACACCCTCCTTGCTGAAGTGGCTAGTCCTATCGCAAATCAGAATGACGAATCGTTTTATTGTGCACAGATTCTCCTCAGAAATATTAGAGGGGGTCCCTGCCAGCTCGAGAAATGTCCTTGTAACATCTGGAAAGTTCTCCCAGCGAAGAAGGATGTTGTGTCGCACCCTGTAAGGGCATGGAAGATGGGGAAACACTTTGACTTAGACGGACCAAGAGCCTTTGCAAAGAGATGTACCAGTAGGATCCTGTGTTTTCTTCTGGTTCCATAGGACACCATAATTCCTTTAGGTCTAAAGTCGCAACAACTAACACTACCACGCCAGTGCCTGTTGATCGAGACATGACTGACTGGTATATGAACCATCATTCTTGTGTCTACTTGTTCATGCGAACAGGGTGACAATTTATTCCTTCTTGTCGCAGGTGGAGAGCAGAGTACCTCTTCTCCTCGTGTAACTATGATTTGCGTGCCCTCGATCGCTGTTCTCACGACCTGCTCTGACACGAACAGGAACAGCTCCTTCTTGTTGTTATGTAAACGTAAGAATTCTTGCCAGTTTCGGAGTACCGTAGCAGATGGAAGAACTCTTCCTTCTGGCGCCAGTGCCTCTCTTCTGCCTTGCGCTGGCTTTCAAACTGTTAGGGATATATTCATCCCACACCAAATCCAGCCTTTGTACATTTTCAATTGACTGTTTGATTTAGGGCAGAAAGACCTTCCTCGCTGTATTCCATGAACAGAATTGTGGCAGAATGCGCGTCCAATACAACAACCCATGAGTGTTTCTCTCATGTGCCCACCAATTTATCCATGCACTGTATTAAGTCACATTTGCTACCTGACCTAATTCTCTCACAGTCCGATAATGAAAGAGAAGAGCCTTGATCATCATGAGAAAGAAAATCATTGAGGTCGCCATCTCGACTTTGACATCCGATGTATAGCTTCGAAGACAGCAGTTTCTACAGATTTTAGCTTCATTTTCTCTTTTGATGTTGAAATCTTAGACCCTGGTTTCCACAAACGAAGATTATTTCTTGAAATGCTGTCGTCGATTGGCTAAGATCTCTCCGTAAGCCTACCTTTCTTTGATGAAGAGTTCATACTGCCCCTTTCAAACTGACTCAATGTTGTTCAAAGTAGCTTTGCTGGATCAGCTATATGTCTTTCGATACAAGTGAGATCAGGTCTTCAAATGGGTTGCCAAGCTCTTTTCTATAGTAGAAACCAGAGATTGAACTTGCAAGTCTTGTCGGTGTTGTCCTCCTTTAATGTACTCTCAAACTCTTTTACCACTCTTGCCAGCTCCGGTCCAGCCACTATCCATCTTAAAAGTGCACCAGGAGTCTCAGTGATTCCAATACCCCCGCCGTCCTCCTTGATTAACTCATTATTCTGTTCATGAGCCTGGTCTAGTGGTATAGAAGAAAAAGTATTGGTCATCTTCTGCACTGTAAATTTCCACCACTTGTCGAGAACACATTGTAGACATGCGGGTGTTTATTTGGTAGTTCTACCATGTCCCTAATATGAACAGGTAGCCACCGCGAATAATTAGTGCGATCTAGAGCGAACGTCCAAGGGGTAATTGCCATCAAAGCAGCTGTATACTGTCTGAAGTCCGATTGTCGAAAGGAGCGCACGAGAATGAGAATAAGTAACTCAAACGTGACGTTCATATTCCAGAATTGGAATTGTGGGATATTGCTGGCATGATCTTTGCACCATTTGGGGAATGGAGGAGGGTTCTCCGCGGATTTTGCGTAGCAATTCTTATAGGGCCTCTGTTGAGGATGCCGTAACTTGATGGAGGTATCTTGTACGTGTAATGTGCGTAGAAGTTACTAATGACTCAGCCCTTCCAGTGGTGGTTATCCCGACTTGAGCAATAGCCTCTGTCCATCCACTTCCCAACAGCCATGATCCTGTTGCTTTGACAACGGCTAACTCTATGAGAAGTCCACCAATCATATCTACCAGCTTATCTTCTCCCATGTTGTCTTGATATCTCTATGGTATTTCCTTAGCTAAACCATATATGGGTTGATCGAATGCTATAACTGCGGTTTGCCCTTGGTTGAGGTGTTCAACAGCTTTCATAGCAACAGTTATGCCATGCTTGATCATGGCTATAGAGTGAGCAGCTTCTGCAAGAAGAGGCAGCAACGATCTCTGTCATCGTACCGGTTGTCGCGTTTCTGTCGTTCTCCGTGGTAAGCAGACCATGATACTCCATTTCCAGCTTGCTTGGCAACAGTGGGTTGCACATCCTCTTTGTCTTAATTTTTGACATGACCAAGGAGGTATATATGTTGGTGTAGCTGGATGGCAGTGGGCCTGTAGTCTTTGATGCAGACACATTTCTTTGCTTAAAGCTTGCGTTTTCCACACCTTTCCCTTCCACAGTTAAGGGTGCTGTATTAGTGAAATGCTGGTGACATGAAATGAACTTACTGCCTTTGTCCACGAAGTGTTGGGGTCGAGATTATCAACCGCGGCTGTAGTGAATACGTTTGTTTTCAAGTTTGGAGGGCATACCGTGTCCGTCGCCTTGAAGTGTTCATAAACAGCGTTTGCCATATCTGACGACAATCGTAGCACTTCATCGTACGAAAATGACATGCCAGGTGAATGTAGTCTGTCTATAAGATCCCTCTTGCGTGTTTTCATATGAAGCATCACACCGATGTGAACTGGTAATGGAGTCTCTTAACTTTTGACAAGCCGAGTACATTCTTCTATCTTACGGGTCTGTTTCACGCTATTGAATTTAAGAAGCTGAGTAATGTTAATGCAGCCTGACTTGGCTTTCCAGTTGACTGACATTTAGTTTTGGCCCCTCTTTCTGGTAAATAATACATTTTAACCTGTCAATAGTTTGATGTTACTGCATGATTTCCACGTCTTCTCGTCAACCCATTTTCTTTTGTTCTCCGATCAAACCGGCCTGAATAATATTCTCTAGCTGCATGCAGCGATCGAGGCGCATGCCCCAAATTCAGAGTGAAAACCAAGAGAAAGTTGAGAAAAAGCACGTGCAGATAAATTCCAAATTACGGCCTGTATTCAAATAATTAATTTTCCGAGAAAATTAAAATAATTAGTATAAAAAAGAAGAGAAGATAATAACAATTTGACTCCAAATTTAAGCAACTGTATATGTATTTTGAAAGGAAACGTGTATTAAATCACAAAAAACAGCAAGAAATGTACCTCGAGGGGGTCTCGCGTCTGAAAATTTTGCTAGCTGCTAACTAGCTGAAATTAGAAAATTTCACTTGGCACTATATCTGGATATGACTAGTATGAGAATGTATATGTTCCTACAAATTTTGGTGCTTGTATCAAAAATCGCAAACTTCCCAAGCTAAGCCACCGTCCACACTAATACGAAGTGCATGCATTTTTGTTTTCATCCATTTTTAAGAGCGTTTTCGAATCGATCCGTTTTCGATGAAACCGCTTAGAGTATTAGTGTGGATGGAGAGGCCTAAACGCATCCAAATGTTTTGCGTTTGAAAACGAAAACGCAGTATTGTGGACGGGGCCAAAGTGCATGGTCATCAAGAAGAAGAAGAAGAAATGGTGTTTAAAATCAAGGAGGAAAACCTTTAAGGGTATTGGCACCAACATCTGTAGCCTCGGCTGTGCAATTTCAGTAAGAAATAATTAGAAATAAAATATTATGCACAACATACGTTTGCTGATGTTGCGATGCTTTATGGGATAAATCAGAGCGTAACATCTCTCCAAGCTTATGGCTGTGAGATTAAGAACCGAAGACACTCCACAGATGATGTCAAAGATCATATGAACGGTGCGTAATTGATAGCTGTTTGTTACTGATACATAAACGTACAGCGGCACAGAAATTGTTCCGATCAGTATGTCAGCGGTTGCTAATGATATCAATAACATATTACTTGCTGTGCGAAGTCGTCGGTTGACTTGAAATGCACCAATCACCAGCGAGTTTCCAAACACAATCATCAAAGCAAGGATGCAAAAGACGACAACAAAGGCGATATCAACTTGGTGCGATCGGGCAGAAAGTTGGGGTGTACGTTCAATTCCAGTTGTAGCATTTGAAGTATTTGTTGCGTTCGCGAATGCAGTGAAGAATTTGTTGCTATCCATTGGTGGCCGGTTGGTCTACGAGACAAAATATAAAATTGACAGCAATTCTAACATAGACCCATCGCAATAAAAGAAACATGGACCCTTCACACAAGGTATTTCTCATTTATTTTGCAATTTTTTTAGCTTATAAGCTAGTCTCGGCACTCGGCAAATTTCCCGATTTGGCAAACATCAAAATATGTTGGCAATTTTGTCATAATTTTTAGCTAAGGCAAATGAATGGTGCAACGGTTTTATTGGAAATTATACTTTTCTCAGCTTTCAGAAAATGGGGTGCAGTGCGGATGGACTCAATTTAACCCTGCTTCCTCACTATCGACATAAAGGCGCGGGCTCGGTTTCGTGGAAAGAACTCTTTCATCTTGTTTTCATGATAGGCGGTCAAATTGATTGGTCTCCTTTTGTTTTTAAGGTGGCTCGATACAGTTTTTCAGGGTCAATACCTCCCAAGTTTGAGCATAAACTATGTCGCCAAAAACAAAGTTTTGGAAAAATTGCCACCACAGTTGTATTAGATGAAGATGAAAATTTGTTATGATTAGGGTTGCAACGGCATCGGAGTTGTCATGGCAACGAAATGATGCTATTACATATTTTACTTACAGCAGCCTATCTCAGCACTGGGAACTGTTCTTCGAAAATCAATCACGGGAGCTCTTTCCTCCAATAGCAGCCTCGATGTTCGTGAAGTTTAAGCGAAATCTGTTAGAGCGTTATCGAGATATTTTGTGATAAAGTTTTTATAGTTAGAAACACAGTAAAAAATGGACAATATTGTTGTTTGGCTGTTATCTGTAGAAAATTGAGCGCTTTCGACATGAAATTTCACCTTATAGTAGTTTCAATATTTTTAAAAGCGTATGTGAAAGATCATGGGAGATAGCTCCAGCCGATTGCTAGAAAGAAGGGTTTGATTAGTATGCATCGAAGAGCTCTTGTTAGCGGTTTTGTAAACATTTTGGTCTACTTTAACAAATTAGCGAATAATTTTTAAACCGCTCAATAGATTTTTTTAGATTTGTTTATGACCTTTTAGTTTCAAGATTATTGATATATCGTAAGGCAGTAGAATAAGGGCTGCAATTCGTTACTTTTTTTATCGGAAGTTTCGTCATTATAAGTGAAAGCCTCTAATTATTCAAGGCATTGTCTCCAAGTTTCATTTCACGTGAACAGCAGTAACTAACAATGCATTTGAAATATGCAAAAATTCTAGCTATTGTTGTGCACGAAAAAAAAAAACTTGGACACAATACCCTGAATAATGAGAGGCTCATACTTGTAAAAACAAACTTTCTGCCAAAATATTAGCGAACTGTAGCCCTTATTTTACTGCCTTACAATATATCAATAATCTTGAAACTAAAAGGTCATATAAAAGGAAGGTTAATCTCAAGAATCTTAAATTTTTAAAAAAATCTATCGAGCGGTTTAAAAATTATTCGCCTCGATACATACTAATCAAACCCTTCTTTCTAGCAATCGCCTGGAGCTATCTCCTTGATCTTTCACAAACGGTTTTAAAAAGATTGAAACTACTATGAGGTGAAATTGCATGTCAAAAGCACTTCGTTTTCTACAGATAACAGCCGAACACCAAGATTGTCCATTTTTTACCGTATTTCTAACCACAAAATCTTTATCCCAAGATATTTCGATAACGCTCTTACAGATTTCGCTTAAACTGCTATTGGAGGAAAAAGCTACCGTGAATGATTTTCGAAGAACAGTTCCCAGTGCCGAGATATACTGTTGCAAGTAAAATAGGTAATAGCGTCACTTCGTTGCTATGACAACTCCGATGCCGTTGCAACCCTGATCATAACAAATTTTCATCTTCATCTAATACAACTGTGGTGGCAATTTTTCCAAAACTTTGTTTTTGGCGACGTAGTTTATGCTCAAACTTGGGAGGTATTGACCCTGAAAAACTGTATCGAGCCACCTTAAGGTGATTCAGCAAGGTTAAAAAGTGGCAAAAATAAAAGCAGAAGGTCCATTATATAATGAGGTCTATTAGCGGGGTAAGTGAGTTGTAAAACAAAGTTCTCAGCTTAGATCAGTCACAGAAAATTATCTGTTCTTTTCAAAAGGCCAAGTCGCTTTCCTATATTTGATACGGTTGTTTAAAAGCAGTTGTCTATCTTTATGCCAAGTAGTTTAGTATCGGTTACAGAATCAAGTTGAACCTCAATTGTTCTGCATTAAGATTTCTCCCGTTCAAGCAGTTAGCTTCAAACTTATGCTGTAGACAATCGCTTGCATGCAGGGACGAGAATCATCAGCAAACGGAAATGCAACTTACATATGAGATTCTGGGACCGAAAACCCGAACTTACCCTATGGCTATGTGGAAGACAAGATCATAGCACCAGCCTAATCACCAATTAACCGACTGCTGTTTCATCCACGAACACTGAGATACACTTTAGAAAATAGAAGTAATTGATCATGTAACTGAAAAGGAAGCAGCGTACTTACCACGGAAACTGCGAGGTACTCTTCTCTTTGACGCAACCAGCAGTCAGATGAAAGTTATGCTGTTTGTTAGCTCTAATCAATGGTCAATTTTCTGTACGAGTCATAGAACCGTGAAATCTTGACATTTTGACGCTTTTGCAATCGTGAGGTAATGAACCGTTTACCCACTAGATCATTCTTTCTGTTGACATTTGCATGAAAAAACGATCATTGATCCTAGCGCACTTGAAAAAGGATTAAAAATAAGAGGGCAGTCTTTGCCAAATCATTGATATCATATCAGAAGATTATAGTTTTTGTTTGATATTAGTCAAAAGTAAATCAACTGCAGTAAAGATACAGTCCAGTTCAGAACATCAGGTTACATTTCCAAAGCTACTCCCGGCGTTGTTTAGCATTGGTCATCCAGTGCAGGACGGGCGATTTTGGGTATTCTTAGAGTCGACGGTATTAATTTTTAGTGCCTATTAAAAGCCACCTGCCTATGATTTTAAAAAAAGCCATCGTTTATGATTTTTTCAAAAAACTGTTATGAATCATTGAAATAGTTTGGAAATGAATTAACTGACGATGAATTGCGAGATTTAGAATTTTAGACCAGACGTCACATTTCCATGTTCAGTTTAGAAAAAGACACGTCATTCATGTTCACTGAACTGGGAATGGACCCGAACGACGCATGTATTTTGTAGGAATAAACTTCCTTCGTGGAAACAATCATATCGCGTACTTACCACGGAAACTGCGAGGTACTTGTTATGGAGTTTTTAGAAAGTTATTTTTAAGACACATCTATCTTATCTTTTAAGGTTAGTTTTTGTTTCATTAAGTCTTGTTTTAGTCCACGTACTGTTTTCCTGTTTCGATCTTTTGTTTTCACTTGTACTTGATTTTATGCTTAGCTCGCGAATTTACTTGTTGCCATATTAGGAATTTTATTCGCTTGGCATTGCATTGTGAGGGGGACATGGGGGTTTACGGTATTGCGGTATTAGGGTTTTTTCATGCGGTATTTCGGTAATATTAATTTGTGGTATCATCTAGCTCTGCGGTATGCGGTTTTTCATCATTTTGGCTGACAGTATTCGGTGAAATAAGATTGTTCACAGTATTACGGTACCGTTCATTTGCGCTTTTCTTTCGATACGATACGCAAAACACAGTTGGACATAAAGGTCAATAAAAGTTAATAATTAGAAGTCTTAGACATAACGGTAAATGATTACACCATTTGTGGGTCATTTTGTGACAGTTAATGGTCGATAATATACAATGTGATTGTTGTTGCAGCCAATGATAGTTTTAGGTTTATCAGGCTTTTCGATACACGTTTTCTCACAATGGCTGAGGTCGCTGAGGTTGAAGACGGCGTGGTCATCATTGACTGTGTGGCAATTTTTTATGAAGAGGGGGAAGGAGGCGAACATTATCGCAAAAAGAGTAACTTTAGATGTCGGGTTTCGGGAATCAGTAAAAAAACGCCTTGTAAAGTTAAAAGAGAAAATTTGGTAAGTTTGCCTCTTACCGGTAGCCTGCGTAGCAGGCGCTTGGAAGTAGTGGGCACGAGAAACTCGCGCGCGCCCGTTCTCTCTTTCGCCCACTCCTTCCAAGCGCCTGCTACGCAGGCTATACTTACCGGCTCGGCGTGTGAGACAGTCGAGATAGTTGACCCCTGACAGACTGACGTGCTAGACTAGACTCACTTATCAAAACTCGCACTAGATGTGCGTGGAAAGGGTTTTGGTTGGTTTGTTTTTCCGCTTTCAAGAGTTATTTTTATTGGAGTTAGCTGTTGGGGTCAACCTACCAAAGGTTGAACGAATGTACTTTACTTTTCAGTGAAAATTTGCGAACTACCAAAATATTGATAAAAACATGGAAATCTGGTGCATAATTGCCTGAGATAATTAAACGCGCAAGATTGAAGCAACCATAAGTATGGGGAACCGATTAAAAATGTGATTAAAATATGCGGTATTGGTATTTAGACGATTTTCGACGCGGTATTTCGTTATTTGCCATTGTTTCTTACGGTATTGCGGTAACCCCCAATGCCCCCCTCTGTTAGCTGGGTAACTGAGTTGTTAAACAAAGTTTTCAGCTTAGATCAGTCACAGAAAATTATCTGTTCTTTTCAAAAGGCCAAGTCGCTTTCCTATATTTGATACGGTTGTTTAAAAGCAGTTGTCTATATTTATGCCAAGTAGTTTAGTATCGGCTACAAAATCAAGTTGAACCTCAACTGTTCTACATTAAGATTTCTCCCGTTCAAGCAGTTAGCCCCACATTTATGCTGTAGACCGTCGCTTGCATGCAGGGACGAGAATCATCAGGAAAGGCAAATGCAACTTACATATGAACTTCTGGGACCGAAAACCCGAACTTACCCTATGGCTATGTGGAAGACAAGCTCAGAGCACCAGGCTAATCACCAATTAACCGACAGCTGCTTCGTCCACGAACACTGAGATACACTTCAGAAAATAGAAGTAATTGATTATGTAGCTGAAAAGGAAGCAGCGTACTTACCACGGAAACTGCGAGGTACTGTTCTCTTTGACGCAACCAGCAGTCAAATGAAAGTTATGCTGCTTGTTAGCTCTAATCAATGGTCAATTTTCTGCACGAGTCATAGAACCGTGAAATCTCGACATTTTGACACTTTTGCAATCGTGAGGTAATGAACCGTTTACCCACTAGATCATTCTTTCTGTTGACATTTGCATGAAAAAACGATCATTGATCCTAGCGCACTTGAAAAAGGATTAAAAATAAGAGGGCAGTCTTTGCCAAATCATTGATATCGCATCAGAAGATTATAGTTTTTGTTTGATATTAGTCAAAAGTAAATCAACTGCAGTAAAGATACAGTCCAGTTCAGAACATCAGGTTAAATTTTCAAAGCTACTCCCGGTGTTGTTTAGCATTGGTTATCCAGTGCAGGACGGGCGATTTTTAGTATTCTTAGAGTCGACGGTATTAATTTTTAGTGCCTATTAAAAGCCATCTACGCATGATTTTAAAAAAAGCCATCGTTTATGATTTTTTCAAAAAACTGTTATGAATCATTAAAATAGTTTGGAAATGAATTAACTGACGATGAATTGCGAGATTTAGAATTTTAGACCAGACGTCATATTTCCATGTTCAGTTTAGAAAAAGACACGTCATTCATGTTCACTGCATGAACTGGGAATGGACCCGAATGACGCAGGTGTTTTTTAGGAATAAACTTCCTTCGTGGAAACAATCATATCGCGTACTTACCACGGAAACTGCGAGGTACTTGTTATGGAGTTTTTAGAAAGTTATTTATAAGACACATCTATCTCATCTTTTAAGGTTAGTTTTTGTTTCATGAAGTCTTGTTTTAGTCCACGTACTGTTTTCCTGTTTCGATCTTTTGTTTTTACTTGTACTTGATTTTATGCTTAGCTAGCGACTTTTACTTGTTGCCATGTTAGGAATTTTATTCGCTTGGCATTGCATTGTGAGGGGGACATGGGGGTTTACGGTATTGCGGTATTAGGGTTTTTTCATGCGGTATTTCGGTAATATTAATTTGTGGTATCATCTAGCTCTGCGGTGTGCGGTTTTTCATCATTTTGGCTGACGGTATTCGGTGAAGTAAGATTGTTCATGGTATTACGGTACCGTTTATTTGCGCTTTCCTTTCGATACGATACGCAAAACAAAACACAGTAGGACATAAAGGTCAATAAAAGTTAATTAGAAGTCTTAGACATAACGGTAACTGATTTACACCATTTGTGGGTCATTTTGTGACAGTTAATGGTCGATAATATACAATGTGATTGTTGTTGCATCCAATGACAGTTTTAGGCTCACGAGGCTTTTCGATCTGTGTACCTGTGCCGGTAATACGAGGTCTTACACGTTTTCTCACAATGGCTGAGGTCGCTGAGGTTGAAGACGGCGTGGTCATCATTGGCTGTGTGGCAATTTTTTATGAAGAGGGAGAAGGAGGCGAACATTATCGCAATTATATCAATGTAGTTTACTTTTCAGTGAAAATTTGCGAACTACCAAAGTATTAATAAAAGCATGGACATCTGGTGCATAAATGCCTGAGATAATTAAACGCGCTAGATGAAAGCAACCATAAGTATGCAGCGATTAAAAATGTGATTAAAATGTGCGGTATAGGTATTTAGACGATTTTCGACGCGGTATTTCGGTATTTGCCGTTGTTTCTTACGGTATTGCGGTATTGGGTGCCCCCCAATGTCCGCCTCGGTTAACTATCTTCAAAAACTCATTAATATTCAGAAGGCATATTATTGGGACGTAAATCGTAAGACCAAGAGAGACTGTCATCTGGAAGTCATCTCGGTAAAACTTACAATTGCTTTAAGGTGTTTCGATACGGTTTTTTAAGGGCCATACGTACCGATATTTTGTGATTCGTTTTCCTTGTCCGATCGCTATAAAATGTTCACCAGTAATTGGCTATGGATTGAAATTTGTGAAAATGTAGTTTTAAGTAAAATCGATATTACTATGACAACAATAAACAAAAAAAATTTGAAATTGATAAAAGCCGAATTTTGCGGGATCTAGCTAGACCAGCTACTGGAAATCCAACACTTGGAACTATAAAGTTTGGTGTTTAGCAAACAATCTCCGTAAGAACTAAAAAATTCTGTATGTTTGAATTCGACTAAAACGAAAATATATCTCAGACCTTTTTAAATTTTCAATAGCCGTGATAGATTATTTAATGAAAGCGTTATAAATGACTCAAATTATTTTTAAGCAGGGTCAGAATGCTGCTTAAAATCATTTTTCGATGCTAGGAAATTTTGGTGTATTTTCGTCTTTGAGATCTTGAAAACTAACCCGTTTTCTCAGCATCTGTATAAGTGCAACTTCATTCAAAATGTTGACTTTTAGCGCTTTTTTGTATATCTCTGAAACGACTGGAACGAATTTTTTTGAAATCTCGTCACATAATCTTCATAATGTATATTACAAGGTCTGAAACTTTCATAGAGATTGATTTACTGCAACATCTTAAAATTTCAAGAAAAACCTATCCTACGACCCTGTCAAAAATCTGCGTTACAACATTCACTGTTTTGACGTTATGCTAATTTTTCCAAAATGATGCGGACAATACATACCTCCATGACTAGTACATTTTAGCTTGAATTTATCGCACTTGTGAATGTAAAACATTGACAATACTTACTAACAGGAACATATCTTTAATTCCTAATTTAAGTATAATTTATCACATAGTTGTTGCCAAGTAAAAAAAAGAATAAAACAGAAAAAATGCTCTTTTATCTGCGGACGTGTTCCCAATTTTAAAATGTTCGCAATTTTGTCATATAAATCTGTACGTAACACTTTACTTAATTGATTTTACCAAAAACTGCGATTTCTCCAATTTTTTGCAATTTTTGGAGAAACAGCAGAAATTGCAGAAATCGCAGTTTTTGCTGGCCACCCTTAACTTGTATCTCCTCTAACACTTGACTTAATTAGTTTTCGCAAAAACTGCGATATCGATTTCTCCAATTTTTCGAAATTTTTGGAGAAATCGCAGGAATTGCAAAAATCGCAGTTTTTGCTGGGCGCCCTTCTACCTCCTTTACCACTTGAATTTGGTAGTTTTAGAAAAAAACTGCAATTTCTCCAATTTTTCGCAATTTTTGCTACTGCGTGCAAACTTGGACATATCTTGCGTCAAAGCAGATGGTTTTCCCGGCCAATAACTTGTACATTGGCCATAGTATCTACACAGCAGACTTCAGATTGTAGGATTACAGGCTCTCACTGATTTCCGGTATTCGTTTAGCCTAGTGGCCAATTTCTTTGCCGTTTAACCGGTGCACATACTCCCAGGATGCATGAGACTGGTATCTAGTCTGCATCACTATCCTTACATTTGATTTTGTAACTAACCCCTCATTTCTCCTCAAACGCGATCACATATTTTGTCTCGATTCGCGAGGCCATAAACATTCATACCCTGCGACCGGCAATGAACCATGATCAGGGCTACCACCTTCCCCCAATTTATGGAACAATTTTGCAACCTCATCAAAACAAGGCTGGGAATAACAGCAAACTTCACTGATGATGGGATTCGGATGCTGCGCAATTTTCAAAACGTTGTCGATGAGGGGGATTATTTCTTTGCAACAAAATAGTTTACTTTGTTCTTTTTTAAAGTCTTGTGTCTAAAAATTCTGCATCGTGACGGTAGATACCAATCTCCTCTTGGCCGTCTTCGAAAGCAGGGTTACACAGCTCCACTGAGCAAGTGGAAAAATCATTTCCGGGGGAAACACCGTGCAATGCATCTACGAATTGCAAACTAACTGGCTGTATGCGTCTGACTTGGATCCCGAACTCTCTCCGGTTGCTTTCTCGCCTGTCAGTCAAAGCAGGCATTACAAGCCGGTTGGGTGTCTGTTGCTGTAAATGAGGATTGCCATTTGCATTATCTCCGTTGTCATACAATGGCGCCTTTTTACCGCACCATCCCAGTAAAATCTTGCGGAACGTTTGCCGAAATTCGCGGTTGCGGAGGCCATAAACGATGGGATTACACACCGAGTTCCCGTACTGAAGCCATTTAATTATCCGTACTATGAACGTTAGTGGTATTTTGGTTAGCACTTCACACCCGATGCTTGAGGACGAACAAAGTCCGACCGCAAAGTTGATGCCAAAAAACGGCGTCCAACAAATGATAAAAAGGCCTGTCACTACTGCCACCGTTTTAGCAATACGCAAATCCTGAAACCAAAACACAGCCTGCCATTAAACTTGGGCGTAGAAAGATCTTTATTGTCCTTGGTACCTTTTAACATGTAAGCAACTGGGAGGTGGAGGGGGGGAAGGGAAGAAAATGTGCAGCAAAGTTACAAGAGACTAGGAGTTTTTTAAAAGGGGTGCCGTCTTGAACCCCTATAGATGTGGCTTAACTTTCCTGGGGGGAGGGGGAGGGGTTAGTAGCGTTAGAGTGTTCGGGGACCCCAGTACCTGGCTAAACGCTATTGCGGTTACTCTGGCCTTCCGACAATTAAAAGGCTAATAAAGTAATATGCAAAAATTTTTAGACCAACAGTCCTATACTCCTTTCGACAGTGGTGTCGGGTTTTTTTACGTCCCCTTACTTTGCAGTAACACCACTACATTTAGTTTTGAAAACCTGACGTCATCTCTTTGGTTTGTACGCGTTAGAAGATGGAAACGATGAAAAGTTGTTGTCGTTAAACGTAATCTTTTTAAATTTGTAATTTAAATGAATTTGAGTTAATATCTTGTACATTTAAACAGTTTTTACAATTGTGTGTATTGTGCATTTTTTGTAAAGTTTATGAGATCCTAAAGTTTATGAGGCCCCTCCCCTGGATCCGCCACTGGCGTTGGATATGAGATGGTAGATAGCCAACGATGGCTATAATCATCTCATATCCAACAAGCGCGAGTGGAATAATTGTTTTATTAAAAACGCCTACAAAATCTCGATGAATCTCTCCGACTTTATTTTGTTAGAACAAGCCGGAAAAGACAAGGGACTTCCGCTTTTCACATGTCACACGTCTGTCAAAACTCTCAACGCGCGAACGGACTGGATGAATTATCATGAATGAAAAATCAATACATCATTAGCTTGAACAATTTTAAAAATTCATCGGGATTCTAGGATTTTACACAGCATGGCAGCTAAAAAACTCCCAGGTAATGAGAACTCGGGTAAATTAAGGCATGGGCCTCAATTTGCCTCAGTTTGCTCACTTCAAAAGTGAGGGGGTGGTCTACAGCTTTAGATGTAGACACATAAAACTTTGCCAGCTGCTCACATTTTTAGTTTGTGCCAACAATTTCGTGCTTTAAAATTATGCAAATTAGGTCACGTGACATCCATCGGCTGAAAAAGATTGTTCTTTAAACCGCAACACTTTTTCGTGTGTCCTCAATTTTTTAACGGTTGCATAATGTTAAGGCCGTTTAAAAGCGAAGGCGTTAAGATCTGATAAAAACGCCTTGGGGGACTGGGTCTAGTTGAAAAAACCGTTTATTTTGTAAAACAGTAACAAATTCAAAAAAGGCCAAGCACAGTTTTGTAGATGCTTGCATTACACATTGTCCTAAACCAGTCCGGTTTAATAACTCACAACAAAAAGTGTTGCCAGTTTTGTTTAAAGACTTTTTATTGTTTTCTGACCGTGTGGAGTCACGTGACAACATTTGCATAATTGAAAATCTCCAAATTGACAGAAACCACACATGTATGTATCTACCAAAGTCTCATCTTTCTAGTGCCTAAGTGCTGACCCATCCATCACTTTTTTACTGAATCATTTGGGTCCCATGTCTTCATTTACCTTCATTTACAAAAAGAATTTTTAAGTGTAGCCGTCGAAATTACTGTGAATTTGGATTTTTGGCGCAGTTACAAAAGTGAGAACGATGGAGGAAAACTATTCCCTCGGTTGCCATTCAGAAACTCATGCAAAGCTTGTTATGAAGTTGTTTGAAGCCGCCAGCTGGTTTTGCTTAACGAGAGAAGAATCTATACTAACGCCTGATTGTTGTAGTGAATGACTGCATAGCCTGTTAGTTGCTTGTGATTTATATTCTTTATTTGATCAGTCCCAGGTTTGAACTGACGCGTACACTGACCACATATGGAGATCATGGTATAATGGCTCATGTACCATGATGGCTAAGCCAATCAAAACGCTCGAATTGCATTATCCAATGATTCAGGCTTATTATTATTATTTTTAAATGTATGATGGAAAAATATTGTGTATTTGGGAACGAAAATAAACTAAGTGTTAGGTAATGTTCGATGAAACGTTTGAACTCGTTTAAGCACGGTCTAGCATCATCAGCACCCAACACCGCCCAACAAGATTTTCAAAAGGATCTCAAAGGTTACATCCAGCAATACTGGATGTTGAACCAACATTGTCAATCCATTTCAACAGGGCTTGAACAGTGGTACCTTTTTGAAGGAACTCGTGCCTCTGCCATGAGCATGCGCTCTAGCTATGCGAAAAATCTTGCCATAAGCTGCCAAAATAACGATAAGTGGAACGAAGAGGAATGTCACAGTTATTATCAAACCTTTCACACCAGTCTGCAGAGGAAACTCTACCATCGATCCAGCGAATGAAGCTAGAACCCATACACCAAAGATTACGGCTAACAACGACCCTGTAAGCGACAAAAAGAAAGGCAGAATAATTTTATTCAGTTCAAAACGCACGTTTTCATGCTGTAATAAGTATCAACTGTTTATGACGGTGGGCTAAGGCGTACATGTGGGCCCTTGTTATTTTTCCTTCTGGAAATTGCAAACGATCTCATGTTTCAAGTCTTTTGCATGACCGATTCCGATTGCAATACAAGCTTAAGGGCTTTCGCCTACGGTTTTTAAGCACTCATAACCCTTTCACTACCTCACTGTCTGGGTTTTAGGGCCCCTTAAAATATTTTTGGCCCTGTAGACACTCAAATGCGTTCTCAAAACTATGCGTTTTTGTTGTCATCGAAAACACATCGATCGATTCACGTCAAAACTACCGTTCTGATGCTTTTTCGTCTGTCCACACTAAATCATTCGAAAACGATACAATTGCACGTTGTCACGTAAGTTGAACTCTGTGCGCATGCTGCAAACACACGCGCCTGCGATATTTTCGGACATCAATTTCACCTTAATTCGTTTTTAGTCCGGCGGCTTAGCTCCAAATTTCAGGTGAATTGTGCACTTTTTGATATAAACATGAAATTTGACACACTCATAGAAGTCTGCCGATACAAACATTTTCAGACACAGTGCCAAGCATGGAATACGTCGTTGTCCATAGAAACCGCAATTAATTAAGATTTATGAAAATTGCTCCTTGTCCTAGTTTATCCTGAAATACTAATTAATCTGTCTTGCACGTACGTCTTCATTATTACATGCCACTTAACGATGTGTTGCCATGGCAACGGGAAAATAAAAATTAAAGGGGCTGTGTCACACCAGTTACTTTCTTTTTGAAAAACCTAAAATGTGTCCTCGTTGCAGTTGAATTCTAACAATAATGGCTTAATTTTGTTATTAGGATCTAAAGCAAAACAAGGAAACGTTGGGCCAACATTTTCAAGTTTTAATGCCGTGCCTGCTAAAATCACCAAAAAATATACAATGGTTTGTGCTCCCTGATGTTTCCTTTTCCCCAACTCTACTGGAGCATTTTTTTCGGTCATGGGTAAAGACACTAAGCTTCAGCAGAGAATTGGCACAAAACAACAATATCCTCATGACATAGCCCTTTTCGTTACTTTGAATATTTAATATATACAAATTAGTCACGAATGCATTGTCCATCACATATACAAAGCGGGGTACATGGAAGGTCTGCCTTTACACAATAATTTGCATATTCTGCTGAAACTCTTTTTACAACCACAATGGACCAGCTCTTTGCAGATGACAGCCGCTGCTAGTGGCATAACACATTGTGGTTGCAGCTGTTCTTTTCTTCCAAGGGTCCAGCCCCAATTTGTGGGTTCAGGAAAAACAGGCTTGAGGGCGGTTGCCCTTCCCCACACGTATCCTCCTTGATATACGGCGCACTTTACGTGTTGTTCCAGAGCCTCACGAGGGGGTGGGAATCCTTCCAACCCTCTCTCTTTCTTGGCGAAGAAGTACTTTCGGGCATCATTGACCTGGAGAAATACCAAATAGTAACTATAAATTAATGCAAACATTCCACAATCACAAGTTCTCAAGAAGAAACCGATTTTTTTCTAAATTAACACCCACCTAGCTGAAGTGGCTAGCCCTGTCGCAAATCAGAATGACGAATCGTTCTATAGCGCACAGATTCTCCTCAGAAATATTAGAGGGGGTCCCCGCCAGCTCGAGAAATGTCTTAGTAACATCCGGAAGGTTCTACAACGCTGCCCAGGCTATTCTTTTTCCATACCCATCGAAGAAGGATGTTGTGTCGCACCCTGTAAGGGCATGGAAGATGGGGAGAGACTTTGACTTAAATGGACCAGGAGCCTTTGCAAAGAGATGTGCCAGTAGGATCCTGTGGTTTTTTCTGGTTCCATAGGACACCCATAATTCCTTTAGGTCTAAAGTTGTAACAAGCAACTAACACTACCACGTCAGTGTCTGTTGATCGAATCATGACTGACTGGTGACCATCTTGTACTGCATCAGCGATATGAACGATCATTCTTGTGTCTACTTTTTCAGGCGAACAGGGTGACAATTCATTCCTTCTTGTCGCAGGTGGATAGAAGAGTACCTCTTCTCCTCGTATAACTATTATTTGCTTGCCCTCGATCGCTGTTCTCACGACCTGCTCTGGCACGAACAGGAACAGCTCCTTCTTGTTGCTATGTAATCGTAAGAATTCATGCCAATTTCGGAGTACCATAGCAGATGGAAGAACTCGCCTTCTGGCGCCAGTGCCTCTCTTCTACCTTGCGCTGGCTTTCAAACTGTTAGGGATATAGTCATCCCACACCAAATCCAGCCTTTGTACATTTTCAATTGACTGTTTGATTTAGGGCAGAAAGACCTTCCTCGCTGTATTCCATGAACAGAATTGTGGCTTGAGCATCTGAATGCAGAATTCACCGTCCAATACAACAACCGACGGGTGTTACTCTCATGTGCCCACCAACTTATCCAAGCACTGTATTAAGGCACATCTGCTACCTGACCTAATTCTCCACAATCCGATAATGAAAGAGGAGAGCCTTGATTTTCATGAGAAAGAAAATCATCGAGGTCGCCATCTCGACTTTGACATCCGATATGTAGCTTCGAAAACAGCTGGCAATCCGTTTCTACAGATTTTAGCTTCATTTTCTCTTTTGATGTTGAACTCTAGCCCCTCGTTTCCAAAAAGGAAGATTATTTCTTGAAATGCTGTCGTCGATTGGCTTACATCTCTCCGTAAGCCTTTCTTTGACGAACAGTTCATACTGCCCCTTTCCAATTGACTCAATTTTGTTAAAAGTAGCTTTCATTGCTGGATCAGCTATGTCTTTTGATACAAGTGAGGTCAGGTATGTGCTTTCCACTTCAAATGGGTTTCTAAGCTTTTCTATAGTAGAAACGAGAGATTGAACATAACTTATGAAGCCCAATTGACAAGCCCCGGATTGCTCATGGTGAGGTGTGCAGTCTGGTCGGTGTTGTCCTCCTCTACTGTACTCTCAAACTCTTTCACCACTCTTGCCAGCTCCGGTCCAGCCACCATCCATTTTAAAAGCGCACCAGGATTCTCAGTGATTCCAATAATCCCGCAGTCCCCTTTGATTAACTCATTATTCTGTTCATGAGCCTGGTCTAGTGGTATAGAAGAAAAAGTATTGGTCGTCTTCTGCACTGTAAATTTTCCACCACTTATCGAGAACTCCTTGGAGACATGCGGGTGTTTATTTGGTAGTTCTACCATGTCCCTAATATGAACAGGTAGCCACCGCGAATAATTAGTTCGATCTAGAGCGAACATCCAAGGGGTAATTGCTATCAAAGCAGCTGTATACTGTCTGAAGTCCAATTGTCGAAAGGAGCGCACGAGAATGAGAATAAGTAACTCAAACGTGAGGGTCATATTCCAGAATTGGAACTGTGGGGTCTTGCTGGCATGATCTTTGCACCATTCGGGGAATGGAGGAGCGTTCTCTGCGGATTTTGCGTAGTAATCCTTGTAGGGTCTCTGTTGAGGATGCCGTAACTTGATGGATGTATCTTGTACGTGTAATGTGCGTAGAAGTTACTAATGACTCAGCCCTTCCAGTCGTGGTTATCTCGGCTTGAGCAATAGCCTCTGTCCATCCGCTTCCCAACAGCCATGATCCTATTGCTTTGAGAACGGCTAACTCTATGAGAAGTCCACCAAGCATAACCACCAGCTTATCCTCTCCCATGGTGTCTGCATATCTCCATTGTATTTCTTTAGCTAAACCACGTATGGGTTGATCGAATGCCATAACTACGGCTTGCTCTTGGTTGAGGTGTTCAACAGCTTTCATAGCAACAGTTATGGTATGCTTGATCATGGCTATAGAGTGAGCCGCTTCTGCAAAAAGAGGCAGCAACGAACTCTGGCATCGTGCGTTTTCGCGTTTCTGTCGTTCTCCGTGGTAAGCAGACCATGATACTATTGCTGTTGTGTTCTTGTTAGGGGCTTTTCCATTTCCAGCTTGCTTGGCAACAGTGGGTTGTATATCCTCTTTGTCTCTCTCTCTCTCTCTCTCTCTCTCTCTCTCTCTCTCTCTCTCTCTCTCTCTCTCTCTCTCTCTCTCTCTCTCTCTCTCTCTCTCTCTCTCTCTCTCTGTGTTGGTGGTCTTCTACATTCTGCCTCATATGGTTGAGCCATTCAGTCTCTTTTATTGTGGTCAGCGATAATGCTTCGTCATCACCGTTTACATTACACTGCATACTTGGCACTCTTAAACCACCTTGTTTAATTTTTGACATGACGACGGGGGTAAATATATGTAGCTGGATGGCAGTGGACGTGTAGTCTTTGATGCAGACACATTTCTTTGCTTAAAGCTTGCGTTTTCCACACCTTCCCCTCCCACAGTTATGGGTGCTGTATTAGTGAAATGCTGGTGACATGAAATGAACTTACTGCCTTTGTCGACGAAGTGTTGGGGTCGAGATTATCAACCGCGGCTGTAGTGAATACGTTTGTTCTTAAGTTTGGAGAGCATAAGGTGTCCGTCTCCTTGAAGTGTTCACTGTTTGCCATATCTGACGACAATCCTAGCATTTCATCGTACGAAATTGACATGCCAAGTGAATATAGACTGTCTATAAGATCGCTCTTGCGTGTTTTCAAATAAAACATCACACCGATGTGAACTGGTAATGGAGTCTCTTGACTTTTGACAAGCCGAGTACACTCTTCTGTTTTACGGGTGTGCTTCACGCTATTGAATTTAAGAAGCTGAGTAATGTTAATGCAGCCTGACTTGGCTTCCCGGTTGACTGACATTTAGTTTTTGGCCCTTCTTTCTGGCAAATAATACATTTTAACCAGTCAATAGTTTGATGTTGCTGCATGATTTCCACGTCTTCTCGTCAACCCATTTTTTTTTTGTTCTCTGAACAAACCGGCCTGTTCGATCGAGTCGCATGTACCAAATTCAAAGTGAAAACCAAGAGAAAATGGAGAAAAAGCACGCGCAGATAAATTCCAAATTAAGGCCTGTATTCAAATAATTTTCCGAGAAAATTAAAATTATTAGCATCAAAAAGAAGAGAAGAAAATAACAATTTGACTCCAAATTTAAGCATTTGAATATGTATTTTGAAAGGAAACGTGTATTAAATCACAAAAAAACAGCAAGAAATGTACTTCGCGGGGGCTCTGGCGTCCGAAAATTTTACTAGCTTCTAACTAGCTGAAATTAGAAAATTTCATTTGGCACTATATCTGGATATGACTAGTATGAGAATGTATAATGTTCCTACAAAGTTTGGACCTTGTATCAAAATCGCAAATTTCCAAGCTAAGCCACCGTCCACAGTAACACGATATGTATGCATTTTGGTTTTGATCCAGTTTCTAGAGCGTTTTCAAATCGATGCGTTTTCGATGAAAACGATTAGTGTATTAGTTTGGATGGAGAAGCCTAAACGCATCGAAATTTTTTGCGTTTCAAAACGAAAACGCAGTAGTGTAGACGGGGCCAAAGTGGTCATCAAGAAAAAAAAGAAATGGTGTTTAAAATCAAGGAAGAAAACCTTTGAGGGTATTGGCACCAACATCTCTAGCCTCGGTTGTGCAATTTCAGTAAGAAATAATTAGAAATAAAATATTTTGCTCGACATACGTTTGCTGATAATGCGATGCTTTATTGGATAAATCAGAGCGTAACATCTCTCCAAGCTTATGGCTGTGAGATTAAGAACCGAAGACACTCCACAGATGATGTCAAAGATCAGATAAACGGTGTGTAATTGATGGTCGTTTGTTACTGATATATAAACATACAGCGGCACGGTAATTGTTCCGATCAGTATGTCAGCGGTTGCTAATGATATCAATAGCATATTACTTGCTGTGCGAAGTCGTGGGTTGACTTGAAATGCACCAATCACCAGCGAGTTTCCAAACACAATCATCAAAGCAAGGATGCAAAAGACGACAACAAAGGCGATATCAACTTGGTACGATCGGGCAGAAAGTTGGGGTGTACGTTCAATTCCAGTTGTAGCATTTGAAGTATTTGTTGCGTTCGCGAATGTAGTGAAAAATTTGTTGCTATCCATTGGTGGCCAGGTGGTCTACGAGACAAAATATAAAATTGACAGCAATTCTAAAGTAGACCCATCGCAATAAAAGAAACATGGACCCTTCTCAGAAGGTATTTCTCAATTTATTTTGCAATTTTTTTAGGTTATAAGCCAGTCTTGGCACTCGACAAATTTCCCGATTTGGCAAACATCAAAAAATGTCGGCAATTTTGTCATAATTTTTAGCTAAGGCAAATGAATGCCGCAACGGTTTTATTGGAGTATACTTTTCTCAGCTTGCAGAAAATGGGGTGCAGTGCAGATGGACTCAAATTATCACTTTTTTAACCCTGTTTCCTCATTATGGACGTACAGGCGCGGGCTCGGTTTCTTGGAAAGAACTCTTTCATCTCCTTTTCATGATACGTGGTCAAATTGATTGGTCTCATTTCGTTTTTAAGGTGATTCAGCAAGGTTAAAAAGAGGTAAAAACAAAAGCAGAAGGTCCATTATATAATGAAGTTAACTATCTTCAAAAACTCATTAATATTCAGAAGGCATATTATTGGGACGTAGATCCTAAGAAAGACCAACAAAGACTGCCATTTCGGTAAAAACTTACGATTGCTTGAAGGTGTTTCGATACAGTTTTTCAGAGGCCATACCGATATTTTGTGATTTTTTCCTTGTCCGATCGCTATAAAATTTTCACCAGTAATTGGCTACGTGTGGATTGAAATTTGTGAAAATGAAGTTTCAAATAAAATCGATATTACTATGACAACAATAAAGCCGAATTTTGTGGGATCTAGACCAGCTACTGGAAATCCAACACTTGGAAGTTAAAGTTTGGTGTTTAGCAAACAATCTTCTGTGTGTTTGAATTCGACTAAAACGAAAATATATTTCAAAACTTAAATTTTCAATAGCCGTGATAGACTATTTAATGAAAGCGTTATACAAATGACTCAAATTATTCTTAGGCAGCGTCAGAATGCTGCTTAATATCATATTTCGATGCAGGAAATTTTCGTGTATTTTCGTCCTTGCGATTTTGAAAACTAACCCGTTTCCTCGCCATCTGTATAAGTGCAACTTCATTCAAAATTTAGCGCTTTTTTTGTATGTCTCTGAAACGATTCCCACGATTCTTTTAAAAATCTCGTTACATAATCTTCATAATGTATATAACAAGGTCTAAAACTTTCATAGAGATTGATTGACTGCAACATCTTAAAATTTCAAGACAAACCTACGAACCTGTTAAAAATCTGCGTCACAACATTCACTGTTTTGACGTTATGCTCAAATTTCCAACATAATGCGCACCACACATACCTTCATGACTAGTACATTTTAGTTTGAATTTATCGCATCTTGTGAATGTAAAACATTGACAATACTTACTAACAGGAACATATCTTTAATTCCTAATTTAAGTATACTTTATCACATAGTTGTTGCCAAGTAAAAAAAATCAACAACAAAACAAAATAAAATATGACAAAATTGCTCACATTTTAAAATTGGGAGCACGTCCGCAGATAACAGCAGCATTTTTCTGTTTTATTATTTTTATTTGTTTTATTAGGGTTGACGGCATCATCTGGTTAATTAACAAAGTGCCTTAACATCGCGTAAAATTTAGGTATTCAATTCTATTTTGAGTGAAGTTCGCAGTTTATGAAAACAAAAAAACAAAAAAATGCTGCTTTTATCTGCGGACGTGTTCCCAATTTTAAAATGGGCGCACTTTTGTCATATTTATATATATTTCATTTTGTTTTGTTGAGATCCGATTTACAGGACAGTCAATAATACAAGTAAAGATGGAAGTCGTAATTGTGTAATTGATTCCGTATTATTTTGCAGTTCTCAGACAAGGCAGCCTTGTTGATCGTTGCTGGTGTTTCTCACAAGGTTGTGATATCGACAAGATTCTCTATCACGAAATTAAAAAATTCAGCATAGAATTTATAAGTTAGGCATTGTCAGATGAATTGTCACCTGTCTTAAGAGCGGTTTCATATTTTAATAAAACGTTGTTGCAGAGCTGTCTGTCATTGATGCAATTCAGGAAGGAGGGGCCATCTCTATTGTTTTCATGCAAGTGTTTGTCTGCTGACAGATTGATAACACAATAAGCCCAAAGAGTGATCAGCGTCAATTTCTCCTTTTAGTATCTATACTTTATAGAACATTTTGGTCACGAGAATAAAGGAATTGATAATACAATATGAATTCAATAAATACTTTAACAACTTCTCCCCCTACTTCCATAGGAAGTCTACAAAGCGAACATTTTAAGAATTTAAATTTTGATTCCAGTGTTTAAAGGCTTAAAGGTCTCTGTGACGACTTTTTTCAGCCATAAATGCATAAAATATTTTTAGCTACAAATTTTTCTTTTAAAATTACCAGGTTGTTAGATAGGACTAAGTCAGAAGCTTTGTTTAGGACTAAGTAGAGACTCGAGGTTTGTTTGCGAGATCTGTAAGGAATAACTCACAGGCAGAGATCAAAGAAAGAATTTGAATAACAATTTAGCAGAGAGAGGTTTACTGTCACATTTTGGAAGTGGAAACACTTATTAAACATAATGTGAAAGGAAACCTCGAAAGCAGCTCATCCTACCATCTTTTGAAGATGGCAATGACTTGAGCCCCACACCATAGCCTCAGACACATTCTCATTTAATGGATCCGCCCACCGACCATAGAGAAATTGGCAATAATCATGTTTTGGAACAGAAAACACTTATCAGTAGGCTTAAACTTCAAGATTAAGTGAAGAAAAGCCTGAAAAGGAATTTATCGTAGCTTCTTTTGAAGGCTACAATAGCGATTATTAGTGCAGTACGCAAGTTTAAAACGTATCCTCATTTTATAATGGCTGCCGTGGTGATCGAGAGAAAAGGTACCCAGGCCCGATACTGATATGGAAAAACTTGAAATCGTCCATCCATCCATTTGCTATATTTTCACATAAACAATAATGCCTTTTTTTTACCCCCCAAAATTTTGCATAACCATTGTTTCCAATTATATTTCTCCTGGGTATTACAGTCGCCCCTAGAGAAATCGAAGACGAAGGTTACGCAAAATTTTGGGGGGTAAACAAGGTGAATTATGGTCTATATGAAAATAGCGAATTGAAAAAAATTCCCGTCCAGAGAAGAACGCATACAGCTATTTCGAGAAAGGTTGTCGGAAAAAGTGCACGCGACAATCCCGTAAGGTATTGTGGGCGATTTTACGTTTGCTGTTTTTCAAAGGAATTTGAAAGAATGACACTATAGGCCATGGACATATGTTTGCGAGTGCTAAAGGAAAGCAACAAAAGTATGTTCGACAGCTACAGTGTCAGGAACAGTATATTGATCATATCCCATATTACCTTTCGGGATTGTCGCGCGTACATATTTTCCGACAACCTTTCTCAAAATAGCTGTAATATAAAGCGCTTGAGCCCCACACAGGACAATTACAAGCGGCAGATCCAGACCTTCAGATAAGGGGGGTGGGGCATGGTCATCCAGAGCCTGAGATAAGGGGGGTTGCGGTGTCTCAAAAAAACTTTTTTACGCCCCTCCGGCCTCAGTTTTCGTTAAAAAATAAGGGGGTGCCAGGGCCTCTCCACTGGATCCGCCGCTGACTCATTCATGTCCAACACTGTCTCACTGACTACGGACAATCACAAATGGTATGCTCGCAGCAATAACTGCTTAGGGTCCTTAATGTTAACGGAATTCTTTAGGGATGCATGAGCAGTTTGTAGTGCTTTTCTGTCCCACACCCGCGCTTCCTTGTTCAAACAATGTATTAAATTCCTCGGATCGCCTTGTCCCAAGGATTTGTCCCTTTCTGAGAACCCACAGTCACATTTCTCGCTATACATATATATTTCACATTTCGGTGATTGCTATTAGCAGCTTCAGCATCTGCCATTTTATAGTTTGTCTTCAAGGTAGGACACATCAGCCACAACTCAGTCAATTAGCAAATACGTTACAGTAAATTCCGACCTCTTATTCAAAATCTCAATAAGATGACCTCGTTTTTTATTTCAATTATATCAATTATTATTTCAGTTGCAGTTGTTGTCAAAATGGATGTTATTCAGGATCTGGGATCTCTTTATTCTTTTCTTGAACGCGTCACTGGCGAGTCCGGACAGGTAAATGTTTAATTGTACATTCAACTCTCTCATGGAGACTACTTTTTGTAAACCGTGATCACTTTGTCATGCACCAAGGGTTGTCGCTTACGAGAGAGTTGACCGTATTTACATCTGCCGTGATATCAATCCAGTACCCATTCTCTGGTTACGAGGCATTGCCGCGATATATAATAAAAGTGACCTGCGAGCAGAGGTTTCTTTCTGGCATGGCTTTTAGCTTTACGAAGTCCTTCGCGTGGTGTGTTAGTCGCGTAGTAAAGAAATGGGAATGAATGGCTTTGCAGTTTCCTGGGAAACTATGATACATTATTAATAGGAAAGAGAAGCACTAAAGAGCTATAGAGTACCACCACAAAAGTTTAACCTTTGCCACTGATGATTGCAACCAAGCTGGACAGGGCAGAGCTTATTGTAATCTCGGAGCTGCTTATCAAAGCCTCGGCAATTACAAGAGAGCAATGTAGTATCATGAGAAATACTTTTCTATTAGTAAAGAAACTGGAGATCGTGCCGCAGAGGGACGGGCTTTTGGCAACCTCGGCACTGATTGTCATTGTCTCGGAACAGTCGAAGAAGCCTTGGATTATTACATGCAACGACTCTCTATAGCCAAAGAGCTGAAGGACAAGGTTGGGGAAGGAAGCGCCTATTGCAATATTGGCAACGCGTATCAAGATTTCGGAAAATTTGAAGAAGCCATTAATAACCACCGAAAACACCAGTCAATTGTCAAAGAAATCGGCGACAGGATTCAGGAAGAAATGTCCTATTGTAATCTAGGTGTCGCTTACAAAAGCCTCGGTGATTTTCAAAAGGCCAAGGAGTGCCACGAACAGGATCTTCAGATTGCCAAAGAAGTGGGAAATGCGGCCAGTGAAGGAAGGACGTATTGCAACCTTGGGTGCGTTTCTAGGATCCTCGGAAACTTCCAAGAAGCCATACAGTACCATAGAAAACATCTTTTTATTGCCAAAGAAATGGGAAGTGAAGCTGGAGAAAAAGAGGCTTATGGTAATCTCGGCAATACATTTCAAAGTCTCGGAAACTTCCAAGAAGCGATCAAGTACCACAAGAAACGTTTGTCCATAGCCAAAAAATTAGGCGATAAGCTCGGAGAAGGACGAGGCTACATGAACCTCGGTAATACCTACATTAGCCTCGGAAAGCTTGAAGAGGCGAAAGAGAACTATGAAAAGCGTCAGACAATTGCCATCGAAGTAAGTGACAAGGCCGGAGAAGGGCGAGCCCTGGGTTCCCTAGGTAACGTAGAACAAGAGCTCGGAGACTTTAACAAAGCCCTCAATTACCACAACCAGCACTTGGCAATTGCGAAAGCCACCTGTGACAAATACAGTGAAGGGCGGAGCTACTGCAATCTCGGCGAAACTTACAAAGGCCTTCAAAATTTTGAAGAAGCCTTCAGCTGTCACAAGAAAGCATTATCTACAGCCAGAGAGACTGGTGACAGGGAGCTAGAAGGAATGACATTGGCGAAATACATCAATCGCTTAGAGAATTTAAAGAAGCTTCGGAAAGTTATCAGTCGAGTGTAAACCTTTTGAACATCCTTAGGGCTCATGTTCAGGCTGAAGAAGTGTGGAAAATAACTTTCCGCGAGCTCTACCGTAAATGTTACCATAGCTTATGGAGAATGCTTTTAAAACTCGAGAAGATCGAGGAGGCTTTGTATGCTGCTGAGGAAGGTCGTGCTCAGGCTTTGGTCGATGACTTGAAAATACACTATGGCTTAACAGGACCACCTGTACAAGAATCAAAGGAAACAATTTCTGACCTGTTAAAAGAGTGTGCTACACAAATGGTGTTTATAGGACTCGAACGGAACAAGATCAACTTTTGGGTCCTCGGCAAGGGAGTTTCAGTAGAGCTCAGAACAAAAGAAATAGAGGGTGGACGTGAGGGCACAGACTTTGTAACCGAGTTGGTGGAAACTACTTTGAATAACATCGGAGCTGGCATTGGTGTGAGATGCGAGAATCTCTCACTAGATGCGCTAGATGATGATTCCTCCCCTTATAGAAACGGCGATAAACCGCAAGCGGAGTCGTTAGACTGTACTGAAGGATCTCTACAGCCGTTATAGGACGCTATAATAGATCCCATTGCAGATTTATGTCACGGTAATGAATTGATCATTGTCCCAGAAGGTCCGCTGGGCCTTGCTCCATTGCCTGCACTTAGTGAGTCTATAAGAATTCGCACCATTCCCTCGCTGACAAGTTTAAAACTGATAATAACATCCCTCGATGACTGCCATAGTAAATCTGGGGCGTTGCTGGTTGGAAATCCCTGTTTGGATATGGTTACTAAATGTGGTAAACCCGTGTTTAAAAAGCTCGAGAACGCTGAAAAGGAAGTAAAGAAGATTGGAGGGATTTTAAAAGTCCAGCCTCTAACAGGAAAAGAAGCAACCAAACAGACGGTGCTGGATCGAATCACCTCTGTTGCACTGGTGCACATAGCTGCTCACGGTAAAAAAGAAACAGGCGAAATTGCTCTGGCTCCGAATGCAGGATGGGAAGAAGGTCAAGAACCAAGATCAAAGAAGAAGGCTCCCAAAGAAGAAGATTATATTTTAAATGAGTCAGATGTCTAAGCGGTGCGTCTTCATGCAAGGCTTCTTGTGCTTAGTTGCTGCCATAGCGGTCGAGGAGAGGTAATGTCTGAGGGCGTGGTCGGTATTGCTCGGGCTTTCTTGGCGGCTGGTGCTCGTTCCGTTCTGGTTACGCTCTGGGCGATTAATGACGAAGCTACCATGGAGTTTATGACAAGTTTCTATCAATACTTAACAGATGGAAAAAGCGCCAGTGTTGCTCTACACCAGGCTATGAAGTCACTTCGGGATTCAGAAAAGTTCTCTGCCATCAAGTTCTGGGCTCCATTTGTGCTTATTGGTGACGACGTCACTCTTGATATTGGAAAAGAATGACAACAGAATTTTAAGTATAACTTTATTTGACATTTTTTTAGATACACACTATGTCTTAAGCCTGGATCTCATAGGCCGCCAAAGTACTTGCGAGGTAGCCGCCGGTACTGCTTGGGATACTACTCCGACGCATGAGGTCATAGTGCCACCGGCCACGAGATACATCGCAGGTCCGAGTTCCTCGCCGGCATGCCTGAGAAGTTGAACTCGAGTTGACTTCGCAGGCATTCCGGCGAAAAAGACTTTTAATTTTGATTATAAACTGAGAAGACTAGGAAATCTTTGCTCGTGAAAGATGGCACTAATGAATTTTCCGTAAGACCTTGCGCGATATAAATCGAAAGGACTTGGTAATCTCTTGAAAATAGGAAGTTAGGACAGAGAACTGGGGGAAAACAAGACTATCTTCAGGTGTACATATATGTATTATAATTCCAGAACAGTTTATAATCTTGGGAAGAACTATATGTCTTTGCTGGAGGAACATGACACAATGAATTGGCTTTTTGGGTGTATTTAATTTTCTCAATTTTCCTTAAAATATTATGTTGAAATCAATACGCCAAAGACAGCCTGCATTTATTTACCAGGCCAGCGTAGAAATCGACAGCCAATCACACGGTAAAGCTTTGATTTGACTTTCTTTACAGAGAATGAATGATCAGGAGGAGGCTCGAATCTTGCAAAGGAGAGAACTTAAAGATAAGCAATCCAGATATACATTCAGTTAAAGGCACTGATATATTACTGGAGAATTTGCTTGATATGTGCGTTAATGGTTTCATTTAAAATGACTGTGCTTTGACTGGAAGTATTCTTATTTGATTTTTAAAAAACATCTCCTCGAATGTTTATTTAGGAATTATTATTATTTTTTTGCAACAGCTAGTTTTTATGCCGATCCAGAATTTCTTGATTGACACTCTTGGTGGTGGTCTATAGGGATAATGGAGAATAATATAACATAAACAAGCATTTTGAAACAAGACTGCTATCATTTCGTAGTTTTAATGAACTTTTTTGGTAGATCATTACTATAAATGATGAGTACAATGTTGAAGTACTAGGTAGGTAAGACGACGCCAACGCGAAAACTTTTCTGGCATTTACCATAGGATCGGTTGATTATTAGACTACGTTTGCTAAAACTTTGAAGAAGAGAATGTGCTGGTGCTGATATATATTAATGCATAAAAGCTGCGGATTAACAGGAACTCCAGGCTGAAATAACTACACATAAGCACCATATAAAGAGAGGAACAATGGAACAATTACTCGGGTGTATATGCACGTTCCTTTATAATTTGTTAACCCAATTATAACACCCTTTTCAAAAAAGCCTTATTTCAGTCTGTGCAATCTTAATATTTGTCTCTATAAATCTGTAACACTTGACTTAATTAATTTTAGCAAAAACTGCGATTTCTCCAATTTTTTGCAATTTTTGGAGAAATCGCAGTTTTTGCTGGGCGCCCTCCTACCTCCTTTACCAGTCTTGAATTTAGTGATTTTAGCAAAGACTGACATTTCTGCAATTTTTCGCTACTTCATGCAAACTTGGACATATCTTGCGTCAAAGCAGGTGGTTTTCCCGGCCAATAACTTGTACACTGGCCATAGCGTCTTCACAGCAGACTTGAGATTGTAGGATTACAGTCGCTCTCACTGATTTCCGGTGTTCGTTTAGCCTAGTGCCCAGTTTCTTTGCCGTTTCACCGATGTACGTACTCCCAGGCTGCAGGAGATTTGTATCTACTCTACATCACTATCCTTACATTTGATTTTATAATTAACCCCTCATTTCTCCTCAAACGCGATCATATCTTTTGTCTCGATTCGCGAGGCCATAAACATTCATACCTTGCGACCGGCAATAAACCGTGATCAGGGCTACCACCTTCCCCCGACTTAATTTATGGAACAATTTTGCAGCCTCATCAAAACAAGGCTGGGAATAACAGTAAACGTCACTGATGATGGGATCCGGGTGCTGCGCAATTTTCAAAAAATTGTTGATGAGGGGTATTATTTCTTTGCAACAAAATAGTTTACTTTGTTCTTAAGTTTTTAAAGTCTTGTGTCTAAAAATTCTGCATCGTGACGGTAGATACCAATCTCCTCTTGGCTGTCTTCGAAAGCAGGGTCTCACAACTCCACTGAGCAAGCGAGCACTGAGCAATCATTTCCGGCGGAAACGCCATGCAATGCATCTACGAATTCCAAACTAACTGGCTGTATGCGTCTGCTTTGGATCCCGAACTCTCTTCGGTTGCTTTCTCGCCTGTCAATCAAAGCAGGCATTACCAGCGGGTTGGGTGTCCGTTGCTGTAAATGAGGATTGCCATTTGCACTATTCCTGTTGTCATACAATGGCGCCTTTTTGCAGCACCATCCCAGTAAAATCTTGTGGAACGTTTGCCGAAATTCGCGGTTGCGGAGGCCATAAACGATGGGATTAAGCACCGAGTTCCCGTACTGAAGCCATTTAGTTATCCGTACTATGAACGTTACTGGTATTTTGGTTAGCATTACACACCCGATGCCTGAGGACCAACAAAGTCCGAACGCAAAGTTGATGCCAAAAAACGGCGTCCAACAAATGATAAAAAGACCTGTCACTACTGCCACCGTTATAGAAATACGCAAATCCTGAAACCAAAACACAGCCAGCCATTAAACTTGGGCGTAGAAAGATCTTTATTGTTCTTGGTACCTTTTAACATGTAAACAGCTGGGATGTGGGGGAGGCGGGGGGGGGGGTGGGGAGGGAAGAAAATTTGCAGCAAAGTTACAAGAGACTAGGATTTTTTAAAGGGGGGAGAGGGGTGCCGTCATTGAACCCCTAGAGATGTGGCTTAACTTTCCTGGGGGAAAGCGGAGGGGTTAGTAGAGTGTTTGGGGCCTCCAGTAGCTCGCCAAACGCTATTGCGGTTACTCCGGCCCTCGGACAATATACAAAAATTTTTAGACCAACAGTCCTATACTCCTTTCGACAGTGGTGTCGGGGTTTGTTTACGTCCCCTTACTTTGCAGTAACACCACTACATTTAGTTTTGAAAACCCTACGTCATATCTTTGGTTTGTACTCGTTAGACGATGGAAATTTGTTGTCGTTTTATTAAACGTAATCTTTTCAAATTTGTGATTTAAATGAATTTGAATTAACATCTTGTACGCTTTAATAGTTTTTACATGTTTTAGCTTTTTAACGTCTTCGCAAATTGTGTGCATTTTGTATTTTTTCTAATTTTATAAGATCCTTTTTGAAAACCATATTTTATATGAAAAATTTTTATCTCAATTAACAATTATTCCACGAGGGCGTGTTGGATATGAGATGGTAGGGACCTTACGAAACAACGACGGCGACGGCGACGGCAACGGCAACGGCAACCGCAGCGTCAAAAACCAATAGGTTTAGTTAGCAAAACAACAACTTTGCACGTGCATCACGCCTTAGCCGTCCCTGCACGAATACGACGTGAAATAAACAAATTTTAAGTTTTTTTGAGGACGGGAACGGCAGGGCGATAAATTCTACTCTCTCTGGCTGAACTCGGGCGTGGCCCCCTCTCTTCCATTCCAACATAAACTCCCTTCTTTTAACTAACCGGGCGACTTTGGATAATCGCGAGATGGTTTGACAGGATACGGAATCTATTTTTCGGGAACGTTTTCATGGACGTCGCCGTTGACGGATCGTAAGGTCCCTCGTAGATAGCCAACGAGGCGCTTAGCGCCGGGTAGGCTCTAGTCATCTCATATCCAACAAGCACAAGTGGAAAAGTTGCTTTATTAAAGACGCCTAAAAAATCTCGATGAATCTCCCCGACTTTATTTTGCTAGAATAAGCCGGAGAAGACAAGGGACTTCCGCTTTTCACGTAACACACGTCTATCAAAACTGTCAACGCGCGAACGAACTGGATGAATTATCAGGAATGAAATATCAATAAATCACAGCTTGAACACTTTTAAAAACTCATCGGGATTCTAGGATTTTACACAGCAGTACAGCTAAAAAAACTCGCAGATAATGAGAACAAAAAGAATTTTCAAGTGTAGCCGTCGAAATTACTGTGAATTTGGATTTTTGGTGCAGTTACAAAAGTAGGAACAATGGAGGAAAACTATTCCCTCTGTTGCCATTCAGAAACTCATGCAAAGCTTGTTATGAAGTTGTTTGAAGCCGCCCGCTGGTTTTGCTTAACGAGAAAAGAAGCTATACTGACGCCTGATTGCTGTAGCGAATGGCTGCATAGCCTGTTAGTTGTTTGTGATTTATATTCTTTATGTCGGATGATCAGGCTGCAGTTATCTATCGGCGAGTGGCTTCGCGGTCATGGAGAAACGATACTTGTCTTCTTTCGTAGCAGGTCGAGGTATTTTAGTTTCTTGTCTTTTCATGTGCTTTTCGATAAACTTTCCAACAAACTCTTGTGGCTTTTTTATTTGTTTGTTTTTTTCCTATGAAATTGCATTTTCGAGTATTCTAAGAATTAAAACGATTTTCTTCAGGCGCCATTCTATCCTTCGCCAAAAAAAATCAGGTTTGAACTGATGCGTACACTGACCATATATGGAGATCATAGTATAATGCTCATATTCCATGATGGCTAAGGCAATCAAAACGCTTGAATTGCATTATCCAAATGATTCAGTTTTTAATAATAAAGATTATTTTTATTCTTTATAAATATATATGGAAAAATGTTGTGTATTTGGTAACGAAAATAAACTAAGCGGGGAATAGGTAATGTTGGATTAAACGTTTAAACTCGTTGAAGCACGGCCCATTATCATCTAGCACCCAACACCTCCCAACAAGGTTTTCAAAAGGATCTCAAAGGTTCCATCCAGCAATGCCGGATGTTGAACCAACATTGTCAATCCATTTCAACAGGGCTTGAACAGTGGTACCTTTTTGAAGGAACTCGTGCCTCTGCTACGAGCATGCGCTCTAGCTATGCGAAAAATCTTGCTATAAGCTGCCAAAATAACGATAAGTGGAACGAAGAGGAATGTCACTGTTATTGTCAAAGTTGTCACACCAGTCTGTAGAGGAAACTCTATCATCGATCCAGCGAATGAAGCTAGAACCCATACACCAAAGATTATGGCTAAGAATGACCCTGTAAGCAACAAAAAGAATGCAGAATAATTTAATTCAGTTCAAAATGCACGTTAGTTAATGACGCTGGGCTATGGCGTACAATTTTTTTTTTGTGGGCCCTTGTTATGTTTCCTTCTTGAAATTGCCAACGATCTCATGTTTTAAGTGCTTTGCATAACCGATTCCGATTGCAATCCGAGCTTAAGGGCTTTCGCCTACGATTTTTAAGCACTCATAACCGTTTCACTGCCTCAATGTTTGGGTTTTAAGACCCCTTAAAATATCTTTGGCTCCGTCGTAGACGCTCAAATGCGTTTTCAAAAGTATGCGTTTTCGTTGTCATCAAAAACGCATCGATCGATTCGCGTCCACACTACCGTTCTGATGCTTTTTCATCTGTCCACACTAAAACATTCGAAAACTATACAATTGCACGTTGCGACGTAAGTTGAACTCTATGCGCATGTTGCAAACACACGCGCCTGCGATATTTTCGGACATCGTTTTGACCTTAATGCGTTTTTTAGTCCGGCGGCTTAGCTCCAAATTTCAGGTGAATTGTGCACTTTTTGATACAAGCATGAAATTTGGCACCCTCATAGAAGTCCGCCAATACAAACATTTGCAGACATAGTGCCAAGCACAAAATACGTTGTTTTCCATAGAGACCGCAATTAAATTAACATTCATGAAAATTGTTTCTTGTCCTAGTTTATCCTGAAATACTATCATTTTAGTCATTGGTATTAATCTGGTTTGCACGTACGTCTTCTTTATTGCATGCCACTTAACGATGTGTTGCCATGGCAACGGAAAAATAAAAATTATAGGGGCTATGTCACACCATTTACTTTTTTAAAATATACAATGGTTTGTGCTCTTTGATGTTTCCTTTTCCCTAACTCTACTGGAGCATTGTTTTGTATGGGTAAAGGCACTAAGCTTCAGCACAGAATTGGCACAAAACAACAATATCCTCATGACATAGCCCTTTTCGTTACTTTGAATATTTAATATATATACAAATTAGTCACGAATGCATTGTCCATCACGTATCCAAAGCGGGGTACATGGAAGGTCTGCCTTTACACATTTTCATATTCTGCTGAAACTCTTTTTACAACCACAATTGGACCAGCTCTTTGCACATGACAGCCGCTGCTAGTAGCGTAACCCATTGTGGTTGCAGCTGCTCTTTTCTTCCAAGGGTCCAGCCCCAATTTGGTGGTTCAGGAAGAACAGGCTTGAGGGCGGTTGCCTGTCCCCACATGTAATTTCCTTGATAGACGGCGCACTTCAGGTGTTGGTCCAGAGCGTCACGAGTGGGTGGGAGTCCTTCCAACCCTCTCCCTTTCTTGGCGAACAAGTACTTTCGGGCATCATTGACCTGGAACAAATACCAAATAGTAACGATAAATAAATGCAAACATTAGACGAGCACAAGTTCTCAAGAAGAAACCGATTTTTTTCTAAATTAACACCCACCTTGCTGAAGTGGCTAGTCCTGTCGTAAATCAGCATGACGAATCTATGACGGTTCTATGGTGCACAGATTCTCCTCAGAAATATTAGAAGGGGTCCCTGCCAGCTCGAGAAATGTCTTAGTAACATCTGGAAAGTTCTTTCACGCTGCCCAGGCTGTTCCTTTTCTATACCCGGCGAAGAAGGATGTTGTGTTGCACCCTGTAAGGGCATGGAAGATGGGGACACACTTTTACTTAGATGGACCAAGAGCCTTTGCAAAGAGATGTGCCAATAGGATTCTGTGGTTTTTTCTGGTTCCATAGGACACCCATAATTCCTTTAGGTCTAAAGTTGCAACAACCAACGCTACCAGGTCAGTGTCTGTTGATCGAATCATGACTGACTGGTGTCCATCTTGTACTGCATCAGCGATATGAACCATCATTCTTGCGTCTACTTCTTCATGCGAACAGGGTGACAATTTATTCCTTCTTGTCGTGGGTGGGGAGCGGAGTACCATTGAACATGACTTATGAAACCCGCTTGACAAGCCCTGGATTGCTCATGGTAAGGGGTGCAAGTCTGGTCGGTGGTGTCCTCCTCTACTGTACTCTCAAACTCTTTTACCAATCTTGCCAGCTCCGGTCCAGCCACCATCCATTAAAAGCGCACCAAGAGTCTCAGTGATTCCAATAGCCTCGCCGTCCCCCTTAATTAACTCATTATTCTGTTCATGAGCCTGGTCTAGTGGTATAGAAGAAAACGTATTGGTCATCTTCTGCACTGTAAATTTTCCACCTCTTGTCGAGAACTCCTTGTAGACATGCGGGTGTTTATTTTTGGTAGTTCTACCATGCCCCTAATATGTACAGGTAGCCACCCCAGATAATTAGTGCGATCTAGAGCGAACGTTTAAGGGGTAATTGCCATCAAAGCAGCTGTGTACTGTTTGAAGTCCGATTGTCGAAAGGAGCACACGAGAATGAGAATAAGTAGCTCAGACGTGAGGGTCATATTCCAGAATTGGATCTGTAGGATCTTGCTGGCATGATCTTTGCACCATTCGGGGAATGGAGGAACGTTCTCCGCGGATTTTGCGTAGTAATTCTTGTACATACATACATCCTTTATTTAAGGTATCATAAGAAATAAAATACAAATAATACCCTAAAAAGGAAGTTTAAGAGGTTGACCCTATGTAAATAGACTTCCAAAAATAAAAATAAAAAATATATGCTTATGAATAAAATCTAAGATGGATAAAAACCTAAGAAATACGCCTGTACGATGTAAGAGCTATTTTAAAACGTCTTAAATTTCCTATCTCAACAACATTGGCGGGCAGGTCATTCCATTTACGAATAATTTTAACAAAGAAAGAGTATTTATAACAATCGCAGTTAGCCGATTTAACTTGCAGTTTGCAGTTGTGATTGGACCTGGTACGTTTTGAAGGGAACTCAAAAAATCGGAAAAACAAAGGCTATTCAATCCGAATACAAGTTTATAGCATTCAATCAAAGAAAAATATAGCCTTCTGTCAGTCAACTGCGACCACCGTAACATTTCGCAGCGATCTTCGTATGACATCTCTCCCCTCCGCTGACCTGAGGCCAATCGAGAAGCTCTTCTCTGAACTTTCGCTAAGAGAACAATATTCTTCACTAGGTAAGGGCACCATACAGGGGAAGCGTACTCGAGAATTGGTCTCACAAGAGCCTTGTACAGTTTGGAAAAGATTTCCTTGTATCGCTTGATTAGACCAAGAACTTTATTGGCCTTATTGACAACCTCAACAACGTGTAAGGTCCACGAGAGGTCATGCGAGATTGTGATGCCGAGGTCCTTTTACAGAACTCACTGAGCTTAGACGTTCTCCACGCGGGACGAGAGAGTAATGTGGGACAGATTTATCACGATTATGTGTAACTCGCATAATGTCACATTTCTTCGCATTGAAGTTTAACTGCCAGACCTCAGACCAATTTCTAAGGTGGAATAAGTCGGACTGAAGGATGCTTGTGTCTTTAGCTATGTCGGAGATCTCTCTGTAAACCTTGGTATTATCTGCATACAGCTTAACCGCTGATGAAATACCTGACGAGATGTCATTCACGTATAAAATGAATAAGACAGGTCCAAGGATTGTTCCTTGGGGTTCTCCAGATAAAACTGGAGACCAGGACGAGCAAGTACCACGCAGGACGACGCGTTGCATCCGACCGGTTAAAAAATCACGAAACCACTGGAGAGCACTGCCGTCGATACCGTGAAGCTCAGGCTTGAAAAGAAGACGCTCGTGCGGTACGCTGTCAAACGCCTTGGAAAAATCCAAAAAGGCGATGTCAGTTGGCTTTCTGTTGTTGCGTGATTTCGCCCAATCGTCGTAACAAGAAAGAAGCTCCGAAAGCGTTGATCGGCCCTCCATGTAAGCGAGCTGGTTCGGGTTGAGGATATTAATGTCTCCCCACAAATCCATCACTCGAGACCTAACGATTTTCTCCGCGATCTTGCACACTATTGATGTTAATGAGATCTGGCGATAATTATTCCTGTCAGTCTTACTGCCTTTTTTGAACAAAGGTGTGATGTTAGCAAGTTTCCAAAGATGTGGCAATTTGCCTGTTGAAAATGATTTTTTAAAGAAAAAACACAGAGGTGATGACAAAACACTCGCACATTCCTTCAGAATGCGAGGTGGTAAGCTATCAGGTCCAGGTGACTTGTAGGGCCTCTGTTGAGGATGTCGTAACTTGATGGACGTATCTAATGTGCGTAGAAGTTACTAATGACTCAGCCCTTCCAGTCGTGGTTATCTCGGCTTGAGCAATAGCCTCTGTTCATACACTTCCCAACAGCCATGATACTATTGCTTTGAGAACGGCTAACTCTATAAGAAGTCCAACAAGTATAACTACCAGCGTATCTTCTCCCATGGTGTCTGGATATCTCTATTGTATTTCCTTAGCTAAACCATATATGGATTGATCGAATGCTATAACTGCGGTTTGCCCTTGGTTGAGGTGTTCAACAGCTTTCATAGCAACTGTTATGCCATGCTTGATCATGGCTACAGAGTGAGCAGCTTCTGCAAGAAGAGGCAGCAACGATATCATCGTGGGTTTTCGCGTTTCTGTCGTTCTTCGTGGTAAGCAGACCATGATACTATTGCTGTTGTGTTCTTAGGGGCTTTTCCATTTCCAGCTTGCTTGGCAACAGTGGATTGCATATCCTCTTTGTCTCCCTCTCTCTCTCTCTCTCTGTTGGTGGTCTTCTACATTCTGCTTCATATGGTTGAGTCATTTAGTCTCTTTCATTGTGGTCAGCGATAGTGCTTCATCATCACCCTTTACATTACACTGCATACTTAGCACGCTTAAACCACCTTGTTTAATTTTTGACATGACGAAGGGGGTAAATATATGTAGCTGGGTGGCAGTGGACCTGTAGTCTTTGATGCAGACACATTTCTTTGCTTAAGGCTTGCGTAATTTTCCACACCTTTCCCTTCCACAGTTAAGGGTGCTGTATTAGTGAAATGCTGGTGACATGAAATGATCTTACTGCCTTTGTCGACGAAGTGTTAGGGTCGAGATTATCAACCGCGGCTGTAGTGAATACGTTTGTTTTCAAGTTTGGAGGGCATACAGTGTCCGTCTCCTTGAAGTGTTCACAAACAGCGTTTGCCATATCTGACGACAATCGTAGCACTTTATCGGACGAAATTGACACGCCAAGTGAATGTAGTCTGTCTATAAGATCCCTCTTGCGTGTTTTCATATAAAGCATCACACCGATGTGAACTGGTAATGGAGTCTCTTGACTTTTGACAAGCCGAGTACACTCTTCTGTTTTACGGGTGTGCTTCACGCTATTGAATTTAAGGATCTGGGCTAATGTTAATGCAGCTTGACTTGGCTTCCCGGTTGACTGGCATTTAGTTTTTGACCCTTCTTTCTGGCAAATAATACATTTTAACCAGTCAATAGTTTGATGTTGCTGCATGATATCCACGTCTTCTCGTCAACCCATTTTTTTTTGTTCTCTGATCAAACCAGCCCTTTCTCTATGTACGATAAGAATAATATTCCCTAGCTGCAACGATCGAGTCGCATGCACCAAATTCAGAGTGAAAACCAAGAGAAAGTGGAGAAAAAGCACGTGCAGATAAATTACAAATTACGGCCTGTATTCAAATAATTTTCCGAGAAAATTAAAATTATTAGCATAAAAAAGAAGAGAAGAAAATAACAATTTGATTCCAAATTTAAGTATTTGTATATGTATTTTGAAAGGAAACGTGTATTAAATCACAAAAAACAGCAAGAAATGTACTACGCGGGAGCTCTCGCGTCCGAAAAATTTTACTAACTGCTATAACTAGCTGAAATTAGAAAATTTCATTTGACACTATATCTGGATATGACTAGTAATGAGAATGTATATGTTCCTACAAAGTTTGGTGCTTGTATCAAAAATCGCAAAATTTTCAAGCTAAGCCACCGTCCACACTAATACGATATCTATACATTTTGGTTTTGATCCACTTTGAAAGCGCGTTCTCAAATCGATGCGTTTTCGTTGAAAACGCTTAGTGTATTAGTGTGGATGGAGATGCCTAAACGTATCGAAATTTTTTGCGTTTCAAAACGAAAACGCAGTAGTAGTGTGGACGAGGCCAAAGTGGTCATCAAGAAGAAGAAGAAGAAATGTTGTTTAAAATTAAGGAGGAAAACCTTTAAGGGTATTGGCACCAAAATCTGTAGCCTCGGTTGTGCAATTTCGGTAAAAAATAATTAGAAATAAAATATTTTCCACGACATACGTTTGCTGATGTTGCGATGCTTTATGGGATAAATCAGAGCGTAACATCTCTCCAAGCTTATGGCTGTGAGATTAAGAACCGAAGACACTCCACAGATGATGTCAAAGATCAGATAAACGGTGCGTAATTGATGGTCGTTTGTTACTGACATATAAACATACAGCGGCACAGTAATTGTTCCGATCAGTATGTCAGCGGTTGCTAATGATATCAATAACATATTACTTGCTGTGCGAAGTCGTCGGTTGACTTGAAATGCACCAATCACCAGCGAGTTTCCAAACACAATCATCAAAGCAAGGATGCAAAAGACCACAACAAAGGCGATATCAACTTGGTACGATCGGGCAGAAAGTTGGGGTGTACGTTCAATTCCAGTGGTAGCATTTGAAGTATTTGTTCCGTTCGCGAATGTAGTGAAAAATTTGTTGCTATCCATTGGTTGCCGGGTGGTCTACGAGACAAAATGTAAAATTGACAGGAAATAAAATAGACCCATCGTAATAAAAGAAACATGGACCCTTCTCACAAGGTAATTGCAATTTTTTTAGCCAAAAAAAATGCAGTTTACACTGTAAACCGCATTTGAAATGCTTATAAGCCAGTCTCGGCACTCGACACCATTTCCCGATTTGGCAAACATAAAAAAATGTCGGCAATTTTGTCATAATTTTTAGCTAAGGCAAATGAATGCTGCAACGGTTTTATTGAAAATTATACTTTTCTCAGCTTTTAGAAAATGAGGTGCAGATGGACTCAATTTATCATTGTTTTAACTCGGCTTCCTCATTATGGACGCACAGGCGCGGGCTCTGTTTTTTTTAAGAACTCTTTCACCTCGTTTTCATGTTACGCGGTCAAATTGGCCACTCCAGAAAATACCATAACATACCATCATGCTTTTTGATTGTCGCCCCAAAGTTTTGCATAAGCATTGTCTTCAGTTTCTCTTGGGAGTTAAAATGGCCCCAAGCGAAACTGAAAACAATGCTTATGCAAAATTTTGGGGTGACAAACAAAGAACATTATGGTATGTTATGGTATTTCTGGAGTGGTCAATTGATTGATCTCCTTTCGTTTTCAAGGTGATTCAGCAAGGTGAAAAAGCGGTAAAAATAAAAGCAGAAGGTCCATTATATATTGAGGTCCTGATTGAGGTTAATTAGCTATCTTCAAAAACTCCTTAATATTCAGAAGGCATATTATTGGGACGTAAATCGTAAGAAAGACCAAGAAAGACTATTATCTCCGTAAAAACTTACAATTGCTTTAATCCTATTCAAACTGGGGTGGTGGGCTTTTGAGACTTCCCCTCGCTAAAAAGTTGAATAACGTCAAAACCACAAAACCGTTCAAGGATCACCAAACTTGGTGACTTTTCCAAAGTTTATCTGGGTACATTTTAAAGTCGTCGTGACGTGCACGTCAACATTGATGTTACCATGGCATCCGAATTTTATTCGGCCTTGTTATTCAAAATTTGCATTTTCTTTAAAAAACAGGTTTTATGTCTAATTATGTGTGGAAGAAATCAGGTTTTTCGTTTAGAGAAAGGAACAAGCAAAAAAAAAAAAGACATATAATTATATAATTGTAAGATTTTCAATATGCCACATTGTATCCCTTTCAAAATCTCAGCCTGGGGTTTCTTCTTAAAATATTCTTGAAATTTGGCAAACTTAACCTCAATATCCTTATTAAAATAATGTATTCTTAAAGAAAAAAAGAATGACCTTGAGTTATCTTAAAGTGTTTTGGGTACAACGGTTCATTTTTGCAAGACTACAAATTACAAATTACGACAGCGTGTTATACAATTTCCGATAGCTTAGTTATTACAATTCTCGACAACTGTTTATACTGCAATTTACGACAGCTATTACGATTTGCGACGACCGTTAAGCGTTCATCTCACGAGAATTTTTTTTTATTTACTTATGTAGTTTTTGGTCAAAAATTACGGTTAACAAAAGCATTGGCCAGTCTCGGGGCTTGACAAATATCCCAATTTTGTCAAACGTCATAAAATGTGTGCAATTTGTCATAATTTTTAGCGGAGGTAAATGAATGTTGCTGCGGTTTTATTGGATATTGGACTTTTCTTAGCTTTCAGAAAATGAGGTGCAGGCACAAATAATCTTTTTCATTTAACTCAGATTTGTGGAGCGAACTCTTTCACCTTGTTTTCATGATACGCGGTTAAATTTATTGGTCTTCTTTCGTGTTTAAGGTCATTCAATAAGTTTAAAGAAGCAGAAGGGCCAAGTAAAATACAACATCTCAAAAACTCATAACTGCAGAAGGGATATTGTCCAATTGACTTCATGAATGTGATAACGAGTAGTCGGTAGTCGGTAGTCTTCAGGAAACTGAAATGAGGCAGGGGAGGGCTTTGAATTTAGCCTCAAGAGTCGAAAATAATGACTGAAATAATGAAATGTTGATATAACATAAATTCTCTATTAAGCCCCCCGCCCTCTCTAATAAGCCCCCCCTTTTCAGAGGAGAAAAGTTAATAAGCTCCCTCTCCCCCTCCCCCTCCCCTCCATCCTTATTAACGTGGACTGATCAGTCATGGTTTATTCAGGCTGGAAATTCATACTGTTTTTGGTGCTGGCCGCATGACCTCCTACTTCATGTGCTGAACTTTTTCAACTTTATGCTTTACTTCTCTGTGAAGAATTGTTACCATTTTCTTATTGTTAGGAAAAGCATCATAGCGCCCGGTAACCACAAGTCCGTCCTCGAGAAACCTTGTTCCCGTTGATGCATTTCACTAAATTAAATAAGCCCCCCCCGCCCTCTTTTTAAGCCCCCCCTCAAAAGTGCTTGAACTGAAACATTAGCCCCCGGGGGACTTAATAGAGGATTTACGGTATAAAAAGGATGACTGAACATTTTGTATATAGAATGCTAGCCAAAAAAATCAATAACCATGAAATTTATATAAAACGGCTCTCTTAATTTGCAAATAAATGAAAAGGTTTAAAAATAAAAACAACGAATTATCTACCTAAGACAAAAACAAAATGTTCATCCTAAACGAACCAAAAACCGCCGACCGGTCATGATCATCCTTATTCTAAAATGAAAAAAAAAAAAAAAAAATTTTTAAACAGGGCTGATCACTAAAAATGAGGGAGTTGGCGATATGAGACGCAAAATAATCATATTCTTGCAAATTTGCAATTCCGTAAAGGTTATCAAGAGACACCCTCGTCTAGTGCGGTTATTAACTGTGGAAGTTTCTTTCATTTAGATAGCCGCACTGCAAAGGCAACTGTTGACGCTTTAAACGTATACTTCATATCTCAGTTGCATGACCAATGTGTTTGCATGACTATATCCGACCAACATTTGATACTTTGATTGCTTTTGTTCGCCATTTTTCTAATCAACAAAAATGTGGATTACTTAACTCTTACGAAGACTAGCAGTAAGTCTATGTTTCAAAAAGTCGCGATCTTGTTAACTTAGTTTGGAATGGTATAATTTAAGTGAAATCATCATACTGACAGACGTAACGGTAAAACTACCTGATTGATGGCCTTTTATGCTTCTTGATACCCGCCAACTACTCTTGGTTAGTTTTGAAGACACCTTCTCAGACTCATTAATAATTCATAAAGAAAATTCAAAGGAAATTAATGTTTAATGAGTGTTTGGATATCGGATGAAAAACTGCTCATTTTTGCATCCTTAATTTCTCCTTCAAAAATGATTTTGTTTGAGAAGAAATATCAAACATTCGACACAGTGTTTCATCGCCAGATCAAACACCTCGAAGTTCGTCAAAAATACTCCGCTACGCGTCGTATTTTCAACTCTCTTCTCGGTGTTTCATCTGGTGATGAAACACTGCGTCTCATGTTTGATATATTACAGCAAAGGCAACTAAAACACAGTCAATACAACTAAACACAGAAGTCATAACTTTGATCCTGCGTTACGGTTAGTACTGGAAAGCTTATAATCGAACCTGTTTTAGGGATCAAACTATAAGAGTGTCAATATTTTTCAGTTTTCATATAAGGCAGCCTCGTTGATTATTGTTGGTGTTTTCAAAACGCAATGATATCAACAAGATGCTGTAGCACAAAATTAGAATTTTAGAATATATATAACTGATTAAGTTCTGCACTGGCAGATCCAATAATGTCAGCTGTCTTAAGAGAGGGTCCATATTCGTTGACCAATAAGAAATGGAAGCCAATTGCACGAAGTGCACGTGAGTGGTTCAAAGATTCTAATCAACGGACCGATTGACTACAACTTTTACTTCAAGTAATAGACTATGTCAACAAGTGTGAAACCATGTTTTTTTTCAGGGCGACTTAAAATTTCCAAGTGCAATTGAGTCACGTGCTTACTTGAAACTACCTTTTTGCTTATTTTGTAAAGCTTAGTAAGTAATGTATGAAAGGCCACGCGTAAACATAAAAGTTGAGCGAGGCTTTAACGTATACTCGTGACTGTCAATACAATGTCTCTATTTTATTTACGCGCGTATGCACGGAAAAAAGGGATCGTGACTAAAACACCACACGGGCACATACGAGTAGCATACGACTACATACGAATAACATACGAGTACATACGGGTAACATACGAGTCACATACGAGTACATACCAGCAACTTTTCCGGTAACAAACGATTACATACGGGTAAAAAAGTAAAATAAAGTAAAAAAGTACGACTCGAAGCAGGAACACCAGGCACACAGGGAACAGGAACAACAAAACAAGAAAGAGAGAAATGTTTCCACCGTTTTAAAAGGAATTATCAATCATGTTTAAAAATAACGTACCGATGTAAAGACTGACATTTGAATTATGGCGGCAAAATAGAATTGCAGGGCGAGACTAGTTTTTAGATCGATTGTCAGTTAAAGAAAAGTAAAGAAACATTCAATTGGATCGGTTTGTTTTTAGTTACGTTTAACATCAATCAATTCAGAATAACTGACTCATTGTTACTGTCAGGGCATGAAATGAACTCTTTTTTGGTAGAGCGGGATCCACTTGGCTACTTAATATTTCAAAGTGGTAGCCAATTCCATAAGTCGAATAAGTGCTGAGTTCCCAGAAAAAAAAAATAAACGAAACAGAACAAACAAGGAGAAAGCGGCCGGTTTACTAGATGTTATTTTAGGGCCGTGAGATTCTCCAAATTTGCAAGTTTTGAACCCAAATGATTTTAGCAGGTAATCAAAGTAAGCAAAGAGGACACCATCATATCTACTTGCAAAACCAAGATGGCGTTCGCCAGCGACAGAGTTTCGTAGTGAAATATGTGTCATCAGCTTAGCATTATCGTCACAGACATTGGTGCCTGTATTAGTTGCAATTTCACGCCTGATAATATTCAATTACAAGAACTAATTTTGACCCAAATTTTAATTTGTTAAGCCCGGGTTTAGTGGCTTAAAGGCAGCTATGCCCCTGTCAGAGCTGAATTCTATCAGGGGCTTTTCCGCTTCTGGTCACGCTTGTGGCAAACTTTAAAAAAATATTGGTGTGTCACACTCTTTTTTTTTTATAAGAATATATTTTATAAGAATATCGAGGCTGAAATTTGCGAAATATTAAGAATATTTTAAGAATAAAGCCAAGGCTGAGATTTTGAAAAGGATAGATATAATTTTGTGTGTTGAAACATCTGTAAATACAATACAATTTTATGTGTTTAACTTAACCGTATAAAATTATTCCTTTCTCTGAACGGCGAAACTAGCCAACAAAACGAAAAAACCTGCACTAGTTATAGCAAAATGTTCAACGCTAATGTCAGTTCGATGAACGGTACATGTAATATATATACATATACCCCAATAAATTCTAAAACGGAAATGTCATAAGCTTTAATTTAAGAATAATACAAGAATATTTTCAGCCTAAAATCGGCAGAAAAATAAGAATATTCAGCCTGGGCCGGAAAAACAATATTCTTATAAAAAAAAAAAGAGTGATGAAACGCCTGAGCTAAGATAACAACAACTAATAGTACACTGTATTTTGAAATCGAAGAAGAGCCCTCGTTCCCACTTCTTTCTTCTCCCACTTAATATGATCCCTTCGAGAAAGGAATGATCGTGTACGTCTTCTAGATTTGCTTTGACAATCAATCTCTTATATTAGTACCTACAGTCGACTCTCTCTTAAGGACACCTCTATAAGACGGACACCTCGAGCTCTGTAAAACGGACACCTAGAGTTGGTCCCTGCCTTTTCTTATTCCGTTTATTTGATTCTCTATAAGACTGACATCTCTCTAAGACGGACACTTAGTGCCGGTCCCAAAGGTGTCCGTCTTGGAGAGAGTTGACTGTCTTTAAAAACTAGGGGCTGAAGTGGCACTTGAGGACGGTTTCTACCATCCTGTGACTACGAAGGAGAGAGGACCTGCATTTGGCATAAGAAGTACTTTCCTTAATCTTCTTACAAAATTTAATTTAAATCCATACATTAGTTATCACAATCGTTCAGATTGAAACCTTGAAACTTAGGGTAATCCCATACATCGTCTAAAAAAGAATGCGTGACAAAACAAACTTTCTGTTTCTTTTCCTCATGATCTCAAGAAGCACAATTTATACAGCGGGTCATACACTTATTAAACAAACTATTCCATACGAAAATCAATGTTAATGACGCAGATGTCGATGTTGGTACTACTCGGGGATAGTGGCTTAAAACCAGTATACGCAGTTTTGTCCAGTTGTAAATATTCAATGATTTGTGACAATAGTTCAGAAACTGGGCACTTTTAAAATAGTCTTCCTCTTCTTGGGCTGTCAGAAACAACCTTTAAATTGCAAATAACAGCTGTAGTAAGGTGACCCTTTTGGCCCGAAAATACCTTCGACTTTGTTTGGAACGAGGGGTTGGGCTGGAGAGGTGGACGTCCTTGTTTTAAGCCCTCTTTGGAAGACACATATTTTTTGAGATTAGTAAAGGTCATTATTAGGATAATACAACCATTTTTTTAAATGTTTTTTCTTTCATTGGGATTTATTTATTTATTTATTTTTTTTAGCCTCTTGAATTTTTATCTCGTTACTCGTTTTCCTGTTACTCGTTACTCGTTACTCGTTACTCGTTACTCGTTACTGCGTTACTCTGTTTAGTAACACCCATCCGCAACCTGGTGAATCCGCTCTCCGGAGTGGAAATTTTTGAATCCGCTATATATCCGGAAACTTGTGGACACTAAATCCGGATATTTTTTATCCATTGTCGTCACAAGATCGAAAAGCTTTAACTATAGTTAAATTTAATTTTTCAATGAATTTATTTTAACTCGCAGTTAACCTCTTAATACTTTTAAGCATTTTTAAATTTATTTTACAAAGGTTTTCTAAAAATTATTGGGCAGTTTTAAACTACAGAGCTTATGCATTGAGCAATAGAGTCAAAATAATTAGTGAAAGAATGAATATTTGGCTTGCGACATGTTATTACAGATAAATATTCTTCATCAGCAACAATTGCTTGAGGAGGAACATTTCTTTGTAACAAAATAGTTTACTAGTTTACTTTGTTCCTTTTTAAAGTCTTGTGTCCAAAAAGTCTGCATCTTGACGGTAGATACCAATATCTATAAGGCCGTCATTGAAACCAGGGTTACACAGCTCCTCTGGGCAAGTGGACAAATTGTTTGCGAGGGAAACGCCATGTAATGCATCTGCGAATTCCAGACTTAATGGCTGTATGCGTCTGCTTTGGATCCCGATCTCTCTCCGGTTGCTTTCTCGCCCGTCAAGCAAAGCAGGCAGTACAAGCCTATTGGGTGACTGCTGCTGCAAGTAAGGATTTTCATTTGCATTATTCCTGTTGTCATACCATGGCGTTTTTTTACCGCACCATCCCAGTAAAATCTTGCGGAAAGTTTGCCGAAATTCGTGGTTGCGGAGGCCATAAACGATGGGATTAAGCACCGAGTTCCCGTACTGAAGCCATTTAGTTATCCGCACTATGAACGTTAGTGGTATTTTGGCTAGCTCTTCACACCCGATGCTTGAGGACGAACACAGTGCGTTTGCGAGGTTGATGCCAAAAAACGGCGTCCAACAAATGATAAAAAGACCAGTGACTACTGCCACTGTTGTAGCAATACGCAGCTCCTGAAACCAAAACAGAGCCGTTAAAACTTGGGCGTGAAAAAAGTTTCATTGTTCTTGGAACCTTTAACATGTAAACACTTGGGAAGCGAGAGAAAAATGTGCAGGTAAGTTTCCAAAAGCAAGGATGTTTCAAGTGGGAAGTGGGGGGTGCGGTCAAAACACCCCTGGAGATGTGTCTTGGCTTTCACGGGTGAAGGGGAGGGGTTAGTTGAGTGTTAGGGTCCCACAGTACGCTATTCCTGATACGTCTGTCCAGTCTGATCAATTCTTATAAAATTTCCAGACCAACAGTCTTGTACTCCTTTCATGCACTGAAATTGGTGTCAAGGTTCTTTAACAGTAGTACCTTTTTGAAAGAACGTATGCCTCCGCGACTTGCATGCGCTCTAGCTATTTGAAAAATCTTGCAATAAGCTACCAAAATAACGATAAGTGGAACGAAGAGAAATGCCACGATTATTATTAAACCTGCCACACCCTTCTGGAGAGGAAACTTTTCCATTGATCCAGCGAATAAAGCTAGAACCCATACACCAAAGATTATGGCTAACAACGAACCTGCAAGCAACAAAAATAAAGAAAGGCAGGTTTATATTCGAGTCAGTTCAAATTAAAACGCTCGTGTTTCCATGTTTAAGTAGCAACTGAAAATGGTGGTGGGATATTGCACACAGGTAGGCCCTTGTTATATTTCCTTCTGAAAATTGCTAACGATCTCATGATCATGTTTCAAGAGTTGCCGAATGTCTGGGTTTTAAGGCCCCGTCACGCTCATTGTATTGACAAAAATGCAAAATACAGTGGTCATCAAGGTTATTTTCGAATTATTGGCACAGAAATCTCCAGATTGGTCTACTTGACGATATGATACCCTTGCTGTTGGCAAATGTCGGTGACGTCATGGTAGTAATGGTTACCTGCTTGTTGGAAAAAATGACGGTGGGTTGCAAAACTTTTGCAAAGTTTTTTTTGTTGGTTTTTATCTTGTTACTCTTGAAAGCATATACTAAGGTATCAAGAAAGCAATAACTTGTTCCGCGGAGCAACTTAACCCACAGCATTACATGTATCCGGTGCTACACAAGGGAATGATTTCAACTTCCACCTTGGGTTTTTTCTATGTCACTTTTTCGTAGCTTTTGTTGAGATTTCGAAGTCAATGTAAATGTTATGGGATATGGTTCTGCTGGGAACCTGCTGTGTGCTAAACTAAAATGGCTAAACTCAGTGAAAATCACATCTATCTCAATATTTCTGTGATACAGTATTTTGAAAAGATTAAACCTCAAAAAAAATCGGCTTTGATGAGCTCTATAAGAGGATATCAATATTGTAAGAGATATCGCTGCCGGCAGCAAAATGGCTCCTATCTTGCAATTATCTGAAATTTCAGTTCTATGGAAATGGCGCTGAAATTGGTATTAGAATTTCCATGCTTGCCGCTCTTGGTGACGTTTACATACCTTTTGCGGAAAGCTATGTTAGCCCAATTTTGCCAAAATGTATCTAAACGAGAAGTTCTTAAAGTAACGGTGTTTAAAATCTGGGAGGAAAACATTTAAGTACATTAGCACCACCATCCTATGAATAGCCTCGGCTGTGTAATTTCAGCAAGACACTAATTGGTTAAAAATATTTAGCCCGACATACGTTTCCTGATGTTGCGATGCTTTAAGGGATAAATCAGAGCGTAACATCTCTCCAGACTTATGACTGTGAGATTGAGAACGGAAGACACTCCACAGATGATGTCAAAGAGCCTATAAACTCTCCGCAATTGGTAGTCGTATGTTATAGATACATAAACATACAGCGGCACAGAAATTGTTCCGATCAGTATGTCAGCGGTTGCTAAGGACATCAGTAACGTATTACTTGTTGTGCAAAGTCGTCTGTTGACACGAAATGCACCAATCACAAGTGAGTTTGCAAATACCATCATGAAAGCGAGGATGCAAAAGACGACAACAAAGGCGATATCAACTTGATACGATCGGGCAGGAGGTTGGGGCATAGGCGGAATACCGGTAGCATTTGAACTGTTTGTTGCGTTCCTTGATGTAGTGAAAAATTTGTTGTTATCCATTTGTCGCCAGGTGATCTGAAAGACAAATATTATAGACTAATACGTAGTTTTCAGAATGGACCCAAACATAGGCCCCTTTGCAAATTTGCAAATTTTGTGGTCAAAAATTGTGGTTTACAAGAGTTTAGACTAGTCTCGAGGCTCAACTATTTCCCATTTTGTCAAACGCCAAAAAATTTTGAACCTTCAGTCAAAGAAATTTCAAACGCAGCATAGGTTCGGCACAAGAGAGAATGACCTCTTGGTTCGGCGTCATCGTGCAATCGCGTAATCTCGAGGGTTATTTTTGGAATCCCACCTACCAAACATACTTTCAATCCCTAAATTCGCGCCGATTTTGCTTTCAAATCCCGAATCCGAGCTTCAAATAAGGGGAATGCCGGGTCCCGAAAAACTGACCCACTGGGGACCCTCCTTATTGGCATGGGTTCCTGCCATTTTGCCTTCATTTAAAACCGGGTGGGCTACTAGTCAACCATCCATTACTATTTAAGTCGCCGTTGCGGCGTGCACTGCTAAATGCTTATCTTCCGGCCTAATGATGACTTGAGTAACCGGCCAAAAAAGTCGTGATCTTATGACACAGTTTGACATAGCTTACATTTCGTAATATAAATGTAACTATCACTGAACACAATGAAGTAAAAACGAAATATCACTAATTTCTGGTCAAACGCTGCCTACGTTAATCAAATTCATGACAGGCCTAAGAAGGCCTTCACCTATAATTGATCATTCATTCTTAACACACCAGCGAAAGTTATAACTTTAATTATTTTGTTTTAGAAAAATTAATCAAAAAGTCAGTTTCAATGATCACACGAACAGATGTTAGTATTTTGCAGTTTTCATATGCGATGATTATTTAACACTGACTGCAGCAAACCGCGACAATACCACCCACATTAGATCGGAGACTACTCTTTAATCCCACAATGTGGTCACAGCTTTCCTGACAAGGGTAGCCTTTAAATGCATCACAATTTCGTAATTATGTTTAATTTGTTATTCACATCTTACCAAGTTAGCAAGCTGGCATTAAATTAATAGCAAACAGTTTTTCCTCTGCATATCTGAGAATGATTCATTCGCAGTTAGGCTTTGACCGCTCAACTTCTGACAATTTTTGTTTCTCTCCAAATAGTAGGATAAATGAAAAATTAAACACAGAATTAATACGTAATTTTTTTGCTGTTCTGTGAAATAAAAATAATTTTCTTTCCAAAGTTTCTTAACAGCTTTGTGATGAGTTATGTTAAAAGGCCTCAAAGATGACTTTTTAAGTGACAGCGAAGAAGGAGGGTCTGAATGGGGGTCCACTTGTCGGTTGTCGGTTAAAATTCAGTAATTTTGTCGGTAGTCGGTTAAAATTTTCGATCTTTGTCGGTAGTCGGTTAAACTTTTCAATTTTCGCCGGTTGTCGGAAAATCTCATTTAATAAGTAAAAACGCTTGTTAATTATTAATATTTTTTATGTATTTCACCCACTTTTCAAGACTTTGATCCCTAAGGAAAAAGTAAAACTTGCAAGAATGCATCATTTGTTTGCGCCTCAACCGTTCATTAACTCTTGTTTTTTATGCAACATGAACGTTTATTTCATCATTGTTTGCCATTAAATGAATAATTAGTACTGATAAAATCACCAAAGCTTTTATTGTAAATGCGAACTTGGTTTCCCTGTCGACTACAGGGCACAGTAAAAAGTAATTAATTAATTACTTACTGGACTCTAGCCTTTTGGATACTTGACAAGCTGCAAATCTATCCCTCTCATGTTTTGGTTCTAACAAGCATGTCCTTTGCCATAATTTTCCTTTCTCAAAGAAATAGCACTTTAGGTGGTTCTTTAAAATTTTGGCAAGGTAGTGGTTGGTTTTGTATGAGATTCCACTTTTTCATTAAAGCTTCTATTTTATAGACACTAAGGGCAGGTATTGTGCCACGAAAGGCAATATTTCAGTCTTTTTCTTCCTGGTTGTCTTTTTTCAGGAGCGCTGCCTTCCTTTCTGTGAGTTTTACTTCTAATAGCAATTTTTCTTTCAAAATTGTGTGGCTAGCCTCTGTCCATCAAGCGCTTTTGAAATCTGAAATACTTCCTCAGAGGAGTTTGTTCGTAGGATTCTCAGGCTTCTCGTTTGTCAAACAGGCGCTTTAACAATTGGTGGGTGATAAGAGGCGAAAATGTATATACTGTAAGGTTTCCGTTTCAAATGCTTCTTTACGTCAAGGATAGCTTTTTCTCATTTTTTCGCTGAATGTTGTACCTTGGTATACAACCGTTTCTAAAAAGAATGTCTCATTTTCAGATCTTTCGGCCGTGAATTTCATAGGAGGGCATGTAAGTTTACTTGTTCCGCGAAGAAAGCTACGATGTCTGGTTTACTTATGTCCCATATAGAGAAAAATGTCATTTATGTAGCGTTTTCAAACAGTTGGTTTAAAGACGGTTTTGCTTAAACTTTGTGTTTCAATATGTGCCATGAAAATGTTGGAAAGGAAACTGCTGTCTTTGTGCTCATCGCGGTAACGTGGGTTTGTGCTGATAGTTGTTTACATTAAACGGGAAATAATTTTCTTTAAGGATTAATCTAAGCAAAAAACGTTCGGTTTTTTCACCTTTGACTTTTCAATAAAATTTATAAAGTCGGTAGCATCTTTAAGGTGTGACTTTGTGATTTTGATATTGGCTGTAGCAATGTATCTGTATCAACAACAAAAAAAGGAAATTCTTTTCCTTAGGACATCTGATGAGTCACAAATTTAAAGAGGTTACTTACTTCCTCGAGCTAACGGTTAGATTAAATACAAAATGCTCTTTTTTCTGGAAACAAATATTGATAATATCAGCCCATGTCGGTAGTCGGTTAATATTTTTCCTGTCGGTAGTCGGTAATTTTTTACTCATTTTGTCGGTAGTCAGTAATATTTTTCGCCCTTTGTCGCTAGTCGGTTAACCCCATTCACACCCTCAAGAAGCGTTGTGTTGTGTACCGACAGGAGCCATCCATTTCCCGTGTAATGGTCGACTCCTACACTAGTCAATGGCAGTGAATTTAAAGAAACCTTTGCTAGTTACCTAATGCTTAACTAAGTCGTAGATTAGAATAATGGTTGCTCAACTCTTTTCTGATCTTGTAACACGGATGGGGATTGTGTTATTTCAGTAAGCGAAACTATATCATAGAAGCCGTCTAACGATAAAATTAACTGGAGCGCATGAATTACCTGAATGATGACCTACTCAAGCTCGTGTGTTAGTGCTACAAAGTGCTCTTCGCTGGCTTTGAAGACACCAGCAAATATGAATACCATATTTAATATATGATCTATTTGACGCTTCCTTTCAAATAAACGCCTCTTGCCTAATAAACACCCCCTTGCGATGTTAAGTTTGTATTAGACGCGGCTCCTCTCTGATAAACGTCCCTTACCTAACACAATGGACGCTGCCCATGACAATTGCTTGATTGACAAAGGTGTGAGCATTGCATCTTCCTTAACTTTCAAGTTCAAAGTGAGGATAGACAAACGATGGCAACACAATAACCCTCAACAAGGATATTCTGAAATCGAAGTTGAGATTTGAAAGAGCGCGGATAAAGATCTCTGGACGGCCTAGTTCTTGATGGACTTCGGTTATTTATAAACTCTCTTGATGTTTTTGCCGATAGCACATTAGTTTTGTAGATATTGTTAAATTGATTCTCCCTAAACGCCTTCGATATATTAAACGCCCCCTCTCGGACCCTTAGAATCAAGTAAACACTTCGGGCTTCCATTAGATCCGATTTTCAGTACAGTCAATAATAAAACTAAAGATGGAAGTCATAATTGATCCCGTATCATTTTGCAGTTTTCAGACAAGGCAACCTTGTTGATATATCGTTGTTGGTGTTTCTCACAAGGTTGTGATATCGACAAGATTCACAAAATTAGAAATTCAGCATAGAATTTATAAGTTCTGCATTGGCAGATGCATTGTCACCTGTCTCAAGAGCGGTTCCATATTTTAATAAAACGTTGTTGCAGAGCTGTCTGTCATTGATGCCATTCAGGAGAGAGGGGCCATCTCTATTGTTTTCATGTGTTTGTCTGTGACCGATTGATAACCCAATAATCCTAGAGAGTGATCAGCTTCAATTTTCTCCTTTTAGTATCTTATAATCTATAAAACATTTTGGTCACGAGAATTAGGGAATTGATAATACAATACTGAATTTAATAGATGCTTTATACAACTTCTTCCGACAGGAAGTCTACAAAGGGAAGAAGTTAAGAATTTAAATTTTGATTCCAGTGTTTAAAGAGTTAAAGGTCTCTGTGACGATTTTTTTCCGGCCATAAATGCATAAAATATTTTTAGCTACAGTTTTTTCTTTTAAAATTACCTGGTCGTTAGATAGGACTAAGTCAGAAGCTTTGTTTAGTGCTAAGTACAGACTCGAGGTTTGTTTCCAAGATCTGTAAGAAATAACTCACCGGCAGAGATCAAAGAAAGAATTTGAATAACAATTTAGCAGAGAAAGGTTTACTGTCACATTTTGGAAATGGAAACAGTTGTTAAACTGTTTAAACTTAAACATACTGTAAAACGAACTCCTCCAAAGCAACTCATCCTACCATCTTTTGAAGAGGGCAATGAATTGAGCACCACACCAGGCTTCAGACACATATCCTCTTTTAATGGATCCGCCCACCGACCATAGAGAAATTTGTAATAATCATGTTTTGGAACGGAAAACACTTATCAGTAGTCTTAAACTTCAAGATTAAGTGAAGAAAACCTCAAAAGAAATTCATTTCAATTCAAATCTCCCGGGGATAAGATTCTTTGTGTATTGCATTTGCATTATAATGTGGCATTCACATTTAAATGATATGGAAATTCCTGAAACAAAACGTTTTATTCCCAAAGGGTTTGAATTGGGTACAACATTGAGTTAGCCGAATAGGTCTATTTCACGTTTTATCGACAACGAATCTCAATTAGTCGTTTTAAACTTGGACATTTTCTTAAGAATTCAACTCCTGGAGAGTTCGCCTACATAAAACATAGTGACCGAGTTGGGATAATCGCACTAAAGTTTCATAGATCAAGAAGTCACTTTTTAAGAGACGTTTTTGCCGCCCTCGTCGTCGTGGCATCTTAAACTCCCTGCTGTCTCACTGACTACGGACAATCACAAATGGTATGCTCGCAGCAATTACTGCTCAGGGTTCTTAATGTTAACTGAATTCTTTAGGGGTGAATGAGTAGTTTGTAGTGCTTGTCTGACCCACACCCACGCCTCCTCGTTCAAACAATGTATTAAATTCCTCAGATCCCCCCTTCCCAGGGATTTTTCCCTTTCTGAGAATCCACGGCCACATTTCTCGTTATATATATATCGGTGATTGCTATTAGCAGCTTCAGCATCTGCCATTTTATAGTTTGTCTTCAAGGTAGGACACTTCAACCGCAACTCTTCAATTAGCAAATACGTTACAGTAAATTCCGACTTCTTATTCAAAATCTCAATAAGATGATCTCGCGAGTTTTTATTATTATTGTTATGATTTCAGTTCGCAGTTGTTGTCAAAATGGATGTTCTTCAGGATCTGGGATCTCTTTATTCTTTTCTTCAACGCGTCACTGGCGAGTCCGGACAGGTAAATTTTTGCTTGTACATTAAACTCTCTCATAGCTAGAAGCCGCGATCACTTTGTCATGTACAAAGGGTTGTCGCTTACGAGAGAGTTGACCGTATTCAGTACATCTGCCTTGATCTAGTACCCATTCTCTGGGTACGCGATCGCCGCGATATATAATAAAAGTGACCTGCTAGCAGAGGTTTCTTTCTAGCATGGCTTAGTTATAGCATTTACGAAGTCCTTCGCTTGGTGTGTTATATAGTCGCGTAGTAAAGAAATGGGAATGAATGGCTTCGCAGTTTCCAGCTGAGTTTCCTTGGAAGCTATGTTACATTATTGATCAGGAAAAAGAAGCACTAAAGTTTGGTTTCATCAAATGATTGATTAAATAAATTTTCCACGGTAAAAAAGATTGAAAGATGACCAGTTTTCGAGCGTTAACCCATAATACAAAGAAAAAAGTTCATCCCATTTTTAAGTTATTTGCTTTCAAACTTAGCTCAAGACGTTTGAAATTACTGATATGTCAACTTACGGCATGCATAAGTAGAAAATCGAACTAATAAGATGGTTCTAGATCTGAAATCCAGTTGAATAGTGTACTACTCCTCTGAACTTTGATTTGAATTAGTTTAAGATTATTTTGATTTTTATTTTCAAGGGAAGTAACTACAGGAGTATGGACCTGAAAGGAAAAATCTTTGGTTTCCACTTCCGGCTTTTTCCAATTTCACTTTCTTGCTGTGACACGTCACGGGAGAATTACCTCTTTCGTTTTCACACATAGCGGAAGCAGGTTGATCTTTTCGCTTGTTAGGTTTTTCATAATATAGTTAAGAAGGCGCGCAAATTGATTATAAGGTCTTATAAAAGATATTCAATACGCCACGTAGTCACTGGTAGATGATGTTGTATGTTTCAGTCACATCTTTAATTTTGTAAAAGCAACCACCCTCCCAAGTCACTATATGGCAATTTTGGTACAACTCGCGTTATTTGCGTTCTTGCTAGCCCGTGTCGCAGACACTCTACACCGTCTGTGAATCCAAAACTCCCGCCTACCGCATTTTGCTTTCCGGGGCCTCGCCCCTCAGTTTCTTGGCTTTCCCCCTTTAGCCATTTTTCGATTGCAAAATGTCTATTCCCTTCATCCTTTTTGAACTCCAATGTTCTGGCCTTTCCTCTCTCGCTGTTCCCGTACCCCGGAATCCAGCCTCGGCCTTCGGCCTTGGTGGATAACAGCCTCCTATATCTTCATAATTCTTCATATCATTCGGACACCACAGTGAGTATTGTTTTCACTTTTCTACCATGTTTGTTCAGCTAAATTTTCAGGGTCGTGTTATCAACTACAAGGCAGAGGGTCGCATACACAAGCTTAAGTGGGTGTACGATGGAACAGCATGGGATGTGGAAAGTGGAACCAGTGTGAAAGCTAAACATTATCAGAGTTCACAAGGAGCCATTGAGCATGCTGTCAAGGAGTTGATTGAAGAACTCAAGGCAAAGAAAATACTAGCTTAGAGGAGAAGAGATAACAATTCTTATGTGGTTTTTAATGAAATAATTAATCCTTTACAAAAACAGACGAGAATGAGATGGGTGGATTTTTTCTCACTCAGGTGTGTTTTGAAGGGTGAGATGTGTAGCTAGGTAACTTCAATTGTTTGAGTCGACTTTAGTTATAAAATCATGTTGTCGGCGTAAGGGCCGTGCAAAAATAAAAATGTAAAGAGGAAAGTTATTTTTGTCGTCTCATCTTCAGTATTTTCAAAAATAAAGCAGAAAATTAAACTATCTGTACTCATATGTTGGACATGATTCCCGATCCTTGTTGATTTTTAAGGGTTTCTTCTTTCTTAGACCACTCGAGCAACATTTTACGCCAAAATGAATTATTGCATCTCACGTGATGTTTTTTTCCTCTTTAGAGATCTCTAGAAAAAATTGGTTATCTGCAGTGTAATTTTTTACACATGTTAGTATTATTATTCCCTCTTGGCAATATCTCAACATGAGAGACGATGTTGTGGCCCAATTTTATCCTTGGTTTAAATTTTATTTCCCTTGGTCATAAACTCATTATCACAGATTTGAAGTGCAGAAACGATGAAAATATTGCGAACAGACGCACCCCGGAGCTCCTGACGCACCGTATGGCTGTCCTCCGGAAAAATTGAATCACCTTCATTTCAGGTTTAGCAAAGGGATGCAGTATTGTCAAGCAGGTGCGCGAAAGCCTAAGGGGAGACCTTTTTTCGGCGGACAGTCTGTGGGAGTTGGGGTGTGTTGGGGGTTTTGTTGGATCCATGAACCTCGTTCCCAGGGTTCGGGAGCGAGTAGGAGAGCCCCTTAGAATGAGTCTTATGGGGCTATGTTGGTACAGAGTGGCAAAGGAAGCGGAAGGGGGGAGGGTGGAGTACCTATCACGCATCACGCAGACATTTTGTACGCCATCACGCATCATAGGGAAAAAATGACACGCGAATGTGGTGCAATTCCAGTAAGTGTACATGGTAATATCTCAGACCATTGAATGAATCAGCCATAATAAATTGTTTTCAGCGTTCGTTTTGGGAAAGATCGCCCGTTAACAGTTAATTTAATGACCTTAGAATTGTACAAAAAAGAGTTCTCAGCTGATCCGGTGTTGTTGACGATCTGGAAATAGAGGGCCATACTGAGTACGATTTTGACAGGAGATAAGAGCTTGAGAAACGAGAAAAAGGACCAGAAAATGATGTCATGACTGTCTGTTTTTAATGTAAGTACTTCTAGTTTTAAAAGAAAATTACGAGAAAATCACGCCATGGTGTTAGCAGCCAAGAAGCTTTAACAATAGCTAGATGGGAACCATTAATTCCATGTACAAGGGAAAGTTACTGACTTTTATGTATCAAGTTTACAAATCTGAGTTACCAGGTAACATGATTAGGCTTTTTAAAAGTAGCAATTGCTGTTATGATCTACGAAATAGCATTAAGTATCAGGTTCCCCAATTTCACCTAGAGGTGGGCAGGAATTCATTAAGAAATAGGGGAGCTTTGTTCTGGAACTCCATTGGAGACAATTTAAAAGGAGCACCAAGTCGAAACATTTTTAAAAAGCTTCTTAAGAAAAATAAACCCCTGTTTGACAATATAAACTTCAACACTAAGATGAAATAGTATTCTAATCAGTTCTCAACTTTTAGTCTTCTATCTTACTACTGTATATTTATTTTTTTCATGTACCTATTTTCATTTGCATATCATCAATAGATAATTTATCAGCAGGTCCACATCAGCTTTAGCTGCTTTTTAACTTAACCTGCTTTACCAAATAAACTATGAATGAATGAATGAGTCACGTGTTGTGAAAAATACCAAATCACGCACCACCCAGCTATGCCGAATCACCAGGCTTTTGTACATTATGCTTTTGCTTCCCCACTAAAATGCTCCACCTTAATGCTCCATTTTTCCCACTAAAATGCTCGGTCTCCCCAAAAAAGTCACTAAAATGCTCGGATAATGCTCCTTATACAAACGAGTTTTTTAAATTAATTTCAAAGTTTACACTCACAAAAACGTGCAAGTGTTGCAAGTAACAACGACAACGTGTACAAGTTCATAAATACAGCCAAAAAACAGCAGTATTAGGTTTTTTGTGAATTTTGAGTTTTACTCACCGCTTCATTTTCTTTAAAAACACAGGAGCTCGTGGGGCATGGGCTCCTGAAAAAAGTTAATTTCTATTATATTTTCTCGGAAAAATTAATTTGCCGGGGAAAATGCCACTAAAATGCTCGAATAATGCTCAATGCTTTTGCCTCACTAAAATGCTCGAAAAAATGCTAGCATAATGTACAAAAGCCTACAAATCACGCCTCACGGCAGCTAATTTGGGCTCGATCTAGCTAGCCTGCGAGCAGGCTCCCTTGTGCGACTTCGGGGAAAATTTGGGGGGCCGAGGATGGCCCATGGCTCCGCCAAAATAATTTTCCCCGAAGTCGCACAAATGAGCCTACTCGACTCGCAGGCTAGGCTCCATCACGCATCACACTTTTGGGACCCATCGCGCGTCACGGAAAACCCTTTTGCCAGTTGTTGGATGATGTTGGATCAGCATCTTGCAGTTAATTCTATTCTTGCGATATTTACTTTCTAACTGACTAATTGAGAATTTGTTTTTGTTTAGAAATACATTTCACACTTCAGAAAGGTGAAAAAAGCGACATTCTTTAACGGGAGAATTTTGAAGTAATTTATATGACATACGTTGTTGAGTGAGCGATAACCTCTGCCGTCCAAAGTTATATTGCAGGCTCAGCGGTGATTCGAACGTGGCATCTGCATCTCGCAGTCGAGCAAGCAATTTGGAAGTTCTGGAAAGAGCCTTAATTTTCATGTCCACGTTTATTGCAAGAAAATAATAAAAAGAAGCTTTTAAGCAAGCTCGAAGATGATGGACGACGAGGAAGCTTTGAAGGAGAGCGTATCTAACCTGAGATCAGCAATTCTTCTCAGACGAACAGACATCATTCGCAGTATCCTTTCGACCGCCGCAGAGTGTAAGGGCAGAAATGTTTTTGTTGTTTTGGTAGAATTCTCTCAGGCACACCTGCTCACTTCGTCCGTTTTGGTACAGAAAGCGGCAGTTTGTTCCTTCCTTCAAAAGGGCATACAAACAGCTGAGTGAGAGTGAAATCTTTCTTTTCATACATAACATTTATGAACTTCACTTCAGTAGCGTTAACAACAGGTGTTACACGCTGTTAAGCCGTTATTTTATCATTAAGTTTGTTTTTTAGTTATTGGGTCCTTTCTACCTAGCACTTACATTCTAGATTGACAAGTTACTTTTTATACCGGTTTCTGGGTACGTCTCGAAAACGATTTTAATTCACTTAACAACGTGCCTTAATTTGAACGGTCACGCACTGTTGGGCAACAAGACTACAGACACTTTCACTGTGTATTCAAATTAAGTTTGATAACTGCTCGATCATAGCTTCAAGTTAGATTTGCGCCATTGAAATCCTATCTTCCTTTCTGGTTTTCTTTGATTTACTTTTTTAAATTCATTTGCATGCACTAGGATTGTGCGTAATTCCAGCTTTAATTTGTTTTTTTTTTGTTGTTGTTGTTTAATATTCACCAAGTTAAAATAACCAAAATTGTACCAGACTAAGAGATAATTTTTTATTCACTTTCTATGGGGCAGGGCTGGCTGATTTTATGGAGTGGCATACTTTGCCGATGCGACTTTCATCTTGAATTACATATTTGTAAAAGCCAGCCAGCTGGAGCTACCTTTTTTCTGATGAAGGGACTGGAAGCAAGGGGCATACATGTGTATGTAGTATGTCATCCACTGTCCTGTTGCTGGAGCAGATTGCTGGGCTAGCTCTGGGGAGCATGATTACATGGAAAACTTCCAGCCTGGCTCGCCAGGATTGTGACATCATGATACCAGAACCCTGGGCTGTCTGCTTTATTGCAATACATTTACATTGAAGTGATAACTATAAAGCAAAAGAAGGGGAAAAAAATCAATGATTATTTTTTCGCATAGAGATCTTAAAGACAAGATCTTGGCAAATCAAGTCAGCCAAGCTCATGAATGCTATCTAGTGGTTTTAACAATGTCACCTTTATTCGACTTATTGTTTTGAGCAGACAGGGAAGAAGACGGGCTCTTTGCTGATGATGATGAGGAAGAGGAGGCCCAGCTTGGTGTTCCAAAGCAGTTTTATTATGATGAATATGATGACCCTTATGACATCCTGAAAATGATGATGAACTATGTTGATAATGATGCAGGAACTTGTCTTCATCTTGCTACCAAAGTAAGTTGATAAAGACTCCATCCAGAGCCAACAGTTTCAAAGTTACAGAGCTGCATATTTGCTTTGCATAAAGCTTCCTCTTAATTCCTTGGATCCAGTGAAGTTAAGCAAGTATAATTTTCAATAATAGTTTTTGATTAAAACATTATAAAGATGAGTGTTCTTGCCAGGCCATGGCCGTTTAGGGTTCCCACCTTTTGTAAAGTTAGCAGGGCTCAAAAACCTTCCCATCTGATCATCTGAGACGAGTATAATATGTTCTTGCCAATCAAAGTAACTTCTAAAGTTCACTTGCCTTATGCCTGGGTAAGGCCGTAGGCAAGTCATCTTGTAACAGAGTCATTATCTATGTCAAACAATCTGAGTTGACCCCAGGAAAGCAAAATGTTAGAGCTGCTTGTACAAAGGACTAGACAGAATTCAAGTTAAAAAAAAAACCAGGAGTTGGAAATATTCTGCCCCCTCCCTTGAAATTGGCATCCTATTACACCCTTAACGCTATACCTTCCCATAATGGCCACCTTTCTACAATGAGCTGTTATATGTACTTCAGTCTATCCCAAAGGGGTGATCTCCGAGGGATCTCTATCCTTAAGGGATCCATCCGTAAAGGGTCCATCCACAAGGGGTCCATCCCCAAGGGGGTCCATCCACAAAGAATCTATCCCAAAGGGATCTATCCCCAGGGGGTCCATCCACAAGGGGTCTATTCCCAAGGGCTCCATCCACAAGGAATCTATCCCCCAGGGGTACATCCCCAAGGGGTCTATCCCCAAGGGATCTATCCCCAAGGGGTCCATCACCAAGGTGGCCATTGTAGGGAATTAGACTGTTCACAGTCCTCTATTTTTCCGTAAGATCATCGAGATCGAGAGCTTTGCGTTACGGGCTGCCATCTTGCATGAGTGTCAAAACTACTTAGGGGGCGGGGGTGGTTTGGGAGGAAGCGAGAAAAATAGAGGGACTGTAATAACACCACTACAGCTCGCGTTCAGGGGGCATGACAGGAATTTTATGCCTTTTAAAAGAAACTCCTCTGGTGATGAAAAACATGCCAGACACATTTAGTATCGATTACACATGTTTACAAATATCTCCTTGAGAACCAGTGATTTTATAATGTTTCTGGGCCATTCCTTGAAATAAAATCGGCAAACATGCACAAGAAAACATTTTCCTAATCAAAATACCACAAATCCTTCGTGTGTTTGCGCAAGATGTGCCTTATGGTATGAAAGCGTACGTTTTATGGAAACGTCGACTTGTCAATGTTGGCAACTTAGATTAAACCTGTTGTCAACGCAGATTAACATCTATTGTCTAATGACCAATCAAACGCCTGCGTTGCTGGTACAACGCGCTCCGTGAACAGAAGCTGCAGTGATGTTATTACAGTCCCTCTATTTTTCAAGATACCTGTGACGGTAAGACGGGGTATCTAAACGATCTCACGAAAATAGGTGACTGTGAACAGTCTATAGTAAATTTCAACTGTAAAATATATAACCAAGTCATGTGGGATTACATGAGGTCACATTTTGCAGTGGTCGTTACATTGCATTAATTTATGGGAAAGAACACATCAAGCCATAACTTCTGATCTTATGTGATGGTACTATTTCACACACAGAATGATCTTTAATCCCATCTCATAACACCATAATTATATATATTAAATTTTTATAATAACAGGATTTCACAGGACTTAACCTAAAAGTCAGATCTGTTCACACTTATCTGGGAGAAGATGAACTTTCTTTAAAAAACTTGTTGTTGTGAGGCATTTTCTGGCAAATAGTTCATGTGATCTGTGAATATTTTATTATTGTGTTTGTGGATCCGACACATACATGATCTGTAGCAGGTGGTTTTTCCCCTTTTTTGTGTTTGTAATTTGGAACCCATACTTTATGTATCTTGTTAATGAAAGTAGTGATTGTGAATTTCAACTGCTTTTAGGTGTTTTGTTATTATAATTATAATGTTTTTGAATACACAGCCACTTCACACACTTCACCGGGTCACAACATTAACATTCAAATCCTGTACTGTGGTATCAAAGCTTAATTAATGGAGGACACTGAATTGACATTTAAAGCAGGTAAAGACTGCCAAGCTTATGATGCTAAGTAATAAGTAAATTTGTTTGGTTTACTATAGCTTGGTTATGCAGATGCTGTAAGGGCATTGTTGGCTGCTGGATCAGATCCCACCATTGTAAACAATGAAGGAGCTACATCATTTGACTACTGCACAGACAAAGCTATCATAGGTGTTTATAATGAAGAACTTCTGCAGGCTTCTGCCAACTCAAAGTAAGTTCTGACCGTCCAGTAGTAATGTACAGTAAAATTAATATCATAAGATTTCATAACTTGACAACAGGTTTTTAGCTTATAACTCTCAGCATGCGTGATTAATTAGTGTCCTCTTGATGGATAAGAAACAGATAATAACTAAAACTGAACATGTTTTTAATCTTGTACAAGTTTCACTGAAGGTATGTTGAAGAACAAATACATGGGTTTTCACTTTGGTAACATTTTTGGTGATCTAAAAATTTTCAAACCAGTTTTATTTTTGTCCCTTTTGTGTGGTATAAACCGACCATATGGTAATTAGAATGCACCTGAGGTGAAAGGAAAATTAAACCGTAGAAGACATAAAATCTATAAACATGCTTTTAGCTTTTTATTCATATTTGAAATGCTAAAACTAGTGAGGGAGAGTCCAATAATGTATAGTACTTGAAGTTAATAAGGTATTGTGATATTGATTTATTTTAACATTGTCAAGTGATTTAGTGTTATAAAAGGTGTTCAATTACACCGACAATAAAGTTTATTCTTGAATTAACAGTGAATTGAATAAGATTTTATTGTATTAACTAAGTAATATGAAGTCTGTACTTAAATTTTCCCTTCAGTTAAGGTTTATTCTGACATCTTCATCCCTCGGTCAAAATATGCAGAGAAATTATTTTGCTTCCTGTATGCTTGCTGATGCTTGCAAAAATTTATCTTAAAATTAATTGTCTGCACTGCTATCTATCCTATATAATATTACTACACAACATCATTTTGAGGAGATATCTTTTTCCTTTTTTTGTTTGGAGACCTGTTACAAGTTAATACTCTTTTGATGTTGTTAATGTACATGTATAGACTAGTAAATATAACGAAATCCCAAAAATCTGTTGTGCTTTCAATTTGCATTTCTGGAAAGGTCTCTGTTTTGCCCTTGACTGAATACCACTGCCGTTAACATGCAAATGGAGTTACACTGAATGCATTTTAAATCATCAACTGATGTGTAACTTCAGTTAGTTCAGTAGCAGATACCATCTAATTTTATTATATATAATTGTATCTGAGTATGTACATGTAGTGGATCAATGTCTTTATCTACATGACTTTAACTTGAATACGAGAGACTGTTAAGTTGCTAATTTAATAGGCAAATACAAAACAAACATAATTTATTCTTTGCACAATATTTTCAGTCAACCCAAGTCAAGCCTACTCCCCAAGATTACATTAATGAATTTATTATTCAAAAGTTGAATCCGTTGGTAGTTGTAGATTTCAGATTCATGTCTGCATTCTTGCATGCGTAATGAGCCGTGAATTCACACGCAATTCAGTTACGAAATTTCTACCAGCTAAGTTTCCCTGAATGTGATGTAAATGTCTTCTATGAAATTTAACCCATTTAAAGATTTTCAATCTGACCAAATACAGAGAAGTTCTCGTAAAATATTCACTGCTCAGTACGCATGCTTGAATGCCGATTTGAATTTAACACTAGTTACCGGAACGACTAACGGATTCATTTTTCAAATAATAAATTCATTAATAGAATCTTAGCGGGTATACTTGACCTGCCTTGACTGCAAGCAAATTCATAAAAATTTACTACCACAGGGAGGCTGGAGGTGGTTGTGTAGTAGTGACTCCTTCTCGGGGATTTGTCACTATTTCATCTGTCCTATGTCCCTGTTTCAAGGCCATGCCTCAGTACAAATGTAGTGGTGTGGCAGTCATCATTTTTATGTATTTGATGTTTTTTAGTGTTCCCAGAGTACGCAAACTACTGAAGGCAGGAGTTAACGTTAATGCCAGTGATGGTGCCACAAGTGATAACAAAGCTCTTCACTGGGCTGTCAGTTATGGAAATGCTGACATTGTCAAACTTCTCTGTGGTAGGTTTATATTTTATATCTTTCAGAACGTCTTCTCTCCATGTCTAAAACTTGTTCTTGTTTAGGCTTGAGTTTAACTGTTTTCAGCTTAAAAATTAAAAACTGTTCACAGATGAATGATGTACTCCGCGAAATTAACACATCCAGATGTCCCTTCAATACTGCAGTAATAGTAATGAACTAACATTATTTACTGGTTATCACAGGTCTTTTCTTTGATTTGGTTCTGCATTTTCAGAACATGAAGCCAAGGTGAATGTAACCAATAAAGCTGGGGTAACACCATTGCATGATGCTGTCACCAGAGGAGACCTAGATATCGTTAAAATACTCTTGCAGTATGGAGCTAAATACGATATCAAGGCAACTGAAGGGTATGTTGCATAATTACTTGTGTGCCCTGTGAAATTCTCCCGTGTAAACCTGTGGAGAGATCTTCATCACTTTGCCAAAAACCTACAATCAGACCCTTCTGTTCAGCACCATGTGTACTGCTGGGTTAAAGTAGACTCGAATCTCTGTGAAGTTAAGTCTGTGTGTAATCCATGTCTTATAATGGATTATCAATAAAGACCAAGCTGTTTATGTATATGAGGTCCAAAGATGGAGGGTATTCCTACCAAAATACTGAGTCAAGGCATCTTAAAACAATGCCATTTTGCAGATGCCTTATATATATAACCACAAAGTACATGTACAAGTAGCATGTAAGAAATTTATCCTATTGTTGCAGGAAAGAGCATCTTCTGCCGCTCTGTTTATTTTTCTGTTTGTTTGATTTCTGTTTTTATCTTTTAAGTGCACAGCAGCTCACCCAGGTCTGACTTTTCAAATTTTTCTCTCTTGTCCACATTAGAGCACACAAGGATCAAACAGCATTAGACTTAGTAAACTCTGAAGAAATGAGGCAGCTGCTCACATCACCTGTTATAAAAGAAGCTGAGCCTGTCGCAAATGGTGATTCAACAATCAATGATCAAACTACAGACTCAGGTATATCGTCTCAGTCACTCTTCAAAAGATAGCAACTTCCTTGTAACAACTGTCCTCAAAACAACAATGGATTGTTTGAAGTAGTATATGGCACACTGTGAGCCTGTGAGCAAGCTCTCCGGGGTGCTGTACCGGCAGGGCAATTTACCCCTGGTAGTCCAAGGAGAGCTTGCTCGCAGGCTACACCAAATTGACATTTTTTGTGGATTTAATTTAAACTCTTGTGTGGAATAAATCGACATAAATGTTGTCAGGGAAAGGTATCTCATTACGATAACATCATGTTCATGTTGTGCCTAGCATAACCGGTTTGACAGGTTTTAAGTTATATTTGGATTGATTATGTCATTGTTTTTGATTGGGGACTGAAATAAGAAAGGTGTCTGTTGATTATGTGGTTTTCACATGACTGTTTCAGGGAAGCGTAAAGCCATTAATGACAAAAATTCACTGCAGAACCTGAACTTACAGTAGTGTGCTCTACAGACATTACTTTTTTTGCGTTTTTCATGGAAGCAAAGGGAAGTGTGACGAGGGCATGGAGCGTGAGACGCATTGCATTACTGTAAGAGATTGATAAGCTGATGTTTTAAGTGCTTGCCCTTTATTGCTCTGATGAAAGAGTATTTCAAGTGTCAGCTTGTCTGTCTTTCTTATAGTAGAAAATTGGCTCAAGCAACTTATTTGAAAAACAAACTAAGACAGTCTAAATTTATATTTCACTCCACTAACGATCATCATTTTTTTACAATAGTTTTTCTTCATAAACTATGCATTACCCAGTCACAGATGTCATCAGAAAAATTTAATACCTTTTTTACTTGCATTTCTCATCCTTTTAGTCCACTGTTGCCCCACAAATATAATTATAGACTTGATGTGCATCTGATTTAATTCTCGTTCTTTACATCCGCTACGAGGCAATCAAGCCAACAATACTCATGGCTTTCAGAGTGGCCGAACATGTTGGTTCTATGACAGATGCTAACAGAAAATCTCTCCCTTGATTTCTACAACAGAATCAGTTCCTTCTGAAACCAGCACTCCTTCATCCACCGTACTCCGTAACACAACTCTTCCCTCCCCTCCCTTGTCCTTATCATCTCAGCTGCAGTTGCTATCAGGAATGTCCCCACCGGCAAACAGTGAATCTCTGGATTCAACATTTCTTCAGTTGTGGCCATATCCTCAACAGATCACACAGATTAAGGGCACCAGATTTTTTCCTACAGCGTCACTGCCAGTTGTGTTGTTCAGAGGACTGCAAACAGGTACATTGTATATCGCAATATATTGTGGGTAAAATCAACATCCCACTCGCAGCCCTCCTTTTGGAACCTCTCGTAGTCACCCACTTTGGATCAATTTAAGTTTCTGGGAAACTGTCCACCTACCCCTCCCTTAAGCCATAATTTTGCGCTAAGTGAGAAGTAATTGTTAATGTTATCTTAGGGGAGGGGTAGGTGGGCAGTTTCCCAAAAACCTTGATTGATCCCCCACTTCCTTTGAAGGGGTTCCGTCAGACTATTTGATATATTTTTTAAAAAGATAAAACTTTTCTTCGGGTAAAATGAATTCCAAAAATAGTGGTTTAGGTTTGTTATTCAAGACTATATTTAGGTACTGAAACTGTTTCCTGTCGTCTGGTGCAGAAGATAGCAAGGATGGACATGGATTGAAACTTGAAAAAGTTGAGCCTACTCGGAAATACCCCATAAGGCTTGGTTCTCTTAAGCGACCACCTTCCATACGTGGCCACTTAATCTTCGCATTTTTGGTGCTCTTTTACGTTGAAGTTATAGAAAGTTTGATTTCAGTTTCTGTTCAAGTCAGTCTTGACGTTCAGCCCAGTCAAACTACTGCTCCTGTTAGCTCTGTTGCTGCCTCCTGCAAAAGCTTATTTTTGTGATTTTGTGGTTGTGCCTGAAAAGAAAATAATAACATCCGTTAAATGTATAGTAACATTCATTTACTAGTTCTATAATTGTCCTTCTTGAAACCAGATTATTTCCAAGAAGCTTGTGAGATGTGGAACACTTTAGAAGAAAGCTTTGAACAAGTTGGCCACACCCTAGAACTCACTGTTGTAGGAGAAGGTAACATTAACTTAAAAGACTCCAAGATTTCATAAAAAAATGTTGCAATTCTCTGACTGCTCTTAAAGACTTGCAGTGAGTACAGAAACAACCCTATGGAAACACCGCTTGGACAAAGAACTTATGCTTTTAATGTTACTATTAGTTTTTTTTCCATTTAAGTAATTTTTCTTTGGTGAAGGAATTTTCTGGTGGCTGAATTTAATTCTTTTTTCACTTGCTGTATAGCGGTGTTCATTTTTTCGGCTCAAGTTTCTACTCCTAGTAATATGCAAGTTGTTGATATCACTAAGTCAGGACTGCGTTTTCTTGTTTTTTCTTTACAGATTTTGAGCGAGGAGGTAGTGTTGTGGGCAGTATAGAATGTCACATTTGTCCAAACTCGTTTAGCCGATCAGAGAGTTATAGAATCAGTATTTCAACCGTGAAGGTAAACACTACACGCCTCTTTTACTGTCAATGTGAAAATTGTCCTAAAAAGGTGAATGCGGGTTTGATTCCTGGGGCCGGTCCAATACTCTTAAAATAACCGACTGAGAAATGAAGGTACTTCTCAGACACCACTGGTAGCCATTCCAAGCCGACCGCCGCAGCCTGACCTTTATTTTAAACTCAAAAAATGCATACATATCATAACCTTAGAAAGGTAGGACGACAACAAAACTACAAAGTTGCACCGTGCATTTAACAGCATACAAAACTGAAATCTTATAGTGGGTGGGTTGGAAGGTCAGTCATGGCGGACGCAACAAAAGCAACTGCCCGCTCTTCAGTCACATGACCTACACCCAGGCTCCCAGCGGTGTGTGAGAAAAACATTTTCCACTTAATTCGTTACTCTCAGCCAGTGGAAAATTACCCCTCCTTTGCCCTGCAAATGGCTAGATCTTTGAGTGGCTCGGATGATTAGGTAAAATGACGGTCTCGTCAAAAATAGTATCCTATGCTAGTATTTCCGAGCTTAACACATTGACTATCAAATAAAGTACCTTTTTAGTAAGCTTCCCGTTTTCATCGCCGCCAAAGACGGCACTCACCGTCCCTCCTTTTAACAGGCTGGCTACCTTGACGCAAGGTTGATTCCCTCCTCCTCATAGTCTCCCCTCTCCCCTTACCCCACCCTTGAGATAAGCGAAAATGCTTCGACGACGGCAGCCAGTACAATGGACTGTTGTCTTTGATTTTACTTTCTTTGAAAACAGCCTCCGTTGCAAAAGTTCATTTGCGAAGTGAGAGTGAATGCTGGAGCGAGACCAAAAGTACGCTCATGGCTTACTTTGAATTCTTTATTTATCGCGTTTTAAAATTAATATAGAAATTGGAATTTGATTTCGAATTGGAAATAATCGACTGCCGAACCAACAATAGGTTGAACTGTGCGCAAATTACCAAGGCTATTGACTATTTTCGAATCCCCCATAATACACTCTGTCTGCCCCCCAAATTTTGCATAACTTATTGTCTTAAAATGCTCTTGGGAAAATGCAATACTCCCAGGAGCATTTAAAAACAATGGTTTATGCAGAATTTGGGGGGCAAACAGAGTGTATTATGGGAAATTCGAAAATAGAGAATGAATGGACCCTTTATTTGCTTTGAAAGAAAGTTGAATGGTTCGTGTTTTGCAAAACCAAATAAAAAAATTAAGCAGTTATATTTTGTGGAACATGACAGATCGTTGGTTTGATTATTTTTTCTTTGTATAAAACAGGTTGTTTTAACAGCTTGTGACTTAGCAGGCTTGTGGTATGCTGTTAACACATTACTACAGATCGTAAGGCTATTTCATGGCACGGGAATTCCGCAGGTCCAGGTAAGTTTTATCAAATGACCCTTAAAATCATCATTCATATTATGTGGGCAAGGCGCATTGAAGCAAATAGTGTAGAACTGACGGAATAAAGGAGACAGATTTATTATTCATCTGTTTATTCATTTATAATTAATTGTTAGGTCCTTTCATTGTATTAAATTATGACTGAGACGAAGGGGATTGACTTGGTGTGTTCGTTTTTGTTTGTTTTTTATTAAGTCTATATAATGTTTCTGTTGTTTGATTGTCGTTGGTTTTGGTCGGCAAAGCCCATTAATAGATGTTTCCTCTTCCTTTTCAGATAAGCGACTGGCCAGACTTGAAATACAGAGGAGTGTTATGGGATGTGTCCACAGGGCGTGTTCCTACCTTGGTACGTCAACGGACCAAGTTTCGTAATATTTTCTACATTAACGGGCAACGCATGCTTGCATTAAAAATCTTCATTCATCCTCACTCGTAAAATCAAAAATCGGATCTCTCAAACCATTTTCGAAATAGCATCACGTTTATCAAGACGCGTAAATGCGTACACAGCTTCTTCCTCTAGAAAATCCAAGAAAGAAAGAATAATATACAATATTTTTAACGTTCTTTTTTTTTATTTCTAATATACCACCTCAGGAGACATTGTTTTCTATGATCGACATTTTGTCCTCCATGAAGATCAACCAGCTACAGCTGTACATGCAGAATACCTTTGCATTTTCCGGACACGAAACCGTGTGGAGAAACACAACACCCTACAGTCCTAGGTATGATAACATTGGAAGTTTCGAGTCGAGAAAATAGACAAATTCAGCAAAACAGCGTAATTTTATTGATTGCAAAACGTAAGCGCACGAAATGGTCTGAATTCAAGTTTATACTGAGTCGTGGTTACAAACACGTCAGAAAAAATTAATTCTCACGCTGTTTATCGTAGCCTGAGAAAAAAGCCGATATTTTGCAACGTCACCACTGGTTTCTCGCGGAACGAGCGCAGAAATTCCAAACTGATGACGTGTTACCATCGAACTCTGGGTAATGCTTCTGATTGGTTGATTGGTTTGTACGTGGGAAGGCTATTTCCGAGTGGCACCAAGCCTCAGTTTCAAAGCGAGGCGAAGTGTGAAACTCATTTTCACAAGAGAGGTTTTGCACATAGCCTCGGTTTGAAAGAGAGAGAGTTTTTGGAAATCGAAAGTGGCCTATTGGTGTAAACAAAACAACAAATCTGCACGTGGAGCACGCGTTTTTACACTTTTTACCGTCATCGCTTGGTTGCGACGCGACTCGTTTCCTGGAGGACGTAAACACAAAACGACAGTTTCCTTTCTCTTTTTCTCAACTAGGACACGGTCGTCAAGAATTTAATTCGAGGAAAATTCGCCAACATTTTGAAACAGCACGAAGTCACATTTCAGGTGGCGTTTTCGCTGGCGTCTTCGTCGTGGTTGCTTAAGCTGCCTATTGTCTTCGTCCGGTGCGCGCGTTCGGGACCTGAGACATTTATTGCGTCAACTTAGCCGTAATATCAGAAGATCCAAGATCGTGCGCTCCCACTCCGCCCTTTTTTGGCGAGGTGGTGAATGCAAGCGATCTCGAATCGTCTGAGAATCAGTGGCGACAGCTTCATGAGGTTTTCGTCATAGTTTGATTTTCACAGGAATCATTCACAGTGCAATGCGTTACCTATCCACTCGACGTTGCGTTATCAAAGTAGTTCTGTCTGCGTGGGAGGTTACACACACCAGTGGTATTAACCAGCATTTTTTATTTTTTTCAGCGACATCATGAAAATAGACAGATACTGTAAAAAGAGATACATTGAGCTGGTACCGCACATTGAAAGTTTGTCTGGATTCAGTCAGTGGTAAGAGAAGATACTCGTGCAAGTAATCACCGCTCATTATACTGCTGTGGGAATGACTATAATCTGTTGAACGTCTGTGATTATTTGGGTGGGCAACATTCATGTAGGCAATAATTGGTGAATGGTTGCCTTTGGAAACCATCAACCAATCATTTATTCATTTACTTAGGCTCGCCAACTCTTGGCAGGGACACCGAAACAGCATGCGGCACTGGCACCAATTACTGCGGGTCCGTAACAGCGCCCCCCCCCCCCCCCCACATGAGAAATAGACCACCACACCAGGGAGTGCGTCACCTACTCTTTGCGAACATGGTGTGGGTTCTTTTACGCCCGACAGAATTTATATGTGCAATAGTTGTGAGACCGGGCCTGCGGTTTTTCTTCGTTATCCGAGAAGACTAACCGTTTACAAAAGTCTTTGCAAAGGAAGCACTTTCACCTCAGTAATTTAAAGACCTTGAGTGTTGGTCCGTTCGGGGCTTGAACCAGCGACATGTCGCTCGGCAGACCGTTGCTTATCCAATGGCCCTTATGCAGGATTACGTCAGACGAGCAAATTTCAATACCAAGCCTCGTTTGTAAGCGAAATTCTTCGCTTTTGCACTCTTGGTGTTCTTGTTTTTCAACTCTACTCCCTTGGGAATTCATTTATGCAAAACGTCGCGACTTTACAATTTCAAAATTGGGAGGCGGTTATTATAACTAACTTTTGTCCACATTAACTATCTCAGAAATCGTGGCGTGTAATGTTTCCACCCATTCCCTCCATTTTGATTCCAGCCGCCCTTGAACTTTTGTTTTTACTCAATGCTCCTGACCAATATTAATGGGTACTTTTTTCTTCAGGTTAAAATTCAAGTCATACAAGCACTTAGCCGAAGAAGCTGTTGTATACGACCCACAGGAAGAAAGGTACAAAGTATACTGTTAAAACAAAAGGTTTCATTGCAGAAGCAATCTGCAATTCACGGAAAGTGTTATTGAATTTAACCTACCCTGTTTGAATATTTCATAAATGAAAATTCAGGATACATCAATGTGGAAAATTATCAAGCGCCAATTCAAGCGCCTGGCTTTTCCAGAAATATAATGATCGTGATATTGCGGAATGAGTGCAATACTTCGTTTTTCGTTACACGTCTGTTTTTTGTCACAAGTTGCTGCTAATGTTTCTTTTAAAAAGTGAAACAAGTCCAGACGCAACGTAATTATTTATAGTGGATTCATCTTCCCATGTGCTTTCAACTAAATTTCCAGGAAAATACTCTTTTAGCCCTGTTAATTCCTGTTTATCTTGTATGTTCAACAGACAGCCATCCTGTCTCTGTCCATCAGACGATGAAAGCATCAAACTAGTCCAAGATCTCCATTCAAAAGCCTTCCCTTGCTTTTCATCGGCAAGGTAAGCATGTGGAATCTGGATGTCTGTTTTGTGCCGAAAAAGTCAGAGAACAAAGCTCATATAATTGTATCGTTACGTTTTTTCCAGGTTCGTTCATGTTGGTTTAGACTTGGCGCCGGAATTTGGTAAAGGGAAGTCACATTCTGTAACAGAGGTACTTTAGCTGAGTTTTGGTTTTTGGTTTCTTTGAATGTGAGTCATTACGGAGTTTAAGAGCCATTTTCTGAGAAAATCGAGAATCGCAAGACACTCGTCAAAAAATCGAATTTTTTTTTATTTTGCCAAAACATCCCTTTTAGTGACCTTATTTAAGGAAAAATAGTTTTGGGTCCAAACGATTCATTTTAAAGGAGAAATTAAAAAAAAGTTTGAAAAATCGATTTTATTCCTGTTTTTCGAACAAAACAAGGCAGGATGCAATGGCAACTTCGAGAGAAGGGTGAACGCGTAAGAAACATTCCCTGACACTGAAACTTCACCGAATTATTATTTTGTTCTTACTCTTGAAAACCTTAAAAGAAAATTTGAAAAACAATGTCTTATATTTTTATAATCGACAAGTCTAAAGAGGTCATATTTGTGACGTTAGACATGCTAGAAAACGAAGGCCAACTTTGACTATTAAAAAAGGCCTCTGGTATATGCCGCTTGATCATAAAATCAATATAAAATGGAACCTTGGCTTTTGTACTAACTTACTGGAAAGTTTTAGCTCTGGAAATCAAATACCATCCTGACACCAAAGCAAGCGGTGAGAGCAATTGAATTGGGAAATTTATGCAAATTAGACGGCTTGCGGACGGTTGTCAAACTAAAAAGAAAGGTTTTACATGAAAGGATTACTCACCATTGCTTGTAACACGTTTTTACGGCAGGGAAAGTTATTTCCAACTTCTGTTGCGTCGGTTTGAGTCACAAAATCCATAATTTTAAGCCAAAAGGTCCAAAAGACAAACGTACATTTGCTCAGCGACTGCGCCAGAATCCGGCCGTGAATCGAAATAGAGTCACAACACGTCACTGCGGTCCTTTGGAAGCAAGAGTTGCAAGAGTTTTTACTTCAGTCAGGAGGCCAAAAGATTGAAAATTCATCGCAAACTAATGACGTCGATTTTGAAAACCTTTCATCACTTCAATCGTTCGTCGGCTGATAATAAACATCGCACAAGATCGTATGACCTTTGGCGTGTGACCGGAAATCGGTCACACGCTTAAGTCACGTTAGCATACTGTCACGAATTTTAATACGATTTTTCACGTTTGCTTTCGACAAAAAATAGACTCATCGAAATAAAATCAGGCCTGCTTTATTTGTTTGTTTGTTTTTTAATTTCTTTTATAGACTGCAGAACTTGTTCCCCATGCATCGCGCGTGTCTCGCACCCCCAGTCCGCTTCGCAGTGCTAGCATGAAAAGCGCAAAAAACTGAAATTGACTCCTGTTCTGCAGTTGATTTCTTTTATAGACACCTTCTAGGCATTGACAGGCTGTGAAAAAAGTGTATTTTTTTAATCATTATTTTTTGAAGCGCTACATCATTTTCCTATAAATTTCAAACGTGACTGCTAAAAGACTGTTTGGAACCCATGGATGGAGAAAAGCTGTGCCGGAGAGAAGGTCAACCTCCCAGCCGAGCCAACTTTTGCGAGCGTTTGTATGAGGAAAAAACTGACCACTTTGTCCGAGTCAACAGTGCTTGCGCATGCTGTCTTTGTCTAGCCTTGACCGTGTCGTCCCAGCTAGCTGGGCGAGCCAAAGTGAAGAAATATTAGCCGGGCTAGAAGGGTGAGACCACCACTACCGGCTCAGTGGAGGGCTGACTTCCGGAAGCCCTCAACCCCGCCCACTACTGGTAGTAAGGCGTCTATCCAAACCAACCTTTTGTTTCTCATGTAAATGGTTTACCAAGTTTTGTAAGGAAATGGAGGAAAAGTTGGCTCACCCAGGGTAGCTTGGGAGGTGAATAAACACCAGATAACCCCAATAATAAGCACAAACTTTGATTGTCAGTTAGATGTCCACTATTTAAGTAAGCGACCTGGCATGTGATTGTCGCATCCATGCCCCCTTCCAGATCCCCTTTATTATCGGTAAACCTCTGATAGGTCAAAGTAATACAGTCGTACCTCCAGTAAGCGACCACCAAAAATGCAAAGACTTAATGGTCTCTAACGGGAGGTGGCCGTTTAGAAGAATCTGACCACATGGGGTCTATTCCGAGAAGAGGTCCGGGCACATTCTATTAAATGGCGGTGTAACAAATTCCTGGCAAAATATTATCTTTTACCTCTTTTGAAGAATACAGCTTTTAAATCATGCTCAATTTAAAGAGGGATTCAGGTGAGTGAGATATAGAATAGTCTAGAATCACAACAGAATCTTCACTTTGTTGGCTACATCTACTAAGTAAGGATATGTGTAGTTCCACGATGTCACTAAAGGTCTTCATATTTTCCAAGGAACATAGTGCACACAGCAAAAATAGAGAGCAGAGAATGCGTCAACTGATCGCTTATGGAAAACAATTAACCGTGACGCCCAAAACGTGGTCGCAGTCACTTACAGAAGGTCGTTTACTGGAGGTTAATCCAAATATAAGGCTTTGAATGGGAAAATTTGGTCTTTTGGATTGGCGGTCGCACATGGAGGTTCGACTGTGTTAGGTCTATTAGAGTATGAGCCACCATCACCTCACTGTGAGTGACGAGAGCCAGGAACGTATAGTATACACTCCCTTAGGATGCACAGAATCGTTGTTTTGAGGTCCTGTTTAGCGAAATGGATCATTCAAGGGAGGTGCTGAAGTCCCATAGTGAAATTTATAAGGTTTATGGGTTTTTAGTGCAAGGCGAAACACAATACTTAGGGCCCTGTTGTTCAAACGTTGAACAACAGGAAATCACTATCAAGCGAATAAGATGAAGCAATTGCGTTACTTATTGGATATAGATTTATCCAGGGGAAAACGTTAGTTCCGGGGGCGTTAGTCAACTTTTCGAACATACAGCCCCTAAGTCAGTCTCCTCTCGCTGTATGACATTTGCAGACTGCAGACTGCACACTGCAGACCGCAGACTGCAGACTGCAGACTGCAGACTGCAGACTGCAGACTGCAGACTGCAGACTGCAGACTGCAGACTGCAGACCGCAGACCGCAGACCGCAGACTGCAGACTGCAGACCGCACACTGCATGAGGCAGCAAGACTGTTAATGAAACCAAAAATATTGTAATAAAGGTGGCGTCATCATCAACATTACCTTGTTCCGAGAAGTAAAGCCTAGAAGCAAAGTTTATATTTTTTATGTAAATTACACAGATGTCATTCCTAAAGGAGCTGTTGGCTGTTCTTTTTCTTTGAATTAAAGCAGAATAATGTCTGCCGATGTCACAAACTTGCTCATGATTCCATAGCAACCGTCTAGCAATTTAGCCTACACCACAGACGAAATTAAACTACGGTTATATAAGTCTGTCTGAGAAACAGCGCCGGAATCCTTATTCTACGGGGTCCTCACCTGTGTACTTGAACTTGAGTATGAGCAGTTATTTTCCTATTTAGAAATTCAAAATGCAGTTCTTGTAATTCGTCGAGTCCAGGTAGGATCTGTTCATTTTAGATTATTTAGCATATCCCTGAATACTGCTAAGATGAAATACGTCATTTAAAAGGTGTTAAAAGTCCTTGATCTATCCTAGTTGTTTTTGTCGACGTAACTGTAGTGAGCACGAAGACTACTATTTAGACAGGCATTAGTGGGCATTGCTACTTCTCATTATCAATTCACAATAATCAAAGAAGAATAAAGAATCAACGCAACTAGTGATATGCCGGGTGAGTTGAGAAAGGGTCGAAGAAGAATAGCCAGCAGCATCTTGGGAAAGAGTCCATTGTAACTTTGCGCAAAAATATCGACCAGGCTACTTTCTCACTTTCACACGAGGTTATATTTTTGATGACGTCACCTAGCTTTATTAGGAACATTTTTGGTGTCATTTAATTTACAGTCTGCAATCTGTGATCTGCAGTCTGCAGCCTGCAGTCTGCGGTCTGCGGTCTGCGGTCTGCAGTCTGCGGTCTGCGGTCTGCAGTCTGCAATCTGCAAATGTCATACACCGCTCTCCTCCGAAGACTTACCCTGGGCGACCTGGATAGGGGAATATAGTACTCGACCTTCCTTGCATCATCGCGAGAGCCTATAGCCTTCACTTTCTTTTGGCTCGTCCTATAATCCTACCCAACGTTCGTGGGACAGGAAAGTCTGCGTGCGAGGCTTGGGAATCTAGGGAGACTATGGTAGCATGGTGCAAATAGCCGGGATGAGCTACTTTGTCCACACGAACCAAGAGGATTGTGTCTGCTAGAAGAAATCAGATGTAGCTTTCTGTGATAAGTAATATTCCAACAGTATAGGATCATAGTTTGAAGCCATTTCACAATCACTAGTTTCCGCGCACCTCTACCGGCGAGTTGTGGACAAAAAGCAGCTGATAGCTGTATACGAACCTTTTTTCCACAAAATGGTTTCTGTGTTTTCGTATTCGACAGTGTCATGTCTTGATTTTTTTTTAATCTTAATCGAGGTCTTTTTTATTATGTACTGTCCATCTGACTGACTGTTTCTTTGTGTTTTTTTTTTTTCTGGTAATAACAGGTTTCATAATTTGGTCGCGGTTGCGGTTATAGGCTCCTGATCGTGAGCAAATAGCGAAAATCAAAGTAAACTATAGCGTTGAATCCGTTGGCCACGGAGAATTGGTATTATTCTGCAAGTTCTTTACTACAGCAAGAGAGTATACTCCCTTGACTATGGGACATTGGGCCGGGGGAACTTAGTATTTTGACCCGGCATAGGGGAGGAGGGGAGGGGGAGGGGGTACCCGTGCCAGATTCCAAGTCACGGGGATGATCGAAGTATGTTTTTTTCTTGTTTTGAAAATATTTTGAACAAATTTTTTTTTAGCTGTGGCTTTACTTAAGTTTTCAAATATTCGTTCTTTTTTGGTCTTGATTTTCGCTTCCACGGGTCACTCACGACACTTGGAATCCGAGGTACCCGTCCTGTTTAGTACTTCGAAGGCAAAAAAGCTGTTTCAAAGCCTAGTAGGTAAATAAAAGAAAAAAAGATATGCATGGCTGTTTCTACTGCGATGAGGGGAGTTCTTGTCAAAAAATGTGAAAACTGTATTAAAATTGCTGACAACAGCTACGAAAATTTCGTGACAGCATGCTGACGTGACTAAAGCGTGTGACCAATTTCCGGTCACCGGCCAAAGGTCATACGATCTTGTGCGATGTTGTTATCAGCCGACGAACGATTGAAGTGATGAAAGGTTTTCAAAATCGAAGTCATTAGTTTGCGATGAATTTTTATTCCTTTTGCCTCCTGACTGAAGTAAAAACTCTTGTAACTCTTGCTTCGACGTGTTGGGACTTTCGATTCACGGCCGGATTCGGACGCAGTTGCTGAGCAAACGTACGTTTGTCTTTTGGCTAAAAATTATTTATTTTGTGACTCAAAACGACGCAAAAGAAGTTGGAAATAACTTTCCTTGCCGTAAAAACGTGTTACAAGCAATGGTGAGTAATCCTTTCATGTAAAACCTTTCTTTTTAGTTTGACAACCGTCCGCAAGCCGTCTAATTTGCATAAATTTCCCAATTCAATTGCTCTCACCGCTTGCTTTGGTGTCAGGATGATATTTGATTTCCAGAGCTAAAACTTTCCAGTAAGTTAGTACAAAAGCCAAGGTTCCATTTTATATTGATTTTATGATCAAGCGGCATATACCAGAGGCCTTTTTTAATAGTCAAAGTTGGCCTTCATTTTCTAGCACGTCTAACGTCACAAATATGACCTCTTTACACTTGTCGATTATAAAAATGTAAAGCATTGTTTATCAAATTTTCTTTTAGGATTTTCAAGAGTAAGAACAAAATAATAATTCGGTGAAGTTTCAATGTCAGGGAATGTTTCTTACGCGTTCACCCTTCTCTCGAAGTTGCCATTGCATCCTGCCGTGTTTTGTGCGAAAAACGAGCATAAAATCGATTTTTCAAACTTTTCCTAATTTCTCCTTTAAAATGAATCGTTTGAACCCAAAACTATTTTTCCTTAAATAAGGTCACTAAAAGGGATGTTTTGGCAAAATAAAAAAAAATTCGATTTTTTGACGAGTGTCGTGCGATTCTCGATTGTCTCAGATAATGGCTCTTAAGCAGCAAGGTTTTTGAGCGGTAAATGTTAACCGGAAGTGGCCTTTTTGCACTCTTGAGCCGTGATTTTGGACAAGTTTTTGGGCAAATCGTCTTCCATAAGAGTAAAGACACTTAGCAGTACAAATTTGGTAGCGGCAAGATATATTGAAAGCGAAAAACGCTCACTTGACGTGCGTGGTTTTAGAACGTCACTGCTTTAACACTCTATTGTTATGGATTGACAAACCCATTGTTATTTAGTGAGGGTATAAACCTTAAAACTGGAAACTTGCCTCAAGTTAAGGTCGTGCTGTTATCCACTCGCAGATGGCGGCAGATGTAGTGTACCTTTTTGTCAACGTCTTCCGCAAACTGTATCGAGTTTCGTTGACCTGCGACTCCGTTTTGCGAGGATGTAAAGATCAAGCTGCGCTTTAGGAATATTGGGAGTAAAATCCCAGGCCCCGTCCAAACGAATCCTTTTTGTCTTGAAACGGTCTTTTTTTGCACGTATCATTTTCGAATCCTGTCCACGCGTATCCCTTCCTGTTTAAAACTGGGCATTCTTATACGGATTGGCCTTGAATCGATCTATTCTTATCCCGCGTGACGTTAGATTCGGTAATGTCATCGCTTGCCGTTCCTGTGAGTCTCTTCGGACCTGTGTTGACGTAAGGTCAGTCGGCAAAAAAAAGGGAAAAAAATCACTGAGTTTTGAAAAAAAAAAACGGGTACTTGTGGACGGGGCCTGAGATTCTAGGGTACCAAATTGAACGGTTTCCCGACGGACTAGCCTTCAAATACAGCTGAAACGGGAACGTGCCCAGTGACGGGGAGTGATAGGAGGCGACCGAAGGACCAGTAAACAAGTGATTAGGTTTTGTACATCTTACATGACAACAAGGTAGCCGTGTAACGTTATGGGTTTTGCAACGTGCTCTAATCAGCGGCATTTGGCGGGAAGCAGTTTCAGACGTCATCTAACCTCCAAGGAACTATTCCTCTGCGGAAAATCCTCCCTCTGGGGGAAATTTCTGCCATATAACAATAATACTTTTATAACTGCTGCTGTTTCAGGAGAAAGGAACAGACGAGGTGTACATGAGCTATCTTAAATCCGTACACCAGTCTTGTTGTAGGCGTGGACGAACACTACAGTTCTGGGCCAATGCCCTTCACGAGGACCCTGAACAGTTGTGGAATCTCCCCCCTGGCGTCATAGCCATGGAATATGGACATACGGTACACTAGCCACGGTTAATTAAACTCGTATTCTGAGGTTGTAGTCGCGGGTGATTTTCAGCGATTTTTAACGGCATTTCCTACCATACTTTCAGGTTAGTCACGATTTCCTCAAGTTCTGCAAACCATTGGTCGATGCTGGGTAAGTATAATGCAAGTTTTATTAATCTGGGTTTATCAAGAAAAATGTCGTGTAATACATGCCCAAAGATTCAAGCGACTTTTATAAGTTTAAGCCCTTTCCATGTGTTCCCCCTTACAGTACCAAGATAATTTAAACTATGAAGATGTGACCATCGCAGTTTTAATCGCGATTTAAGCAATTGTAAATTAAGCCCCCCAAAAATGGAGGGCTTCGAAAGAATTCGAATTCATGGCCTCTGCTTTAGCGCTTCAGTGTTCTACCAACTAAGCTATCAAGACCCATACATTGAGAGCAGGCTCAATTTATTGACATCATCTTAACCTTTGAAAGGAGTGAAACATGGAATAAAGGTAATGTAAACTTCAGGCTTAATTTGAAATTGATTTAATTACGATCACATCTGTGTTGGCCGTATCTTTATTTAGATTTATTTCAACTTTGTTTATGCGATTCAACTTTCATTTTTACGTCGAGAGTTCCATGGTAGCTTGTGAACAAGCCCTCTCATGAGTCGTCCCAAGAGAGCTTGCTGACACCCTCAATTTCAGTCCCAGTGTCGAGTGAATTTGTTCAGAGGCAATTCATACTTAAGGTCACTTGGCCTCACCAGCGGGGTGATTCCTGCTTTTTATATGGTTCCTGATACAAATACAGTAGAACCCCGGTAACTCTACCTCTGAAGGGAAACGAAAAACAGTTCGCGTCAGCGGAGAGTTCGAGTTATTGGGGTAAATGTCAGTGAAATATTGATCAAGGGAAAGGAAATTTAGTTGTAGTTAGCGAGAAATTCGAGTTGTCCGAGTTCGAGTTTTCGAGGTTCCACTATATAACGAATGAATTTTATAAACCTTACTTACCTGTCCAATACTAAGAGAGGAACTTGATTTCATTTTCGATCTCCATGAGTCACCAATTTCTCACTGAATATTTCTTCATATCTTGCAGTGTCAGCTTCTTTGTTTGTCCCGGGACTGGTTCATGGAACAGGTAATATGAGAGCTTTATTTGGAATTAGAGCGCTAGGTAATGGCCTAGTTCACCAAAGAGCGACCGAACAGTTGTTTCTGGGTTGTCGTGGCTTTCAATCTCGTCAGTGGATTTAAGGAACATGGCCTGTTTGCTTCTCTTTGCAGTGCTTGTGGAAACTCAGTGGACAGTTTTACAGTGATACACAATGCGGTGCAAACGGCTGTTGCCTGCAATGCTCTTGGTGTCCTCATCTGTGATTGGTCTTTACCTGGTCACGTGAATCCTCTTAGCGTTAGTATCCCGGCATTGCTTGCGGGTGCCGGGCTAGCTTGGAAATCAAGTGCGGAGTTGGTGAGTCGTAATCTGATTTGCATTCTACTTTTTTTTTGTTTGTTAATTTTTTCTTTATTTTTTGCACAAGCACTACTACATCTATACCAATAAAATACTACTACTACAAGTACACAAAATACACTTCCTACTATACATAAATAATGGCTGACACAAAGACTCTTTAGGTACAATTACTACTATAAAATAGGATACGAGTTTTTTTGCATTTTAATTCTCACTACCACGGCAGAATAGCTGAAACTTTTCCCATTTCATTTTTGGCTAGGGTCTGCAAGGTTGATTCGCTAAAAAGATTTGTTGAATGTTAAGTCGCCCAGTGTAGTGCTAGGGATCTAGTAGGTCAAGTAGATCCTCGATATAACGAACCGCTATATAACGAGGTCCTCTATATAACGAACGGCATTCTCAGCCCCAGTGAAAGTAAAATATATGGAAAGGAACCTCGATATAACGAAACCTCGATTTAGCGAACGTATTTGGCCAGTCCCTTGGCCCTTAAATCTAGGTTCCACTGTGGAATACGAGCCTTCTATGGACAACTCTTGCCTTGCAGACCCCTCGCTACTGAGGGGAACCGATTATACGGACAGCAGTTAATTCCACGACAAACTACAGACGTCTGACTGAAACTAACTTCCCTTAGGTCCCAACAGCACAATTTCATTTTTTTAACACTCGTTATGAGGGCCTTGCTAACAGAGGTGTTTTTCTGTCGCAGTTTTAAGCATGTACGAAGTCGCACCTCTGACATTCACGTAGCTGGCTTTTTTATTTCCAACCAGGCGAATGATAGTACATGGCGCGAACGACTATGTAAATGTCAAAAACCATGCTAGCAGGGTAGTTATAACGAAAACCATTAGGAATGTTTCAATATTCAGCCGAACCAGTAAATGCGAACTGCACCTCTAATTGAAGATCCCCATTATCTTACATGGTCTAGCTTGATGTTCTGTGTATATTCAGAGTCAAAATATAAAGTTTGAAGTAAATAATTATATTGTTTTGTTTCAGTCAAAAGTGCGCTCCTCTCTTGCCGATGTTTTAAGTCGTCACGTGTTCATGGACGCATCCGGGTCATTTGGCCGTGCACTCATTGACCTGGGCTCGACTCACTCAGTGGTGCTTCAGGACGAAGCCGTGCAAGCAGGTGTCACCTCAGACAGCAGCAGGGTACACCCAGTCGCGCATGCTCCGGGAGGCACGCTGCTGTGGCACATTTTGGAGAGTAAAGGTTCATCTGAACTAGAAAATGTAACGTCTAGCAGTTTACAGGTACGTGGATTGGTGCAATCAACGTTTGAAAAGAATAGACCAATGTACCATTTCCAGGTTCTAAAAACTCTCACATTCAAAACGAGGATAAGTGCAAGACCTTTCTCGTGAAAATGACTTTTATTTGCTTGAGAATGAAAAAATGATTTTCATATCAATACCTTCGCACTTAACCTCACTTTAAAATAAAGTCTTGGGGCATCTTAGAAATGGCATATTTCGATGATATGATGATTAAGATTCGAGGCTTCCGAAAGTAAAGCAAAAGAAATTTACTATTCATCTCTGTACTTGAAAGTGATTCCTTTGCCTTTTATTCCTTTAAGTCTAGGAGCCAAGTAAGAATTTTTTATGTATATCAAATATCGAAAGGGGCTAAAATTAATGGAATCCCTCAGGGGGAGGTCGGACATCTCATGACGCCTACACAATGTAGCGTAAGCTTGCGGTGATTGGTGTTGGGTAAGAAAGTTGAGGATGTTTCCTGCAGCAGTGCATAGTCGTCATAAGGTATCCGACCTCAGTAGTCGCGACTACTTTGAAATGCTAGCTATTTGAAGTGGGTTATTTCTAAAGAGTGGATTGGGATACTTAGGGAGAGGTTAGATCCTAAAGGAAATATGGTTTGTAGTGATTTTCGAACTTTCGCGTGCTCCTTGTAATTTAACTTGCACACCTAATGTGAAAGAAATTACGCGAAATTTAATCAGTTGACGTGTAGCTTTGGTTTTAGAAGCGGAAATTAAAATCTGGAGGTTTTCTTATTCACCTGTTTTCTGTAAGAGTTTTTAAAAGTTACCGAAAAAAATGATATGGGGTTGTTCTTTGAAGTACGCTCTGACCATGAATGCCAAATAATCTGGTGAACAACACCACCGTAACCGCAGTAGGGATGGGAACTGGAAAAGTGCACGGAAAAATGTCCAGTAATGCTAACGACAAATAGTCTCCCACGAAACTGTTCTTTGCCTCGTCACTAGACTGCTCGCAGTCCACCTTTTCTCTTAAAATCCGTCTAGTTCTTATCTCAGTCAGCGCGATTACAAACCACGACGTTACAGTAAGGGATTGGGATTCCTAACTAGGATCATGATCGGACTAAGATTTGACAATATAGAAGATGTAGCCAGAACATCTTCAGTGCTGCACTGCGGCACGCGGCTTCGCTCCTCGCGTGCTTGGGGTTTTGCGTCACTAAATTGAAAAAGAAAGAATATAAGGGACTGCTCGCAGTCTATCTCGTCACAAGCGTTGTGTAGGAGGCTACGAAAGACTTTTTTATGAATGATTTAACCCTTTGATACCCGTGAGTGAGCAATGTCAATTTTCTCTCAACAACACTAAACATCATCAAGAGATAAGGTTACACGGGAAATTAATGAATGATCACTAAAAGGAAAATGCTTCGATCTTTTATCAAATTCTCTTAACTAGTTATTTAAGGGATTGTGTGGAGATCAGCATGGAGAATTTGTATGTGAATATTGGCGCTTAAAATGTTATGAAATCCACGCAAGTGTTCTAACTTTGTTGCTTTATTTTGGACGTTAGAGGGCCTTGCGCCAAATTCGCCAGTGCCACAAGTCCTTCATAGCTGCTGAACTCAAGTGCAAACAGAAAGCGGATATTGTCAAGGAACTCGTCGTATTGGTGGATATCTTACTGTTTGTGACCAGGTTACTTATAGTTCAATACTTTCTGATTTATTTTGGTTAATTGAACAAAGAAGGAAAAAGATCAGGGCCGAGTTGTTCAAAGCTGGGTTAAGATAACCCAGGGTTAGCGCGAGAGTTTGAATTCAGATATGAAAGCTTAAAAGGCATTTCAGTTCTTTTTGTCTACAAGTTGATGATTGGGAGCTCTAAAAATAGCACAGAAAGCCATCCGAGAAAATGCTTTTGAACACAAGAAAAAGAAACCCAGGTTAAATTTAACCCCGGGTTAAGCGCTAATCGGCCTTCGAACAACTGGGCCCAGGGGTGCATTTTTAGAAATTCTAATTGAAAATTGAGAACTTCGTTCTGATTTACACTTCCCTTGGTTTCAGTCAGGCGCTACGCATATTCGCGCCTATTTAAGATTTTCACTCGATTCAGAAGTAACGAAAATGGTAGCTGTTTACTATTAACGTGGGCTAACCGCTCGGTTCACGGTTAAGGCAAATGGTAAACGAAATTCAAAATTGGAAAATTCCGCTCGGGAAACGCTTTAACTATTTGCACAAAACAGTGCCCTTAGTTACCGAAAAATGGCCACAAAAGGCCGAGTTTTTGGAACTTTCCGACTGGGGAAACAGGACTTCCTTTTTAGACGTTCCGTTTGTTAATTTCCATGTGAACAATCCGAAAAGTTGTGTTCCATTTACGTTTGTAAATTAGCTGTCAATTCTGTAGGGAGTGGATAAATCGCAAACCATGATGCCTTTAGGCAACCCAAACGACTGTCAAATGGTTAGCACCACAGAGATACCTTGAAAAGAACAGACGTGGGTCAAGGCGCGAAAAATCACGGGAACGCTTGCCTTGTAGCCGGTCCTTTTGCAGTCGTGCCATGACCTGAAACTTATTAGAAACCTGAATCTGCATTATTCAAACTGCTCCACAAACAGGTCATTTTGTTGCAGAATATCAGCTAACTGGACTCTGTTATTGTCGCAGGATTTGCCGGCTGCTCCTCTTGAACCGCAAACAGTCGAGTACTACTTCGTCCCTTGAAGATTTACCTGTTATCAATAAGACCGACTTAGCTAACAAGTAGGTGTTTATTCCTACGTTATTTTCTTTATCTCTGTGCTTTGTTTGTTGGTTTGTTTGTTTTGGGATGCTTAGAATTTTGCATCCCTTGTTTAAATAGAGACCTTAAGCTACACCGTGTACTGGTGCGGGTAAATTACCCGTACGCGTAGCCGTAAATACGGGTAGATGGTCTCTTATCTACGGGAAACGGGTAGGCTTCCGGGTGGAACGATAACGCTGTTATCTGATTGGTCGCCATCTATAAAACTACGCGGCAAAATGGCCGCCTACCCGTACCTGTAGGGAGAAACAGTGCATCTTAAGGTCACTTATGTCCCGTTGCCTAATTTGGCTTCCCCTGGGGAAGGAAGCTTTTGCGAAGCCTTGAAGAGGGTGTTATTGCGTTAATGCGTTTCCCGTGGCGTTTGTAGCTTAGTTATTTTGCCGTTTTTCAGGTTGTTAGCACTTGTGGAAGTGTACCAGAAGGCATACCTTTTGCGTAACAAGCAAGGTGGATTGTTTAGCGCTGTACAGCTGCTGCGAAATTTCCTTCAACATCTGCTTCCCGAAAATGAAAAATGACCGCGAATATCTCTGCTCAATTCGAAATTTAAATTTAGTGAAATGCCCTAATTTCTCGTCGCGGTATAACCGAGATTCTGTGACCTTGTTCTCATAGAGCCCTTCCAACTTTTCCTCAGGTAAATCATTTTGTCAGGTCCTATTGTAATGGCCGTTTTCACAAGAGAGACTGATTATCCGTCTGAGACGGATAATCCATATAATAATAATAATAATATAATAATAGTAATAGTAATAGTAATAAAATATAAAACTAGCCTAAATAGTGCGTCAAAATTGACAGATGAACAGATAGGTAAAGTCAGGCGGATCGTTCATCAAAAATTAAAACCATTCCATTTTCAAATTAAGTCGTATTTGTCTGTCTGGCGCAAATTATCCAACGCATAATCCGTCTCTAGTGTGAAAATGGCTAATATTTTCGACCACTGGCTTGTAATCGAGTCTATCTGGTCAAATTAATGAACAAGCAGGTATCGTAGGGATTACCACTACCACTTTAGAAAGCCTAATAGCGCCGAAAAAAGGTCTTTAAGCAAGTTACCACAGATTTTTTTTCAATAATTGTGACAAATTTGCACTAGGTGTTCTATCACCCAACAACAAGGGTGGTAACGCAAAAAAAAAAAAAATTCGTTGGCTTGAAATCTTTTTCTAAGTTTGTTAGTTGGACCTGTAGCCGAAGACCGTTTTTGACTCACCGTGCTCTGTGAGACATCATTCCCATAACGTATATAAGTCCTTTCTCTCAGAGTTTGAAGTCGTTTGATTTCAAATACCTCTCTCAGTGAGAAAGGTATGAGGGAGGTGTGAGGTCAGGGAGAACATTCCTCGAGAGCATCTCACCGAGGATGAGTGGAAAAGGGTCTTTGGATTTGGCAGCTTCGAATTATTTTATCAAAAATTTCGTACTTGGCTCCAAAGCTGAGAGGTGTAAAACATAGGAAAAGGCGTTGACGTTCAGGGCTAGCTGAATAATTCATTCCTTTGTTTTATTTCCCTAAATCTCGGAGCCAAGTATTCGGAACTGGCCTACTATCCATTTGAGGTTGTGCGTGATCCTGGGACGGTGTCGAGTCAAAATGCACTCCCAAATTTTGCGTAACCTTTGTTTTTCATGTCTTCTGGGTATTACAGCCGCCCCAAGAGAAATTGAAAACCAAGCTTACGCAAAATTTTGGGGGGCAAATAAGGTGCATTATGGGAGATGTGCAAGTGGCGAATACGTATGTTTCGTATTCCCGGGCAGCCTAGGATAAGTGCTTGTTTTAGCGCGAAAGCGAGGCTAATGTGGGTCAACTTTTGGCACAGTTTTGTTATGCGAGACAGAAATCCCTTTAGCTTACCGGTAAAATCTTACCATTTTCATGATTTCTATAGTTTTCCGGTATTAACTCAGCCGCAATTTTCTTACGTTTGTTAGTTCGTTTTCCTCAAGAAGTTGGCCAGAATGAGCTTCGCACGACTCTCACTCATGCTAGGACGTTTCTCGTCTTAGGGCCGTCTGGGAATACGAAACTTGCCTATTTTGACCAAGTTCTAAGTAGCCCATAAAGTAGCGCTTACATCCCCAAAACAGTTCCATGGTACGGTCCGACACCATGCCAAGGCCATACCAAGTCTTACGATCAACCTTGGAATGGCCAATGGAGGGCTTACAACGGGGTGGATAGTCCTTTTTCAAAAATTGCTCTAACAATACGTGAATTAAACGATCGTTATGCTATTTAATGCTCCTATATTTATAACATTAAGTTGTGTACATTATGATGTGGACCTTATTTTAAAATTGAATTGTCATTCCATAAAGAAACACTCACGCAGATGAATCTTATGCTGTACTCTTTGAGTAGGTTTATTAGTCAAGTAGTCTCCAACAGAAACATTAGGAAGCACAATAAAAATTCTTCTGGAAAAGTACGTCGAATTTATGTAGTTGTTGTAAGGTGTAAAGCTGTTAAGGTCAAGCATTCGTAACCCTGTGGGGTTCGTACCCCTTTAAACTTTAAAAATTCCATGACTTTTTTTCATGACCTTTTAAAGGTTTCCATGACCTTAGGGTTTGCTGTCACTTTCGAATACTTTCAAAACTTTCGACTTGACGCAGTTCAACAGACACCAACGCTGGTGTCCACCAATAATGCGTGCCATTTGATTACTTATTTGTATCTTACATTATCCCTGCTTTTCCCGACATCTGCAGTAACTAATGTATCAAAACATAACCTTAATTTCCCACGACTTCCCAGGACCGACAATGAAATTCTTTGACTTTTTAGGCCTGGAAAATAAATTCTTAAATTTCATGACTTTCCAGGTTTTCAATGACCCGTGCAAACCCTGCCCTGCTTTACATCCGAGCGTCTCGTGCCAGCTACTACCTTGATGGTAAGCAACGCTTTTGAAACAACAATACTCCTCAATAGAGCGATTTCGTTTGACCTTGAAAAATGATTTCGGTAAGTGCTCGTTATTTGTTTTATCAAAACATGTACTTTTCGTTTTCCCGCCCAAGAAAAACCTAATATGGAAGAAGGCATTGTTCAACTGGCCAATCGTGTTGTAGTACGACGTCAAGAAAGTTCTCGGGCATGAATTATTTCAACCCGAGCGTTCGCTTAACCAACCAAAAACCACGCGCGTTTGTATCAGTTCGATAAACCAAATCACTCTATTTCCGTTCGTTTGTTGTTTCCGTTTTCATTTCGAGGTCATACGAAAATCGCTCTAAGGCTAAAGCTAAAAAGGCTTTCAAGCACAAGGCTTATCCCTTGAAAAATGGAAGAAGGAAAAGGCCCATTTCGTCCCTTCCCTTCTCACGAGGTTACCGTTTGGTTTGGCAGATTCGAAACAAACGAAAATGCTAGAAGCGAAAGGGACTGTATGAAGAATAACACAACGCGGCAAACGGAAACTTTTGCAAGACTTTTAATGAGATCTCGTCAGAAAAAGTACTCACTAGCAAATTATTTACAGACACTTCAACAATTTGCAAAATGGCAAAGGCTAAGTTATGAAGGAAAAGAAAGCTACAAAGTTCACAGGACCTTTCAAAGAATCCACATAGTCAGACGGGTAGAGAGTAAAGGGCCCTATGGCATCAGTGCAGAGAAAACCTAGACGTTTCAAGGGCTTGTACGCAATCCTTCTTAACACAGAAAGAATGCGTGAAAATCCTTAAAGGGTGGGTAGGAGGTTACCTGGATCGAAACAACCACCGTGAACACTTTATGAGCTATACACAACGTAAGGTTCAGTCACTCATCAGTATAGAGCGCCACTGGTAGGCATAAAACGAACACTACGTTGTATAACCCTTATAACGTGTCCTAGTGGTTTTGGTGGTGGAATTTGAGAGAACGCTTGCAAAAAAAGAAATGAATACCTTGTGGTAGCCGACATAGATTTTGACAAAATAAAATCACATTGTTGTTATATTACTATTCAGTCAACTGTATTGCATTTCAAGACTCTAGGCTCAGCCTAAAACAGTTATTTTGCGAAACAAACGTATTTTGAAAGCAAACACACTTGGTTCACGAACGCTCCTAGAGAAGGATGAGCTTAAGTCAAGTTTCACGCGAGAGGTCCTTAATTTGTAATTAAATAATTAAAATAGTGGACAACGTTGACAAACTGTGCACTATATACCTGTCTTGATGAAAGGACTGAATTTGATTTTCATGGGAAAGAGAATAATTACAGGACTCTAAAAGGCCACTGTTCATGTGCCTAAAAAATGGTTTTGTAATGCAAAATGCAACCGGTTTTGATTGGATGAAAAAATTCACTTTCTAAACCAATCAGTGGTAAACACTAGACGTTCGCACGCGTTTTCAAGCGCTTAGCGTGGCTAAGCATAGCATAAGCTGTTACGGTAATTATGACTGGTTCGTTTCAAAGTTTCTGTATTACCATACTCGATCGAAAACCGCATGAAATCAAAATATTTCCCTAACGATAAGTGCTAAAAAGGCAGATACCGGCCCTTTGACTCTTAGAGTCAAAGCAGACGCTAGGTCATTTGAAAATTCCGCGGTATCGTCACTTAAACGACCGCTATCCTATGCTTTTACGTGAACTTTTTGTCTGACCGCCTGTTATTGCTTTGGGGTCTCTTAACAGTGAAAGGGCCGCCAAGATAGATTCTATTTACTGTAAAACGATCACTTCACCAACCCCAGCTTCTTTGCCTCTGTTTCGTAGATCAGAAGACGCCACATCTTCACCACAAAAACCTCGGCTTCCTCATCTAAAACCTGGAACGAACATAGAAGTGTTGCCTGTTAGCTGACTGAAAATAAGTTGCGAAGTTGTGTTCGTTCGCCAATAGAAATTAGGAAAAAGCATTATTTTCTAAAAATGTCGTTACCCCTTCCCCCCCCCCCCCAAAAAAATGTTATCTACTAAAACAAAAAAATTCTTACAGTTTCTCATAGTTCTCCGCAAAGTCAATGCGAGGAATCAACGATTTTCCAGGATTAAATAGACCTAAGTAAACTGCGTACAGTTTTGTTGTAGGCAAAAAGGCTAGCGAGAAGTCGTATGACTAACTCTAGTACAAAGACTAACTGGAACGATCTTATCATAGAAAAACTTCACATACCATGGAGACATCATCAAGGATATGTTTTGGCGTACTTCTAGCAATGACCTGGAAACGAGATATAACAAAACAAGAATAAGGTCACAGTATCATGAACACGTTAATCAAAAGCCTTGACCTATTTCGGAATTTCCTCTAATCTCTTCAGATCAAAATTATATTCCCGTGCAAAAAAATATATATATATAAATTCAGTTTTCATCCGAAGTGGCTGTGCATCTGGCGAAGATTTGAGAGGCAAGCGGGAACCTGGAAATAGATCATTTTTAAGGGAAATTACTTTATTTCTTAATCTCCGAACTGTCCGCTCGACAACAAATAAGATTGTAAAAAAGCTTCACAGCGCGATAAGATGTCAAAAATGCATCAGATTAACAAGCCAATGGCCTGAAAAACCTTCCAATCTTTCGGGACGCCACCACTCGATTCCCCGTGAAATTCTATAGAGATGACGCGTCACTGCCTAGATCTGGGTAGTGCAACTAGTGCTTGATTGGTTAAACATTTACTTCATCCAATCAGAAGCACTACGCAAATCTACAATCGGCGCCAAAATTGTTGAGACATTGTACTCAAATAGGACAACTACAGAGAACAAAAAATCCACACCCCTCCCCCCTCCCCTTCATTCAAAGTTGGGGTGTTTGTTGTTTTCTATAGGTAGCTCGAACAGCGGCACAACATGGGGGGATGGGGGAGGAAAAGCTTTATTTTCTCTGGAAGTCAGTAAAGCGTCAATTGAAAGTCCTTTTAGAGCGAAGTGTCTCAGCTAATTGTGTCGCCGATTGTAGGTAGTACCGCCTCATCAGTAAGGAATTTCTACACTCATTCATAAGACGAATGATGTCAGCTGTTTTCGCAGGCTAACAAGCTAACGCAGTGTGGACTTACCTTGCTACAAATAAAGTCTGTTAATGTCAATTCCTCTTCACCAATGTACTCTATTATTTTCTTGTTGACCCATGGGCGTATTCTGCGATCTACAAGCCCCTAAAAACGAATTAAATGGACACCGGTCAGAATGTTAACTTAACACATCGGGACAGCCTTATGCCCAGACCTCTGTTACAATGTTATTGTTACTAAGGTAACTAACACTTAAATCTAATCTACCCATGGTATTACCCAATCCATGTGGACACGAGCAACAGAGAGAGGTCTGGGGTGGACTAAGACTGCATATTTGTTATCGTATATAATCTGTACTTACGTAGTATGATGATCCGAGTGTCCAGTGAGATCACGAGTGAGACAAAGCGACTTGAAGACCACAAATTCAGTCACGAAAAAGCCACCTAACGCTCTTATTAGTGATTTAAGAATCACCACTATAAAGGGGAAGATGCCTACTACAGATAGCTACAGAACATTTGCAAGTTGCTGTATTCTTACATGACCAGCAATCCGAATTCGTTAGTTTCCCGTCCTGCCGCGGATCTCTGAAACAGAAAGCAGCCTTAACAAATAGCGACACAACCGTCACACGAGAACATACCTGGTCCACAATACTCCAGTCCAAGCTATAAGCAAACAGTTCATCTTTAGCAGTAGGTATACGTTCTATAAGCGACTTAATAATCCGTTTCTTATCTTCAGCCTCTTCACTCTCCGCCTTAGATACGTCCTCCTCGTCCAGTTTGACCAATTTCCGCTTTGGAGCCGCGCCTGCTGCGTCGTCATCATCACCTGCGCTGAACACGGACTCCAGTTTCTTACGGCTCGCCTGGTTCGCAGCAGAGGGCTGCCGAAAAAAAAAATCAAATACGGCTGTTAATTTAATGGTCAACTGACTACCGACTGGTTAAGGCAAAAGACCTGTCTATAGTTAAAACTCGGGTTCGTAAGCGGCATCATAGGCTTGATGGAATCGGAGACGCAAGATTGAAGAATAAATATGTTTTCATTTTCTTCCAACTCCGCTTATAAATCTACCGCTTCCGATCCAGTGCGTAAACTACCGCCTACAAGCAATGGGGTTATATATCTTCGTAAGGGGTTTTAGGAGCTTTTTCCACCAGATTATGATGCGCTGCGCTTCTGACTCCGAGTGATTTAGTCGAAGAAAAGTTGGTATACTAAACGGCAAAACGCCACGCGCCAAGGATGTGTTATTGTACTCACCAAGTTGCTGCTCAACTTCATCTCGAATCCAAAAGCTTTCTTAGGTGCAGGTTCCATTTCCACTTCAGGCTCTTGACCATTCTCACGCACTCTTTTCATACCGACCGAGACTGGCGACGAGTCTGTTGACCTGGGACTTGGTGACCAGCTTGATACGGGAGCTGCTTCCACCTGAGGAACAAACTGAAAAACAAAAAGAAAAATTGAAATACGTTGCCATTCCAATCTTAACTCACCTTAAACATCTGTAAACAGCGCGGAAGCGCCCGTAGCAACTGGCCAATCACATTTTACTAAAAGGCCACACCGGAGAGGACGAAACGTACTAAAGAACAAGACTGAAGTTAGGAAATAACTATTTTAAAGGGGTTATGTCACGACGATATTGTTGTAAACAGCTTAAGCAACAGTCTTTTGAGCGACGGACGTCAACCGGAAGTGGACTTTTTGCATCAATGCTCAGTGGTTTGGTCGAAACTCTTGGGTAAATCGTCTTTAAAAGAGAAAAGAACTTAGCAATACAAATTTGTTAGCGTCAAGGAATATGAAAAGGGAGAAGGGCTCACTTCCGGTTGACGTGCATCGCTCAAAAACGTATTTGCTTAAGCTCCCAACTCAGTACCGTAGTGACGTTCGCACAGTAGTACTCTACTGACATCACTTCCTTTTGCCTTTACCCACGCAAAAACTGCTGCTGCAGAGTTTTGAAGAAAAAGCCGATCAACTCCATTAACAAGGTACTGCACTATTCGCCCCCTGAGCCCAATTTGCTATCCGTCTTCTTTAAGAGGTTTTAAAAACTCAAAATGTTGCAGGGAATGTACGGCTCATTAGGGCCTGAACTTTCCGGTATTCCTGTAAACAAAGGCACCAACTCGAGGCTTGGGTGGGCAAAATGCAGTGATTTGTATCAAATTGTCCACCCAAGCTCACTGGAGCGGAATGCGGAAAATGCCTGTTGTTGTTTCCCTTTTTTTTCGGGCGACAACAGGAGCCAGCAATCCTAATCTTCACGTTTTTAGTACGCATGCGTCGCATGTTTGTAACCAGAATTCGTTTGGACTTCCATTTAGGGTGGATTTCCAGTATCGCGTAATTTTTACGTGTGAACGCATGTAAATTTTTACGCGCGTAAATAAAATTGAGGCAATGTATGGAAAGTCACGCGCAAACGTAAAAGTTGAACCTTGCTCAATTTCCCTTTTACGCGGGCCTTTCATTCATTGCCTCTATTTCACTTACGCGCGTAAATTTTACGTGCGTTCGCACGGAAAAATTACGCTACAGTGGAAATCAACCCTAAGAGTGAATGGAATGCACAGAACGCACCTTAATCACGCGCGTTTGGACTTTCTATAACTCGTAACCTGATCACACGTGTTTTGACTATCTGTCACGTGAAACATACACAAAGCACAAAGATGGAAGAAAAGCGTTTTGACATTCGATCGTTGTCGCCGGCAATCCGTAACCTTTGGTTATTAATAGTTGTTAAGCAGTACACGAACAAAACTAAAATTTACAACGATCGTAATGCACCTTCATTTTTACCGCTGTTCGTTACTCACCTGAGGCTGCGCTATAACTGCTGGTTTAAACGTTGGTTGTAAAACAGCCGGCCTTTCCTCCTCCTTTTCGCTATCTTTATTTTCCTGCAAAATCAAAGAAAAAAGCCAATAAGATGACTCCCGTTAACAAGATCCTGAAAAACAGCGACAACGCTAAACAACAACAACAGACATAACAGACCTTTGATTGAAGATGATATAGAACGGCGTAACCCCCCTCCCACCTCCCCCACAAAAAAAAAATGGGGACTTAAGCGGGATTCGAACCATGGTCTACGCATAAGTGCTGCAGTAGCTCTACCAACTAAGGTATGAAGACCCTTGCACTTGTTGAATACCAATCTGTTGAGGTCATCTTGACCCGTAAAAGGAATAAGACATGGAATGAAAAAAGGACATTCTTTTGCACGCTCCGTGGGGCTTTGCCCTTATTACGGTAGACCTTCAGCACAGAGGATTTGATCTACACTTTCATTTTTGCATTCAACCTAGAAGAATGGACTCCTAGCACAGATTGGAGAGAGATCTTATGGCTCAACCGTCGTTGAGTGAATCTTGGTGCATTAAACTGGAGTCTCCGCAGATTTTTCAGGGGTGAATGACCTCCTCACCAGCTTGCCAAAGGATATAGTAGAGCCTGGAACCGAGATCGAACCAGGACTGAAAACTGAAAACTCTTACATAGAGGACTTAGACTCTGGGCTCTAATAGAGCGATTTTCGTTTGACCTTGAAATGAAAACGCGCGAACAAAACAGAAACAACAAACGAACGGAAATAGTGCGATTTGATTGGTTTATCGAACGGATACAAACGCGTGTGGCTTTTGGTTGGTTAAGCGAACGCTCGGGTGAAAAAACTTCATTCCTGAGAACTTTCTTGAAATCAACCGATACTTCACTTTGACGTCATGCTGCAACACGATTGGCCAATCGAACATTACGTTCTCCATATTAGGGTTTTTTTGGCGGGAAAACGAAGAAGCCATGTTTTGATCTTTTCATCCATTGGCTGATAAATCATCTAACGAACACTTACCGAATCCATTTTTCAAGGTCATACGAAAATCGCTCTATCGTTTTCATGCTGATCACGACAAACCTGTTCTTCCATTTCTTCAGTCTGATCAACTATTCTTTTCCGTATTTCCTCTATCTCCTCCATTTCGCGTTGTCTGTCTCTTTCGTCTGATTCTATCTCCATTTCTCTTTCACGTCGTCGTCTCTGCAAAGCGCTTCCCCTTTGCAATCAAATAGGAATTATTAGCTGGTGCTAAGCTATGCGACTGTCTGGATTTCACAAAGCCTACCAACAAGCTCTCTATTTCAAGTGACGAACGAATGGAGCCGCGGGAGAACGCGCAAGCGAGCGAGCGAGCGACAAAGCCGCCCCTAACTCTCGCGTCTCCTTTCGGGTGCCACTCGCGCGTGACTTCTCACGATATCGCTTATCGCTTAACGCTTATCGCTTTATTCATAATTTTGGCACCCTCGAGCCGGGTGAATTCAATCAAGATTTCTCTTTCGGGTGACTTGCGCGCGCACACTCGCTTGTATTTACGCGCGCATTTTCAAATTTTCCGCTATAACGAACTCACATATTTTCCCTGATGAAGGCAGCATTGCCGAAACGTCGGAGTCTTATTTGAAATTATCAGCGTTTAACTTACCACCTTCCCCCTTTTTTCTCACGATATCCATCTAATAGACAACTAGTTACTAGAGTTCGCGAGCGAGTCCTTTCAACAACTAGTGCTACTGTTTTGGCCGCAGCGAAGACGCGAGGAGAATAGGGAGCTTAAGCAACAACGTTTTTGAGCGACGCACGTCAACCGGAAGTGGCCTTTTTTCATTTTTTGACGGTGGTTTCGCGCAAATTTTCAGTCAAATCGCCTCTATAACAGTAAAGAAGCTAAGGAATACAAATTTTATATCATCAAGGCATGTTAAGAGGGAAAATACCTCACTTCCGGTTGACGTGCGTGGCTCAAAAACGTCGCTGCTTAAGCTCCCTAATGCGCAGGAGTGGACTTTCTTTGCCACTGGCGAAAGTTCCATCGCTCATAGACAGAAAGCACTCTCGTCAAAATTTTCCCAGCAATGCAGGCTGTCCGTTGTTTTATAGTTTTCATGAGGACTACAACGGTGAAACTAATGCAGACAAACACTGACAGTCCAGGACTACTTTCACGGCAATCTTAAGGCAATACAATAATAACCCCCTTTAGGGTAGATTTCCACCGTCGCGAAATGTTTACGCGCGTAAATACAATAGAGCAAAAGTATGAAAGGTCGCGCGTAAATGTAAGAGTTGAGCGAGGTTCAACTTCTACGTTTACGTTGTCTACGAGTACGTGACATGCCACTTTAGATAAATAATACTATGGTGACTAGAAACCTTTCCAGTGTTTTTTACGGCCGACATATCGTTGATCGTCCGCGCGCAATTCCTCCCCGCGAGGCACAAAGCAGTTTTCAAAAGTCACGCCTTTTCAAGTTTGTTATGTCACCTTGGCCAGTTCCAGGCTACAAGATAGTCGTATTTGGGAAATTGAGAAAGCGCGAACACGAAAATAACTAAAAGGGAGGAAATTGTGGAAAGGAAGGGCTCCCTTTTCCCAGATCACGCGCTCATAATTATTTCCGCGTGCCCTTTACTTACGCGTCATCCCTACTATCTAAGAGCCTGGAACAGGCTAGGATCACCTACAGTCTTTTCGACGTATCAGTACTCAAGATAGGGCACTGTCTTATAACAGACCGTTTCTTGACAAGAGAATGGGCTTTCGCTTAAGTGCATGACTACCTACTTGTAGTATTTAGGATCATCTTTATCATCATCGTAGTCCTCAAGAAATTCCAGCAAATGTTTTCTCTCCCGTGCCTGGAAGAAATTTAAGGCGACAAATTGAAAACCTTGGTCACTGAAAGGAATTTTACGTCGAATACTGCAGGATAGACCGGTAATGTAACTTTTCATTAAATCATCACAATGTAACGAAGCAAATACCATGTGTGGCTTTCAATTGAATAGCCACATAATGATCACGCTCAAAAGTTGGGCTACGTCTTGATACTATCCCGCGAGTATACCAATCCAGTAGAGCGAGCATGCGTTACGCCTTCACAGTGCCCGAAGTCAAAATTATGTGTTCCAAATTCAGCGTCGTCAAGTAAAAATAATTAATTAACTAATCAATTATATAAATAAATGAGCACAGTTCTACCGGTGGGACCTTGTCTTGTACCCTAGGTTATTTGGTAGAAGCCGCATGATGAAGTATGCACGCTATGCTATGCGATGCAGAGCAGGGGAGGAGCAAAGTGGGATCATGCGCACTCTGCGACGCGGATTATAGATATCTTGGAAGTGTTTTGGTGTACAAACCTTGCAAAACGGTTCCTAACATACCTGTTCATCTTTCTTTTCTCCTTCTTTCTCCATTTCTCGTTCATATTCACGACCTCTTTTTCTCTCTCTTCCTTCCCAGTTTTTCAAACGCTAGATAAAAAAGGAACAGACTTAGCCTGCGTAGCCGGCGGGATTGTTATGCGCGGGGTAGTTGACTTGCACCCAATCTTCTCACGGCTGCGCCGCCTAAAAAACAACAGTGCTCGCCCGCTAGTCCCGACCCGACAGCTAAGCAGGCTACAACAGACTATTAAAGCCCTATGTTATCAGTTAATAAAATACCGTAGAATTCCGAAAATAAGCCCCTCATGTATCAGCCCCTCCAAATATAAGCCCCCCAAACCGGTAACGCAAAAAACCCTCCGTTCAATCGCCCCTCCAAATATAAGCCCCCGGGGGCTTGTACTTGGAAAATTTCCCTCAAATACAAAGTAAAACAAAGCAAAAACGGCAAATTTACTTTAAACTAGGAGGCTAGTCCAATCGATTTTGAAACACAAATTTCTCTCAGTAGATAAGCCCCTCCGAATATAAGCCCCTCAAAAAGGGCCTTTGAAAAATATAAGCCCCGGGGCTTATTTTCGGAATTTTACGGAAGATTTTGACCGACTTTCAGTTTAATCGACCTCAAAAAAATCACCATCAAGATCCTCAAAACTTAGGCACTTTAAAAGGGTCTAAATGCGAGTTTTTTTAGTGTTTGTATAGATCAACAAATCGATCCGTTTGTTGAACCGAGCTGGAAAAAGTAATCAGCGGGGTTGTTTTAAGAACTTTAGTGATCGACTGATGCTTTCATCAGGCAGTGTGCATCAGTCAGTGACAACTGCTAATCTCGGGCACTGGCAGCAACAAGCGGATTGTCTTGAGAAGCACGACATCAACAGAACCGGGTTGGTTCGACCACTCAACAGGCTTCAAACATTCTGTTTATTTTCTGAAATATTCGACTATAAGTATTATAAACTTCTACAACCCCGGACAAAACTGTTGAGACAATTCCATCTATTTTCTAACTTTTGCGCCCTACTCCCGTCTCCTTAAACACAAAAAGTAAACCCCCTCCCACCCCGTAGTTAGTAGAAATGCGTACCTCTTGGTAGGCTGCGTCCTTCTCCCTCTGTTTCCTTTCACGCCTTCTTCTGTCCGCTTCTTCATCTTCATCATAATCACGCTCTTTCTCTCGGTCACGATCGGAATCTCGGTCCTTCTCTCTTGCTTTATCACGATCCCGATCTCTATCCCGATCACGATCACGATCTCGATCGCGTTCGTCACGGTCACGGTCACGGTCACGGTCCCGATCTTTTTCTCGTCGTTCACGTTCTTCACGCTCTCGTTTCCTCTCTCTTTCTCTTTCACGTTCCCGTTCGCGCTCCTTTTCTCTGTCGCGCTCCCTGTCTTTTTCCTTATCTCTGTCCCGGTCTCTTTCTTTTCTCTCTGATCTTTCTTCTTCTTTTTTCTTGTCCTCTTTCTGCAAAATATAAACAGAAAACACAGATATGCTGAGTACTGTTGGCATCCCACAGAGATGCTGTTTTGACAGCGCAGTAAATCCTTGCAATTTCCTACAGGTATCAGTCAATACCCTGCATCTTCTCCTGTGTCTGAAACAAAACGCGACTGTCAAATCATTAGTACGAGAAAGCCTATTCAAAGAGTCACTAACACATGCAAACGACTCTCAGAACCTCAAGCGGCGAGACCTTTATCCAGATTTAGCAATTTCTGCGACTTCGTCCTGCCTTGAACCTGTGCAATGGAAGAAGAACAACTGTGTGTTGCAGAAAACATGTACTGACACGGCTCACATCACACACAATACGTACAAATCAACAAAACACACTGAATTGATTCACAGATAGGTTCAACAGGTATCCAAACTCACCGTAGTGCTGAAATCCGAACCTTGTTCCGGTTATATGAGCTTCAAGGGTTTCTTTTTGGTGACAATTAGTTATTCCATAAACGAAGTTTTAAAATGCAAATGCACTTACGTACAAATGTGAAACAAGGGTGCCTTAACACACTTTCAGTGCTACTGTCAAATTCTGAAAGCTCATTAGTAGACAGGGGGTGTGTTGATGGCCTGTAACGAAGGATTTTCGAGCGATGTATTCATTTAGCCCACTCTATAGTAAGGAACCCTACTAACTGTTTTAAGGCCGATACACAGGAGGGGTTTTGCTCCCGGAGCATGCTCCAGGCTCATTTTGCACGTGTCAGTACACTCGAGGGAGCGTTTTTAAGTTCGCTCAATTTGCTCCCAAATATTTAACCGGTTAAATATCGTGGAGCATTTTGCGGGGTGGAAATTCTGCTCCCGAGGATGAAGTATACCCATGAAATCGTTGGTACACACGGAGGAGCTTTACTCCCGGAGCGTGCCCCTGGAGCATGCTCCAGGAGCAAAACCCCTTGTGTGTATCGGCCTTTAATCCTTTAAGCCCCAATCTCACAAACAAATTCTCCAGACCAACCTCCATACATTTCTTTCAAGAATTAGCTGAGAGAATTGGATAAAAGATCAAAACATTTGCTCTTTAGTGATCATTTTCTTAATTCTCATAACCTTTTCTTTTGATGATGTACTGATATTGTTGGGAGAAATTTGATGCTGGTCACTCTTGGAAATTAAAGGTTTAATTGGCAATTGGTTCTGCGTTCGATTGGTCTTGTTCTGCAAAATCAGATTGCTGCTAAACACTTTCTTTTCGTTCTCAACCGTAATGAATTCTAACTATTTTGCCTTCAACAGCCACGGTTTCGGATGTTACATAATTATGTACAATTCACCAGCAATTCAGAACACAGCCAATCAAACGCAGCGCGACTTTTATGAAGAGGTAGACCTTCTCACTAAGTTTAGATTTGGTAACTGTGTCAAGTCGTCGGAGCTTTAAGATTTTTCAGAGCTTTGTCATTCGGGGTGAAATTGGGATATGGGCAGAAGGGAAAAACTAGGTAGGCATGTAGGGCAAGCCACAGTTGCATGGGAGGGATGACCTTAAGCGACTTGACTATAAAGTGTCTATTATTATTTTCAACTACATGTACTTCTTCACTGTGGTAAAAACCATTGCCGTATACATTCAACAAATATAGACGTCTCACCTAGATTTTAAGAACACAAACAGCCCTCTCTTCAAGGGAAAGAGAAGATATCCCCCCTCCCCCCCCTCCCCCCCATCAGTTGTTCTTTACGGCTATCAGGGAACTTAAGCACCAGACGTTCTTGGTTCCACCGACGCCAACCGGAAGTATTTTTGCAGAATGACAGCCACTGCGCATGTCAAGACGTTCTTGAGCGGACTTTGGTTCCAGGTTGAAACCGCCAAACTGGGTTCTTCAAAAGTATTTTTGCAAAATGAAAGCTTCATCTGAAATCATGTTTCCTTCGTAGCAATGTCAAGACGTTCTTCAAGAACATCTGGTGCTTAAGTGTCCTAGTGACTATTTTGGAACCCGCCCACAATGCACTCTGCTTGCCCCCAAATTTTTTTTATTGTATGCGAATGCTCTTGGGAATGGAGGATTTGAAAACGACTGTTTATGCAAAATTTGATGGGGGGGGGGGGGGGGGGGGGGCTAAGAGAGTGTACTATGAGGCATTCGAAAATAGAGAATCATCTTTTCCCAAATACAGTGAAACCTCTATTAAGCGGACACCTAAGGGTTGTAAAAATTGCGCAATGTTTGTTAACGATCAACATTCAACGGTTACTCTGTACTGTGATAAAGTTGCATGTTGTTAAAGAAGCTATCCAGCGTTCAAGTTCATTACCTTTCATTACCAACTTTCATTTGTTTGTAAATGCAAAAACATTAACAGACTTCAGTACGTATTTCAAGGACGCATTCCAATACTACTATTGTCAATTCAGTACGTTGTCCGCTTAATAGAGGTTTTTAACAATAGAAATTAGCCAAATACAACTTATTTAGTGTCCGCGTCCGCTTAATAGAGGTGTCCCCTGAATAGGGGTTCGTTATAAAGGGAAATATAAGACGTTAATTTCGAGACCCGGCTTAGTGTCCGCTTAATTGGGGGTCCGGTTAATAGACGGTGTCCGCTTAATTGGGGGTCCGCATAATAGAGGTTTCACTGTATTGGTAGTTTCTTGGTGTTGCACGCGGACAGGTGCAATCACCAAATCAATGATTTTTAAGAAGACACAGAACCATACCCACAACCACAACACAAAAGCGAACTAACAGTGATCTCTGCAACACCAAGAAAGAGCCCAAACACCAGTCCAGTTAAGCCCAATATACTACTACATGAGAAATTTCTGCAACTTGATTGGTTTAGAGCACTGGTATTTCAGCTTAATTTGAAATACCTACATCTGAAAATTACAAACCTTTTGCAGGTAGTAGTATAAACAAATAATAGCATTATTTGTACCTGATATTTGGCATAAATACCACTCGTGATATTTCAAAATTGTCTCAAATTTCACTCGCCTAACGGCTCGTGAAATTACGTATAACAATTTTGAAATATCACTCGTGGTATTTATGCCAAATATCACCACAAATCATGCTATAACCTATACAGATAATGCAATTCTCTTTTTCCTGCATTCACTAGGTCACTATTGCAGCCTACAGTTTTAGATCAGCTATATGTAATCTATGAAATCAATGACCGCATCTCACCACTGCAAATCAGTTCAAGTATTATTAGACTGTATAACACAAGGCCATCAAAAGGACTTAATATCATTACTTACCGACATACATCATCCTAGAAGCACAAAATGCAGATGAAATCCCCAAATCTCACCAACTCATCAATAAACTGTTTTATGTGTCAATAATAAGTAACTCTGATTAACCTTTACGGATTATTCCATACATCAAAAAGTGTTCTCCTTCTTACTTAAAACATCAAGTTCACATAGAGCCATGAAATCTTGCCGCACTTTCAGTAACAGGCAAACACGGAGACGTAAAACCCAACACATACTTATGACGTAGTCAACACAGTTAAGGCCTAAACCCTGAATCCCTGGCAGTACAAACTGACATAATGGATAAATGGATAAATCTGTCAATCACAGCCCAATAACAAAACTGTTGCCCCTTCAGAAACATCACTGCAGTGGAGTATCAGAACATAAAACTGTTGGTTGAGAAGTAGCTCCAGTGTTTGCATGTTATCAAGATGCGAAAATAAAGTCTGAACACACAGACAGAGAACTATGACGTGTAGACAAAAAGACTCATTACAGAGTACTAAGGAAAGTAAACTTACCCTGTATGTGTCTCTGAAGCTGCGAATCTCTCTGGAAACTAAGCTCTTTTTCTCTGTATCCATATCCAAACCTTCCAGGTTTTGCTGTAGGAAGACACACAGAGAAAAGCTTGAATGCACGAATACAATCCAATTTATTCAAACTTCAACTCTTTGAACAATGGTTTTCATTCTTGATAATAATGTTTGAAACATTGAAAAATCGCATAACTTTCCTCAGCATAATTTTTCTTTTTGGCAGTACTCTAATAAGATTTCCCATGAACGAGAATGCTTTATGTTTTCTGAGTTTTGGTAGTCTTGGCAGTGAAAGGCTTTAGAGGCAGGAGTTGGATAGAGAAGAATTTCAAACCCCAGTAGTAAATTAATATCCTATATACAGTAGGAGGACACTGCAATGTCCAGTCTTTACAAATTCCTCTTGCCCTTGAAGTCTGTTATACTTCTCAAGAAATGCTGGAATCATTTTGCAAAATGTGAGGTCACTTCATACCACTATAAATGAAATACCCCACTCAGGCGCAGACCCACACCAGTTTTCTTCATTTTACGGAAACCAGTCAGAGTTTTCATAATAAATATATTTTTAATACAAAAAAACACCTCTCCAAGTTGAAATCGAGGGACGAAATAATCTGCCAATTTGCAAGGCTTCATTTGAGGAGAATGGAATTGGCCAATATCCCGTCTGATGGATTCAGAAACCCAGGAAATTTCCTGCAGGAGAATGCTTTCAACCCCACCTTTCATGCTATTATTTGTTTATACTACTACCCGCAAAAGGTTTGTAATTTTCACATGTAGGTATTTCAAATTAAGCTGATGTACTACTGCTCTAAGCCAATCAAATTGCCGAAATTTCTCATGTCATAATAATAATTATTTAAGGACTTTCAATATTACTGGCTTAATAGGAGGGCGCTAATGGAGGTTCAACTGTATTGACCATTTAAGCCCCAAGATCCACATACAAATTCCCCAGACTGATCTCAATTCATTTCTTTTAAGAATAGTTGAGAGAATTTGATTTACGATCAAAGCATTCTCCCTTTGGTAATCAATTTAGTAATTCTCATAACCTTTACTCTTGATGATCTGCTCATGTTGTTAGGAGAAAATTGGTGTTGGCCACTCTTGCGACCTAAAGGGTTATTTATTTTAAAAGAGACTGCCAGTGAACTGCAGCTAAATACAGCTGTACACACCTCAGATCCACTATGTGTTGCCCTGTAAGGTTCATCTGAAATAAGACAATAAACTTTATCATCATTCATAAAAATAATGAACATCAACCCTGAGCTGTCAGTACGACTTCAAGTTGACGGCTACAGTGTACATGTATATGTAAATCAGTAGGCAGGTAATTGACTGGCTAAAAGGTTTTTAGGTTAGGTAGGGTGTGGCCCCACCCCACCTTCGTTAAAAATATCTTAAATGACTTAGGGCACAAAGTTGCTACTTTCAACTTTCAATGATAATATTACATGTACTATCAATCTCCTGAGGCAAATATTATTTGTTTCTCAGTAAGATTGGGTTTTGTTATTTTCTTTCTTCCTTTCATTCTTTCTTTCTTTCTTTTTTTCAACTTTGCATCGTGGTTGCTTCTAGGAGGAGAAGGGCAACCAACAATAACATGACTTTAGCGTTAATTTCAGCGATAAAATCGTGCTTTACTTAGTTTGCCTACAACATAGGTGTACACCTCTACAAAACTTAAACATGCATGTACCTTCTAGTTTCCTGCTTAGGATATCAGCATGCTCTAGAATAATTTGCTCAATAGCTTTCTTGACTCGCTTATCTTCAGTCTACAAAGAAAATGCACTTTAAAATATTAATTTTAACATACAACATGTACAACCATTGGCAAACAATATCACAGGGTATATTTCATTAACATCAATTTGCTGCTGGAAACAAAAGAAGAGATACAGTGCACCTGCAACCTTGCTGCAGCTACAGGAGTGTTCATATGAGAAAACGTTTTGTCTACAACCACTTCAAAAACTTAACACATCACTCACCGCTGTTAAGTCGTCAAGTTCGTCATTGTCATCATCATCATCGTCATCAGCTTCACCATCTTCTTTCTTTTTATCTTCAGCATTCTGTCAAGTTACACAGAACTACTTCAGACTCAAAGATTAAAAACGTTAAAACTTTTAAGAATAGTTTATGTTTTTATCTTTCACTTTTAGGACTGTTGATGTAATTCTAGAACACATCAACTAACTCATAATAGTGGTGTGCAATCATTCATCAAAATCCTTAAGCAATGCTACAATTGATCATGGAAAATGTTCAATTGATTATTGTAGACAAAATATTATATTTTTTTTATATTTTCCAATATTTTGGTTGGCAAATAAACATATTTAAAACTTGTGTGTTGTCTTTTAAATGGTCCCATAATTAAAAAAGAAATAGAATTTAATCATCCAAAAGCACATAAAAACTTTGTATTACAGGCACTTTGACTTTCACAAAGGTGAAAAATTAATGGAATTCTTATAAAAAGATATTTACAATTATAATAAAAAAATGATCAGTTGGGTGGATCAATCCAAATTATTTCTACTCCTCAATTTTGGAATCTCAGCTGATTCCAAACACTAACTCATACACGTAGGTAGTTTGAATATGATCATGTGTGGGGGGTAGTCTTGACGGGGACTTGATGATGTCCAGTTTATTTGACATGGTGGCCTAGTGATCTTGGACTCCAGATCAAGAGGTCTGGTTTCAGCCCTACTGGGATGATGATATTGTGTTCTTGTGCAAGAAACTTTATTCTAGCAGTCCCTACTGGCAAATTTAAAGCTGCAGTAACCCAGCAATGGATTGACATCTCAACCAGGAGGGAGTAGAGAGGTACCCCTAGTCACTTCGTACTCTAGAAAATGGGATTAGCTCTGGCCTGGTGGGCCACTTGGCTTAAACTCAGGGCACTTTCCAAAAGTCAGAACTGGCCCACCGGACCATGGCTGGACCAGTCATTTTGAGAATGAAATTAGGCCTTTTCGTAGAGTTTTTGATGAACAAAAATTTCCTTTGTGTATGTTATTTAGAATTTGACTGATTTGGCTGGATAGCTTTGATTAAAAGTGAAGTTCTCATTACAATGGCAATGGCCTGGCAAGTCACTAGTTTTGACAAATGGAAAGCACCCTCAGTTGTAACTTGTCGTACAATGTATTATTGACTAGCACAAAAACTAGATTGTGATGTGACAGTTGCATAATGAATGGACACAAAAATTACTTCAATTCCACATGTTCAGTGAACCGGGCTGTCCAAAAACCACTGCAAAATTTAATGATGTTACCTTTTTTAATTCTTTTCTTTTCTCAGCTTTGTATTCATCCAGGTATGTCTTGGTTTTTGCGTCTACTTTCACCTGGCATATACAAGAAAGTAGCATGCATTGGTCAACTGTATTTGCTAAAGGGAACAGTGTACTGAGATGAAGATAATAGGGACCTTATGAAACTACGATGGTGACAGCAACGGGAAAGTCAAAAAACACTAAATTTAATGAGCAAAACAACAACTCTGCACGTGCATCACGTTTTTTTGTACATTCTTTGCTGTCCCTTCACAACTACAATGTGAAATGACCAAATTTTGAGTTGACTTGAGAACGGGAACGGCAGCGCGATAAATTTTACTTTCTCTCTCTGAACTCGGATGCGGTCCCCTCTTTTCAGTTCAAACCTAACTTTCCTCCTTTTAAGTAACCGGGTAACTTGGTATAAGGGTGGAAAAGTTTTAAAGGATGCGAAGTCTATTTTTCAGCAAAGTTTTCATTGGCGTCACCATTGTCAGATTGTAAGGTCCCTGATAGTATTATGAAGCATGCCTCAAAACAGCTTCATTATTACCCCTGGGCAACATTTTAAGCAACTTAGAGAGTAGAGAGGAGAAGTGTGACGTCAAGTTACCAAGATAGCTAAATTTCTGGATGACAACAATAGGGCTGAGATTGAGCAACAACAATGGCGACAGTAACGAGAACGGCAAAAAAAAAACAATAGGTTTAGATTAGCAAAAGAACAACTTTGCACGCACATCACGCCTTTTTTGTACATTTCTTAGTCGTCAATGCACGACTGCCACATAATTCTCGTCCTTATTTCACGCGCCAGCTTTACGGAGTAGGTGAACACAACAAGAGAAGTTCCTTTTCCTTTTTCTAAACTCTGATACCGTCCTGTTGGATTAAATCCAGAAAATTTCGCCAAGATTTGACAAAATAATTAAAAATTTGTTGTCATCCAAAAATTTTGCTACCATGGGAACGTGACATAACGACTTCTCTCTGTTCTGTTACAATATTATTTTTATCTTCTCGAAACATACAAAATCATTTAAAAACAAAAAATTGAAAGAAACCTTAGCATCTTTGTACTGTAGTACATGTAGGAAACACGTAGACCAAAGAAGTTATAATAATTGATAACATTATAATTAACTAGCTTCAAGTACAGTTATTATACTTACAACTAAAGCTTTATCTCCTAACTCCTTTCCATGAAGTAATCTTATGGCTCGTAAGCCTGCCTCAGGGTCACCATAATCACAAAATCCAAAAGCTGTGAGAAAACCAGTTTAAATAACTGCAGTTAACATTATTTAAACATTTCATTAAAAAAAAATAGTGTTGGAAACCTGATAGCTCAAGTACTGCTTCTCAGACCTGTAACCTCCTTAACCCTTTAAGTCCCAATGGTGACCAACATTAATTGTCTCCTAGGAACATCCATACATTGTCAAGAGATTAGGTTATGAGAATTGATAAAATGATCACCTAAGAGAAAATGCCTTGATCTTTTATGAAATTCTCTCAACTAATTCTTTTACAAAAGCATAGAGATCAGTTTGGAGAATTTGAATCTGGACACTGGGGCTTAAAGGGTTAAACTGACACAATTGACTTCCCTTACTTAAAATTCACTTATTACATACCAAAGGACACTAGGAAATAGGACAATTATTATACTTTAAAGAAACTTATTTAAACTTGTGTACAATTTTTAACTAAACATAGATGTACAGATGTATGTAAATTTTACTCTCTTTTATTTTTTCTATTTTATTAATTTGAAACAAATACAATTTCTTTGAGTTATAATAATTTTTTAATAAGTTATGTGTAAATAAGTAAGTAAGGGGTCATTTACAGAAAATGACCCAACGGCTCACAAGGCTACTACTATCCGGACTTTCACGACACGAGCGCAACTAGTTTGCAACTCACCTGACAGCCTACAAGACGAGACTGATTATCTTAACAACATTTTTAGTCTGTGTTGTAATTATTACAACACGGACTTTGTTAGACAGAACACTCACAGCAACACTGATTCCAACACTCAGACCAACGTCAACTCTGGCCCTGTAACAACAGCGACTATACTGTACATCAGAGGCACCTCTGAAACTATCGCACCTATATTATAACCTTACAATATACGTGTTGCACATAAACCGATAACTACTTTACGACGACTGCTTACCGGTACTAATGTCAAGGACAAAGACAAACCGGAGGACAGACAGGGAGCAGCATACAAGATCAAATGCTGCGACTGCAAGGCTTCTTACATTGGTGAAACCAGCAGAAACCTTAGCACATGACTGACGGAACACAAATGAGTGACGAGGAATGGTGACGTCAACAACCACCTTGCTGAACACCATTTACAGATGAAACATCAATTGATTGGGACTCTGTGACACGTATAACGTATTCTACAGACTACTATCAATGACTTTATACTTTAGAAAGCTGGTTTACTAACTTAGAACAAACGCCACTGAATCATAGCCAACAGCTACCAGCACTGTACAAATGACTTATTGACGAGATTAAGCATAACTACAAGAAAACAACTGAAGAACTGACAATTTGAATAACAAGACTCGTTACTGATTACGAGTCTTCATAGCCAATAACATCACGACTTAACTGACACACAACCAATAACATCGCGACGTAATTGACCAATCAGATCAATAACCAGAGTAAAATACCATCAACTGATGAGGTACAACTCACTTTGACTCCAAAGACTACCATACAGGTTGTTGAAACGTCAGTCACTGTCAACAACAACAGTCCTATTCAGGACTACGTTCACCCGGACGATCAAGCTCAACCTACTTTTGAAATGACTCCTTAGTTCAAACCTTTCACAGAAAATATCCTGTTTTAATTTACTAGTTTGTAATGCGCATTTGATCATTAATTTTGATATAGTTAATTTGCACAATACCAAGTAATAAATATTATCATTAGTAGTAGTAGTAGTAGTACGAGTATTACATAAACAATCTGTTCACAAGTCCAGTTGGGCCAGTTTCCATTAATTCTTAGAGGCTCACACCAAAATACATGTAAAGTGGTCCGTAACGTGCTGTTTAACTTTAAAAACTGTTGCCAAGTGATGCGACTTTGAAAACAGAGCACAAAGAATCACTGGCAGGTGTCTGCAATAATTATTAGTAGCCAGGTAACTGAACAGCTACACTGTAGGAAGTTCTTTAGGTTCTATTAATAATTTCCTATTGTTTGCTATAAAAGTAGCTGGGGATCACACCCACAGTATTCAGGGAAAATCCCTGGCCCCTGGCCCATAATAGTATGTTCCCACAACCAGACGGCAGGAAAGAGAGGACGGCAAAACACTTGTGTGTGACAAACATGACAGGGCTATCACTCGTGAGTTTTGTCCTGATCTTCACTTACCATTAATCTTTTCTGGTCTTTTACAAAAAGATCTGTTTAAAGAAAGGCGAAGTTTGGCAGAAATTATTGTCACGCTTGTCACACAAGGTTTGCCATGTTCTCTCCTCTTCCGTCCTGTTGCTTAAGTTCACTAATTTTTTGCCGATTTCAAGGGGTCAGCTGTGCATAAAAATAATACTGATCCATTCACAATACTACCGGTATACCTTGTAATTTTCCCTTGGCCCCCTGCACACGCTTCCAGTTCACCACAAGACCACACTTCTGCTCTCATAAAAGAAAACAAACTTAGATAATCAGTAACGATTATTTCTTAACATGAAGTTCAGGATAAATCACAATTTCATACAATAAAATATGTACATATAAAGGAGATGTGTACATGTACATACCGTTAAGATCTGCCTAACAAGTGCATCAGAGGCTTTTTCAGTTATGTTACCTACAAACACTGTTATTGTTGTGGATGATTTTTCTTGATGTTGATTCTGAAAGAAAGACACAGTTTAACCCCTTGTCTACCGAGGACATAAATTATATGTATATATGTTGTCATTCAATTTTATCCTTGGTTTAAATCTTATTTTCTTTTGTTTTTGGGTATGGTAATGTATGATTAATTACATGATAATGAGTTTGAAACAAAAGAAAATAAAATTTGAACCAAGGATAAAATTGAACCACAACAGATACAATCAGCAAACCAGGATGAATATATGCGTCTTCAGACAAATGAAATCACCAAAAGTCTGGTCGTTTGAGTTGCCTTGAACAAATGAACTCCAGTCGTTGAAAAAGGTCACCAGTAGCTGGGTGTATTTGGCTCTGGTAGGCAAGGGGTTAATAAAAAAAATTCCCTTTTACATATGATAAGGGAAAATAATGAATGTACGTGAATAAGAAAAAGGGTTTCTAATTCAACTTTTCATATGTCCTTAAGGGCTTCAAAAATACTTGTATCTTTTTTTCCTTCCATCAATAGTTCAATGGTCAGGCTGCTGGTGTGGTTATTAAGCTATTTTGTAATCATTGAAATACTGATGGGAAAACACAGACCTATATGTTTTGTAACAGTATATTTATGTATTATCATAGCCCATAGGTAAAAGATAAAAACAAATCCTGCAAAAGGTAAGCTAACCTGATAATTATTATTGTGCTTATTTTCTGATCTGTATGGAGGCCGTGATGGAGGAACTGCTGGTGTGGGAAGCAATGGCATACCTGGAGGCTAAACAAGATTCAAATCAAAGTGAACAGTTTTCATCATTGATAGTTATACCAGAATGACTTGATCAAGATTTACATTAGACATGAAAGGCTGTCATTCCAATCAAGGAGCAGAGGCAGGAATGTTTTTAAACTTTCCAAATTACAATGGATACAATACATTCAACACCCTCTTAGCCTCTTTAAGACAAACAACTCCCCCAAAATGTACAGCGTAGCCCTATTGGTCACTGTGGTTCTTTAATCATATTCTTTGACTCTCTCCAGACCTCTCTCCAAGACAAGCATATCTCAGCAGATACAAAAAGGGCTGGTTGTTGTCTCTATGTGTACTACAGTAATTCACATAGAGTAACATGTCACTCTACCAAAGCAGGTTGTGAAAACTCCTCGAAAATTAGGAACCATGCTGATGTAATCACCACTACTGTGTACATACAGTGCTGTATATATATACATATACATATATATATATATATATATATATATTTAACTCTCCTTCAAAACTCTCTACTGAAATCTATTAAAGACTGGGATTAACTTTTCCACTGAATAAATTATGTAAATCAGTCTAGTATATAAGTAATGGTAAAGTTATTCTCATTAAAATCCCCTGATGGTGGCACAGTGACAGGGTTCAAACCTCTTATATATATATATATATATATATATTTAACTCTCCTTCAAAACTCTCTACTGAAATCTATTAAAGACTGGGATTAACTTTTGCTACATGGCACAGTGACAGGGTGCATTTCTTTGATGGAATTCCACACATGTATTGACTATGTTCCTCCTGAGATCAGTTCAGAAAAAAAAACAAATTTTACGTTATAGTATAATGCTTGGCAGTGAGTGTGATTTAGAATTTTAGGAAATGAAATCTGGGATTTTTCATGAATAGAGATCTTACCAGCGGGTAGGAATGTGGAAAACAAAAACCACATGTGTGCATGTAAACTTACCACATTCAAGGGAGGGACTCCTGGAACAGAAATTGGAGGTTTCGTTTGTAATGAAGGAGGAGGAACTGCACAAGATAACAATACTGCACATTAGCAACGTAATACAGTACCAATCAAAAGTAAGATACCACCCTTTCACCAGACATATATCTCATCATAGGTTACACAATTCTCCTTGTGCACTACATGATCTGCATCTTGGTTACAAGACTCTTATAGCATGTAGACGATAAAAGCTACATCCTATTTTAACAACATCACATTGATGTTAGTATTGTTACACAACGTGAATGTAGTTTATATAAATAAAATAAATCAATACCTTTAAGGGTAGTGTACCCCTTTCATGTTTAAATGCAGCCAAAGGAAAAAACAGTAACAGGACAGACTAAAAAATGGCTAAAATGGACCCAGTTTGACTTTTTTACCTTGATCTTTGGTTAGAGAAGCAACTTGTGAGAGGCTGTTTTTGCACCATTTTACACCATTGTTTCAAGGTCTTACGTGCTCTTAGTTTTCGAGACCCAAATTACCCCCAGTTTACCACAAAATTTCCTGAACTTTGATGCCATCTAACAGAAATTTCCTTCAAAAACCCAAGTTAAGTTTTAGATGAATGTCTAAATGTGTGAGTTATCTAGTATGAATAGAATTTGGAAAGAAAACAACCGCAGGACAAACTTGGAAAGTAGCAGGCAAACGCACTTATATTCCTTACATGCTGAACATACTAACAGTCTTGTAAAAAGTCATTTGCAAGATGGTGTTTGGCATTTCCAAAGTACACATGTACTTGACACCACATTGCAAGTCTGTCAGAAAGCTACCTAGGCCATTTTGGTAAAACAGTCGTGCTTCCATCATGAAAGCAGGACTCAGGACTTGTTGCCCATTGTCCATGGTAGTCAATAGAAGGAAAGATTTTGGTATGACCCCATACATTTATTACGCATACATATTTCAACTCTACTCACAAACTACTGGCGAGAAAAAGAATGAAATTCCTGCATGCATATCAAATGTATGGGGTTATAAGGAAATCTTACCCAATGGAATTTCCGTGGCAAATGTCAGACACTGAATGTACGATTTCGAAATTAAATTTTAGAGAACAAGACTCCAGTAGCAAAACTTATCTAGTCCTCCTTGGCTTTTACATCACATCACATCACATCCGAAACCTTTCTTAAAAGCTACATCAGCGTTCCTCAACTCTCTGCATATCTTTTGTTCGTTTACCTGGAGCGCCAGGCGGAGGAATAGGAGGTGGAGGGAAGCCCGGAGGCCCAGGAAATGGCGGCGGTGGAGGCAGCCCCGTCGGTAAATTGCCCGGTGGTGGCATTCCTGGTGGCATTCCGCCTGAATGATGACGCATCCCTGCTGTAGGATGGCCTACCAGTTGCTGAGGTGGTGGACGATAAGACATTCTCACAGAAATGGTGGTGAATTTGTAAAATTTTTTGGGCTTTCAAGTTAACAACGTGCTTGAAATCAACATGGCTACCTTCGCTGTGCTAAAGCAAGGCATGCTGGGAGTCTAGTTCCCAGTTTTTTTCACCCATATAGAACAACCATTTACGGCAAATGGCAAACGTGAGATTCAAGTTGAAAAATTTTCAAAGTGAGAAATGCAGGGGCACCTAACGGATCTGTTCCTCACAATATCTGTTCTACAGAGAAAATTTTGCTGGCTGGGAACTGAGGTTTCGGCTGTTCTGCTGGGAAGTAAAGTCTTAAATCTGCGGTCAATAATTTATCAAATGTATCAAAAATTCTTGCTGGAGATATTTTATCCCTCTAATTTGTTAGAAATTTTTCTTGGGTGTATATCCAGCTGGGTATCAGGAGTAATCGGCTCCTCTCAGGTGGCTCGTCTATGTGCGCAAATTGTGCGCGCTGATTATTTTTTTACCGCTGATCAAAAAATCTGCACCGGGGCACCGTTGTTAGAAATTCGAAATTAGGCTACGTTCCGCCACTGGATAACTGGCAACGGTTCACTGGCGGCTAGGACGATTCATGAGATTCATGTTTATGCAAAAGGTAAGGACCTATTAAACAGCCTGATGTATTATATTCAAGTTGGACTGAATAGGATTCACAAAAGGTACATCTAGGGAAGGCTTAGTGACGTTCCTTTTTCATTACCATTGTAGTTGTTGTTATTCTTGGTTGACATGCGAGAGATAAGGCTGTGTGTTATTTATTTTGACCGTATATACTCGAATCAGCGCCGCAATTTCCAAGCAACCCTGCGGCGCTTATTTGAATACAGTTTTTTTTTTTTCTGCTGACTCGTAAACATGGAGAAGGCCACTCTGCTGGCTGGGAGAATAGCCATCTAACCTGCTGGGAGTGAGGAACAGATAAATTCTTTCCAGCAACACAGAAAAGCGCTTGAAAATGCCTTAAAAGCATCTAAATTTTCGTTTTCTGTAGTTAACGGCTCATTTTCAGAAAAATGTTCGTTGGGTGCTCCTGGAAATGAGCCGATAAAAACAGTTTTAAAACAATTCTTATAGATAGAACTGGCGTGAATCTACCGATTTGCGTGTAATTAAATTATAGTACTGTAAACGGCAAGTCAATTGAAAACTTAGTCACGTGGTGCAAATTTACGTTTGCCCTTTGCCGAAGACGGCAAACGGCAAACGTCAGGTCCATTCAAGTTGAGAATTTCTCAAAATAGAAAATGAGCACATAAAAACAGCTCTAAAAATTCTTATGGATAAAAAAAATGTGTGAAACCACTACTATCAGTGTAGAAATAATAAACAGTAAACAACAATTAAAGGGGAAACTTGCCCGTGGTACAAACTCGCGATTTCCGTTTGCCGTAAACGTGATAACCTCTCTTGTATCGTAGGTTAAGACAAGCGAGGCACTCAATTTTAGGGGTGGCGAATGGTAAAATCCGAGACTCGCCGAGACGCCGAGATCCTAGTTAGAAATCTGAGCCCGAGACTCTTTGGTAAAAAGTTTCCAGACTCAAAAAAAGTAAAAACAAACCATGCAAAAACGAGATTTCGAGACTTGTCAAAAACGCTTCCGAGATTTCGAGATCCTGCCAAAATTTTCCGAGACCCACGTTTTTCGAGGTACCATTCGCCACCCCTAATTTTTTTTCTGAGGCGAACAATAATTTCCTCAGCAATAAGGCACAAATCGTTCAAGTTTCAATTCATGTCCATCATTGCCATCCTGTACATCAGACAACAGGAAACAGTTTTAAGTCTTAAAATTGAAGGCAAAGTTGATCGTACAGCTAAGGGATACAAATTTATTTCTCGCCCGCAAATATACTCTTCAATAATTAACAAAACTGGACCATTATTTTAGAATTCAGTTGACAATGACATAGCTGGCCCTTATACATAGAAACAAGAATTCCGAAAATTTCCTAAGTATATCCCCATTTTGGCAAAAGTTGATCATATGCAAGTTTTTACTTATGCAGAAATATCTATTTAGGGGAATGGACTGGTTTTCGTGGGTGCAAAATACCTCCCACGTTTGAACCTTGTCTACATCGCCATTAACAGAGAGTGATCGGCAGACGTTGCGGGAGTCAACATGGATAGGGGAGGAGAGGGAAAAGAAGAGAAAATAAAGGACACTTGCCACGAGAGCCCTCCCCCGCCCCCTTTGCTTATTTCTGCTCCCGCACCCTTTTCTAGTTTGCTTTTTCTTCCCTTCTTGCAGTAAATGGTCAACACAGCTGTACAAGATAAAGATGTTGTTATAGCAACTTAATGACGGCTAAATCGCCCACGGGACCTTTAGGGCTCCCTCAATGTTCGTCAAGTTTTCGGTTCACATACGTATGGCTCTTGTTTTTTGGATAGAATGTAACTATCATGAAGTGCATTTCCTCCAAAGCGCTTCGTTTTATTGGACATTTTTTAGCCAATTATCACGATTGTTCAGTTTTTTCAGTACTTCTATAGCCCACAAATTTCATCCAACAACAACAACATTTATTTGCATTACCATTTACATAGATGATCTTGCATCAGGCAAAAAAAGTCAAAAAAAAAAATAAATTAACTTCATTACTAAAAAAAAAAGAAAAATGCTCTCATAGAATTTTCACGAATATTTTGGTGGCTATTCACCTTTTTCGACATCTTTGTTAATAATGACAAAGACATAGTCAATTTAGAGAGGTGTGTTACCCTTAAAAAAAAAACAAGTCAAGTCTCCTTAAAAGATTAGCCGTCAGAAAAGGAGAAAATTGCAGATGATTATCTTTTCTCCGTACGTGCCACAACCGGCAGTCAATCCTTTCGTATTCCGGATGATATATTCTCTGATTTAGTTTCAATCCTTCTGTAATCCGTACGAATTAGCAGACAAGTGGTCGTCAGTGTTATCTTGGTGTAACGCTGCAAGGAAATGGCACTGAGTCACCCGCTCGCGGCCGCCCACTGAAATTAACTTGGAGGGGGGAGGCCGAAAGCAGGTTCGTGATCGAAACCTAACAGCAGCGCGGTTGTTGCTTATGTTAATATACGGAAGCGTGATATTGCTTTTTATAGAAGCTAGCCTATAGTCTCTAATGACTCTGGCTCATATATTCATCGGTTTTTTTTAGAGAAACCTCCTGTATGTACCATAACTCGAAAGTGGACGTTGAACCGGTTAGCATTTCTGAAGTGTAAATTTACAAGGTCGTTAATTCTGTAAGTCACAGTTTTTAAACGGTAAACGTTCACTGTAATTATCTTGTTGATGAATGGCTACTCCCTATGATCATTATCATGATAATCAAAGCACTCATAACAACCATTAACGCAAATGTTGACCACCTGTCGTGTGTTGTACGACTATACAGTAGTTAATAATTCATTGGAAACTCTACGTTGTGTTTTAGGTATTCCAAAAAACTAGGACGATTAGTCTTAATTCTTAATAACTGTAGTTTGATATCTTTTTTAGTTCAAATTTTCTTTGCAGATAAACAGTGACGGTATACCATCAATAATTCACTTGATTGGTGCTCGCAACAAATGTTAACTCAAAGTTGATTTGTTTGTATATCGCCTACGAAATGGCACGTGCGTCCTTCATTAACTATTAAAATTTACGGACTGGCTCTTTTTTCCCAAAGGTTTGTGAGGAAAGACAAATTATAGCCAATAGATTGACCTTTGATTACGATCAGCATTTAACACAATTTACTACTTTTTGCGAGCATCAAGGGTTAGGATAGATTATGGCTGCATGATGACGGATATCAATGCATGCATGATTATATTTCAGGCGGTGATAAACAGGTGTTTAAGTAACATGTATGCCATGATTACGCAGCCCCCGCGTTTCGACAAGAGAAAACATATCAAAAATATTCATCTTTCTTTAATTTGTGATCGGGTTTTGAACGGGATACTGAGGGTCTTAAACGACTCATAAAGCCGTTATAAAATCGACAATACCCTTAACTGAAAAGGTACGTTAGTAACAAAGTCGGATCTTAAGTAATATTTAGTGCATAACACATTTAAAATAATTGCTTATATTTTTTAATGTCATTAGTAACTATCTTTCCGACACATAATGGTCACACGAATGAGCAATTATTCCAGAGTTTGTAAGCAATTTTGCACTTTTATTGACTATTGCGAAATACGAAGCGTGTGTTTATGGGGAACGGTGAAACGCATGATAGCGTTCTCGAGTGCAGACACGTGAATTATAATTATTAAAAACAAAGCGAAACAACAAAACTTGCCGTTGTGATGTTGGATTACACGCATAATTTTAAAAACTACGCAGTTGCAAGAAAACAGGAGTGACTGAAAAACACAGTCTTTCAGATTTAAAAATTTTCCTATTCGCGGCAGTTGGTTGTGAAATTGAAGACCGTTACCAGGCTGAACTAGGAATCATGCAAATCTCTATGGTATGTAAGGGCGATCTAAAATAGTCGCAAATTTTAGCCATAAGGCACGCCAGTTGTTCGTAAGGCAATTGCCACGCTTGTAACGGTAAGCAAAATTTTTGCACCAGCATGCCAGTTTTTTTTCCCTTTTCTTTTTTTACGCTGATAAAAAGAACAACTGAAACTGATTCTAAGAGAGATTATAATTCTGTAAACTCAGTTACTCGATATTATTGTTGTACTCTTTCATCGGCCGATAGTGGATGACACAGATATCTTATTAGGACATCTAACTTTTGAATCTATGAACTGACATGAAACCCGTCTAGTGAACACTCTGATGCGAGAGTTTTGCAAAATTTTCTTGGTTTTTGAATCCTTTATGTACTTTTGATACTCTCTCGCGCTGTATTAAAGTTATTCCTCCGATGAGATCGCGAGACAAGCACTCAAGTCAGTAACTTAAGCGTCAGCCAACAAAAGTAATCGGACTTTTGGTTACTTAAAACTAAGGTAACATGGTATCTTTTTATAAGACCCGAAGCGCATGTTTTTGCACGAGATTCGGCCAAAAAAGATATATTTTTACTGATGTGCTGATTATACGCTCATCTGTTGTGCAATTCTCTCGCT